TCTTGGAACTTGGAACTGTATGGGAAAGCGATCGAAGCAATCCGGGACGAAAACCTTGCGTTGGGAATTCAGTGGGTTCTGGCCCCGGAGGTTGACCTTGCCAGGGACCCTAGAAATGGCCGCAATGGAGAAATGTAAGTAATCAGCCTGAACTCCATTCAATTCAGAATTTGATCATCGTCATATTGACATGACACAGGTATGGCGAAGACGGTTACCTTACTGGGGAGTTTGCCACACGGTATATACAAGTGATGCAGCAAAAGGATGAGAATGGCTGGGTTCGAGTCGCCACAACCATCAAGCACTGGGTCTATGGCCAAGGCAGCGGAGGCGTCAACCGTGCGAGCATGCTTGGCGGCCTCAATCACATCCTCAATGACCTTGGTGCCTCGTATGTGAAGCCAATCCGAGATGCCCAACCGCTCTCACTCATGTCATCTTACTCCACCGTCGACGGGGTTCCGTTGTCTATCAACAAGTATCTTCTCCAGGACATCTTACGCGGTACACTTGGATTCAAGGGCCTCATCATGTCCGATGCAAATGCCATCGAGTATCTATACACCGAGTCAAAGGTTGCTTCGTCCGCCGCAGATGCCGCGCAAAAGGCCCTGAAGGCCGGTTTGCAGCATGAACTGCACCCGTCCGGCAATGGTGTCTTTACAACCCTCATCAAGGCCAAGGAAGACCCGCAGATCGTCTCTATCGTCAATAGCTCAGTTCTTGCACTTTTGGAGATCAAGTTCCTGACGGGTACCTTCGACCGCCCTCTACCTACACAAGAAAATCTGGCCAAAACCTTGCGCAAAGAAGAGCATCTGGAGATCAACAGACAAATCATCAGAGAATCGGTTGTCATGTTGAAGAATGATGGACTCTTGCCACTAAAGATAGATGATGTCAAACAGGTAGCCGTCATTGGACCCTATGCCGACATCATCAACGCTGGTATGTACGCTGCGTGCAATGCTACAGACCCAGTCTATGGATCGACACTCCGCAGAAGCCTTGAGAACAAGCTCGGTGCAGAGAATGTGCTCTACTCAATGGGCACTAACTCTATACTCCCTTCTAACAACACCGACGACAAAATTATCAAGGAGGCCGTTGCGCTTGCAAAGAAGGCTGGGATCGCTATCGTAATGCTGGGATCTGGCCTCGGCACATTCGATCCCGCTACGGTTAACAATCAGCGTACCGACCAAGAAGGATTCGCACATGCTGACCTGAACTTCCCAGGCCAGCAGATGGATCTGGTGGAGGCTATCCTGGAGACTGGTGTGCCTACAGTGCTCATCATGAGCTCTGGGCAGACCTTCCTACTCCCGGATTCCATATTTGGTCGTACCAATGCCGTATTCCATTCTTGGCTCAGTGGAGAGTATACCGGCGATGCCATCACCGAGATCTTGTTTGGAGAAACAAATCCCAGCGGGAAGCTGACGGTTACTATCCCCGAGGCAAACGGAGCATTTCCGGTCTCGTATGATTTTCTTCCCTCTGACGATGCTGGTGGGTTTGGAACTGCCCTGCTGTATGACTGGCACTGGCCGCAGGTCACACGCTCGCCCCCGCTCCGGTTTGGATTTGGCCTCAGTTATACAAGTTTCTCAATCGGAAACTCAACCATTAATGTGGACGGAGCACGGGATAATTCTACGGTGAAATTGTCTGCCAGCGTCACGAATAAAGGTGGAATGACCGGAAAAGAAGTTGTCCAGCTGTACTTTCGGCCAGTGGTCAGTTTGATTGAGTTCCCAGTGATGAAGCTGATCGGCTTCCAGAAGGTTAGCCTCGACCCTGGCCAGTCGGAAAAGGTTGAGTTCTCTATTCCTTACCACGACTTGGGGTACTTTGTGAATGGCGAGTGGCATGTTGATGGGGGTAATTACACTTTCTGGATTGGAAGCAGCTCTCGCAAGGAGGATTTGACGCAGTTGAACGTCACAATTTCGTAAATATCTAACATAAGTTTCTTGTTCCAATAGAAACCTGTTAGTTAAGTCTTTGATTACTTGGGTGATTCTAATAACCACTCCCAGTCTTGACGTCCGGTCCAAGAAAGAAACGGGTATACTCCATCCTCGAACACATCCGGGACGGGGCCCATCGCTAATGGCATGTTCTGACCCCACCAATTGGCATTCGCTCCTGTAATTCCCGAATCATCCGATGGAAGCTGGGTCCCAATACCACTTGCGCTCGAGACTGGGCTTATGGATTCGTTTAGAGGATTGAGGGAGTTGTCAATCACAGGGGGCGCTGAAGTACGTGCGTTAGATGGAGGTGTTGGAAAGCCTTGGCTAGACTCGGCAGCAGACTGCGCACGAGTGGGCAACGGATGGTCATCCTCAGCATCAGAAAACTCAGCTTGCCGCAACAAGCTATGAATGGCAAGTCTCTGTGTTTCAGCTGCTGGGGACATTGTTTGCTGCTCATGTGAAGGGTTGGCGCTTGCCTGGGGCGGTCTTCCCGCCGAAGATGATGAACCACCCCATGTGTCATGTTCATGGTTGTGTCTTTGTAAGAACACAACGACAGAGCTTTCTAGCTCCTTTATGATAGGTGCCACTGGGACACATGAAGGGAAAAACCTCTTGAGGGCCACAACGCAAAGTTCAGCCCTGCTTGCGGCAAACTCTGGCGTGGGTCGGTTTGGGCTCTTGCCGAACCGAGAGATGTAGAGAACCAGACGTGAGGCATGGTACGCGCAAATCGCGGTGTCGAATTCAAGCATGTGGCGAGACGCACTCTCTTGGTTCAAAGTTGTGAGAATCTGTATGGCATTTGTCGCATGTTTGAGACATTGCTCTTCAGCAAACAGAAGTCGGGCGGGATCGACGGCGTCCAAGACAACAGATGGTGCAGCGTCTGGATAACCCGGGACTAGAATACGGTATAAGTCGCAATTTGCCTGATGCCAGGAGACGTGCATTGCTAACAACCGAGGCAACCATGGATTGCCAAGAAGACTGGCGACTTGTGCTGATGTTATGCGACTGCCATACGGGAATTCGGTGGAAATCTCAGACAAGATGTTTTCATGGTGCCGAATGAGCTCAATTAGAGAAGATAGAGGCTGATCTAGAGGATATAGCCCTCTGCCCAGCTTCATGATGTCCCGTCGGATTCCCTCAAGCCGGGTATATAGTCTGTAGGCGGATTGCTCTCCTGGACGTGAGGACTCAAACTCATCCTCGGACTTGGGAAAGTTGATATATATTGCCTCAATCGGGCACAGTTCAAACTCGGGTAACCCGACAGAGAAGTATCTTTCGATAATCTTCAGCGACCAAACAATGCGTCGGCGTACCTCCCGCGCAGTCGGATCGAGATCTGGCCTTTCATAGTTGAGACGCATGGCCGCGGCAAACCTAGCAGCAAGGGCCGTCAACATGAATGCTCTCTGGAAGCGGCCAGACTCTACCCAATAGTAGATGGTTAGGAGGAGGGTCTGAAGACGAGGGACTGTTGGACACTCGAGGTTCATCCAGACGCTCTGCTCGGCGATTTGGATCCATGAGCTTAGTTCCGGAGGCTCGCGCCGTAGGTGGAGAGATGTCACGGCACAGATGGCTGATAGGAGATCCATATGTACAGACCGGTCGCGGCATCTTCTTTTTGTGGTTTGAGGATGAAGAAAGGCGTATGAGGGCAGCGGGTAGACCATGTCAAAGAATGCTTCGACCAGCGACAGCATACCGTCCATGACAGGTTCTGCATCCTCCAGCTGCCCATGGGTTGATTCCACTTGTTGCAAAGCGGGAGATGTCGGATGAATGTCTGCATTAGTAGCGTCAAGTCCAGCGACTTCTGTCGGTGAATCCTTTTCCATGCGCTCAACTGGCTTGTCAGTTTCAGGAGGGGCCTGTTGAGTTGGCGGAAGCGAGCCAGTTCGCAGTCGTCTCTTTGGGGCTGGGTAATGACAGTCTTGTCCTTTACGTCGACATTGGCTGCACTGCGGAAGGGTGGCAGAGCACCGAATCTTGCTCTCGCGACATGATGCGCATGCCTTGATGCCTCGCAGGCGTCTTGGTCGGGGAGGTTCTATTTCATCTGAAGGAGACGGCTGCGTAAAGGAACAGTGTAAGCCGAGCCGCTCACAGCTGCCGCATCCTCGATCAGGCCCACGCCGCCGATCACACCGAACCTGCGAAACCAATGAGCACGGGGTTGGGTTACAAGGCCAGGAAATATGCCTGGACAAATGTGTGAAAATGGAAATGGCTGCCCACCTTCCGACATCGGCATTGAGAGCAGTTTTGCTGTGGCACGGACGGCGATAACCCAGACTTGAAGCATCTAACGTACGACTCCATCACAGACCGTGAAGGGGACCCAATGCCGTCAATGAGCAGTTCAGTCAAGGAAGAAAAGCAGTTGCAGAGTCTCATTTGCGGGGTCCCCACCAAACATTAACCACGTGACGGCAGAAGCTTCTCTCTCCATGGGGCTGGTCCCAACAAGCCTCTTAAGTGGACACTCACTACGTAAATACTTAATTAGGGAGCGAGATTTCTTATTTCTCAAGCTCGGTTAACTTTACGCAATGTAGGGGTTTCCTACGTGCAAATTGGCTACCGGGTCCGTGGGATTAACCCCCCCTCGTCTATCAACTGGTGTCGATGCGACTCGCCTGGGTCATATTGATATTCGCAAGATCTTGGATCTGGTGATTAGCAGTTTAACTTGCCTATTTCGAAGTCATGAAGGAGAGCATCAGTCATCGCGGATTACAATCAAACTATGTTTAGCTAGACATTTCGCGTACAAGGTGAAACAGCCTTAAGACCTTTGAAGAAAAGCGACCAAGGGGAAACTATTGCGGTAGGTTTCTGTCGTGAAGGCAAATTTATATATCCTTTACTTCCTTTCCTCCACACACACAGATTCCTCCTTGCTTGGCCGCTTGGAATCCTGGGTAATCCCTTCGTCCCGTCTGCCAGAGTGAGGAGAGACACCACCGAACACTAATGTGAAGCGAATTAGCTACCAAATCATTTTGGAATTTGAACTGGGTCTTGGTGTTGTGACTTACAGGCTTCCATTTCCTCGAGCGACTTGCCCTTGGTCTCCTTGATAAAGAAGAACACGAAGACGACAAGAGCGTAATTAAAAATTCCAAACATCAGGAAGGTCTTCCAGCCCAAGTTCTTCACGGCATAGGGCGTTGCCAACGAGAACACGCAGTTAAAGAGCCATTGAGTAGAAGTACCAATAGCAATTCCTGCCTCTCGAATGCGGTTGGGGAATATCTCACCCATGTAGGCCTAGCGAATAAGTAACAGGGTCAGCCAGAGGTACCGAGACGCCAACTTATTCGAAAAGTCTTACCCAAGGTACTGGTCCCCACGAGATGTTATAGCTCATTGCTTCAAGGTAGATCATTGTCAAGGACGCAATTGACGAACTTGTCAGACCCTTTGCTGGGTCGGGGGGAAACTTGACAGTAAGAATAGCCACGATGAGCATATAAGAACCCATAAGGAAAGCGCCCGCAAAGAGCGAGCCGCGACGGCCAATTCGTTCAACCAAGAATAGAAGGAAGAAAAGGCAGGATATAACCTTGACTACGCCGAAAAATCCCGTAATAAGAAGACTATTCTGGCCGGCTCCTACCAGAGAGAAAATCTGTGGCGCATCTAGAGAACTGTCAGCATATTTATGAGACGCCGCTTGGTAGAAATCAGTCCTACAATAAGCCATTGACGTGTTTCCAGTAAGTTGAACACCTATTCTCAGAAGTTAGTCGTCTGAAACCTCCAAGGTAGTTGATGAACTGCTCGCACCGATTTGTAGACCAATGATAATGAAGAGACGCATCCGGTTGGTCGGGAGGATCACCTCTTTCCAACTCACACCAGACTTGTCTCTCGCTTCCTCCTCTAGCCCTGCAAGAATTTCTGCAAACCTGAGTGGTATGCTGTTAGACCAATTGATGCCGGATAGTCTGTGGGTTTACTCACTCTTGTCTAACTTCGTCGGACTCGCCGCCACGGACCCAGGCAAGTGATTCCATTGCCTCTTCCCGACGCCCATTCTTAGCTAACCATCTTGTGCTCTCCTTGGTCAAGAGCATTCCCAGTCCCAAAATGGCACCGGGGACGATCTGCAGGCCGACAGGGATTTGCCACTGCGCGGTTACATCAGGCATGTGTTCTTTGACCGCGTAGTCGATCCAGTAAGATGTCATGACGCCCATTGTAAAGAAGAACTGGAACATACTGCCCAGCATGCCACGAATGTTCTTTGGCGCCATCTCGGCCGAGTACATTGGGATAATAACAGTAGCCATACCAACACCTACACCGCTGATAATACGGGCGGTATAGAAGGCACCGAGAGAACCTGTATTGATCGTCTGGATGATGGCGCCGATGTTGAAGATAATGGATGCCAAGATGAGGGACCATCGCCGTCCGTATTTCGCAGTAAAAGGCCAGATGAAGAAGCAGGAGAAGAAGGCTGCAAAAGAATAAAACACAGTTAGTTACGTGCTGACAAACGGGTTCCATTGGTAGGTAGATGATGGGTGGATGATATATACCGCCTGCTTGGAGAAGACTGGTTGAGTTGGAACCAACAGACGCTCGTTGGTCCTCGGTGTACTTGAAGTCATGTTGGAAACTCTTGAAGGTGAGTATTCCACCCACGATGCCGGTATCATAGGCGAAACAAAAGGATCCAACGCAACATAGTGCAACAAGATAGACAGCGCGGAATGTTCCTAGCGACGTAGACATTTTGGTCGAGAGCAGGGCTACAAGCCAAGTTGAATAGAATGGGCAGAGAATGAAGATTCCGTCCCTGTTGGTGTCATAGTCTGATGGGAAGATTGGATAATGACATGCTTGCTTCCCAAGGTTCATATATATAAAAGAAATATGAACTATGGACCGTCTTCTACCCGGAGACAGAGACCTAGAGAAGCTAGGCCGTCTGAAGCCAGCCCCCAGTTGAACTACCAACTGAACATGGGGAATGAGTTGATCAGCCCCTGCAAGCACGAAATCGTGTGGGGAAGTCTTCGACGTCTCTGATTGGGGTGTAAACAGGAGAAATGAGCTTGATGGGATAAAAATCATCGTCAAGTCTTCTCTTTGAGTCAGGCAAGATTCCCAGGATGGAAATATGACCGACTACCGAAGGACCGTGGGACCTGTCCCGCATTTATTGTCCCACTCGTGAGCTTAGTATCAGATTCAAATGATCAAGCGGGCCGCCAATGATGTGATTCGCTCGAGTTTGACCGCGAGTCGTGCGGCATTTGTCATGTCCCAGGATCTTAGGTCCGAAGTCTGTATTGCCGGATTGGGACAGAACACCGACTACCGAGAATGCCTGAAACTATGTCAGATGGATGATCCATTGGCTCTTCGCAATCGGCTTCGAGTTTAGCAAATTGGCAGTCTGGAGAAGGCCCAGAACTTCGCAGAAATAAGATTACTTCTATTACTTCTTGTCATTCAAGAAGCGCTTCCACCACCTCCTGCGCACTTGGCTTCCGCCGCTAGAAATCCCCTGTCTTGAACATCTCAGTCTTCCTTTCGTGTACCCATCTGCTCAGTTCATCATGGCTTCTTCAACCAGACCAAATATCATATTCATCATGGCTGATGATCACGCTTCAAAAGCTATCGGATGCTATGGAGCGGGCATCAACCAAACTCCAAATATCGACCGCCTGGCAAAGGAAGGCATGAAGTTTGACCACTGTTACGTCACAAACTCCATCTGTACTCCCTCGCGCGCAGCAATCCTAACTGGCACGCATAACCATGTCAACGGCGTTATGACACTTGATGACAGTATCAACAAGCACATGCCAAATGTCGCCAAGCACTTGCGATCCGGAGGCTACCGTACGGCTATGGTGGGCAAGTGGCATCTGGGTGAGGGCTCAGCTCATGAACCGACAGGATTTGACTACTGGTCCGTATTGCCTGGACAGGGTGACTACTGGGACCCCGAGTTCATCGAGCCTGAAGGGGAGAAGATTGAACCGGGATACGTGACTGATATCATCACTGACAAGTGTCTCAACTGGATCACGGAAACCCGAGACACAGGGAAACCGTTCTTCGTCATGTGCCATCACAAGGCACCGCATAGGTCGTGGGAATGCGATGACAAGCATAAAGATCTTTATCAAGAAAAGATTCGCGTCCCAGAGACCTACAACGACGACTACAAGAACCGCGCCAAGGCGGCCAAGGTGGCAAAGATGCGCGTAGCAGAGGACATGACCTACCAGGATCTCGGGGTTGTCCAGCCTGACGGTGGCAACCGCGTAGGCGAGCGTGTCGTTCAGGAGTCAGGATCAGCGCAGCGTAAAATTCCGGCCAATATTACCAAGCTCATCGACAAAGACGACGGCACGGTATTCACATTCTCCAACGAGGCTGAGCTCTCTGAATTCAAGTTCCAGCGCTACATGCAGCGTTATCTCCGCGTCATCCAGTCGGTCGATGACAATGTGGGCCGGATGCTTGATTATCTTGACCAGAATGGCCTTGCCGAGAACACCATCGTGATTTACACCTCCGACCAAGGCTTCTTCCTCGGCGAGCACGGTTGGTTTGACAAGAGGTTCATGTACGAGGAGTCTTTCCAGATGCCCTTCTTGATCAAGTACCCTGCGGAAATCAAGGCCGGCTCGACCTGCAACGATATCATCTGCAACGTCGACTTCGCCCCGACGTTCTTGGACTTTGCGCGACTTCCCATGCCCAACTATATGCAGGGAGTGTCGTTCAGGGACCTTCTCCGTGGCCAAACGCCCGCGGACTGGCAGCAGATTGCCTACCACCGGTACTGGATGCACAATGACATTATCCACCATGCCCGTGCCCATTACGGCGTAAGAGACCAGCGATACAAGCTCATCTACTGGTACAATGAGGCCCTGGGGGTCTCGGGGGCCAGGCCGGGCGCAGAGGACGAGAAGGAGTGGGAACTATTTGACTGTGAGAAGGATCCTCTCGAGTTGTTCAATGTCTACAACGACCCAGAGTACCAGCAGACTGTAAGGCACATGACTCAGCTTTTAGAGCTGAAAATGTCACAAATTGGTGATGATCCGGTTCATAAGACGCTTGGGAGCGCTTGAAGGCTCACCAAGCAATTCGTATCCGAGTAAAATAATAAAAGTTAGAATATGAACATCATAAAATGGCACCGTGAAGAATCAACGTCCGTATGCACAAGATTGATGAATGTCGTAGAATGGGGGAGAGCAATACACTATGTCATTCTCATGTCAATATCAATTTGTAAGGAGAGTGTTTAGAGGAAAGCTGCTGCTCAAGATTATCTAGCTGCCTACTGAGCATAAAAGGTTATTTATCTAGCTTAGACAATGCTCCATATCCCTGGGCTGTAGTAGCCACAAGACCACTGCTTACCATTACCTATACTAGTTTCTGCTCTAACTTCTCCTTATATTATAACGCTACTCTGCCACAGGATTGACGAGTAGTTCGCTGCAGAATCGCTTCCATCCAGACATGAGATCGCTAAGCAAGAGTCCGATGTATCAACTACCAATGGCCGGGCCCTTATGAGGAGAGTATGCCCCCATCAGCTGATGTAGAAATTCCTCGATTGAAGTTTCCCCGGTTCATGCTTGCCTAGATCAGTATCCGTATCATGGTCTCGCAACTTTCAAGAGTGTTTCGAAAGACTTGATGATGGTTTTTTTTTTAAACAAATCATAGCGCAATTGCAATTTGGCAATAGTCTTACTAGCTGTATGAAACACTCACTAGATTATTATGCCCATTGCATTGTATTCTGACAGAGGCGAGGAAGACAATTTTGACAACACAACAGAGCCCTGTTTCAAAACTCGGCTGATAGCGCCGTCGTATACCGGTAGTGGACATCCCCGGGTGCAGCTGAGTTTCACATGGCATCAATTCTTACTGCATTACCTCTCTCACCTTGCCGATTAGCTCTGGGGGCGGTCTGGTAGCAGTAGAGATACACAACATTATCGCTCATTGCCGATGCCCTCCGCGTTTATCCTCCAAGGAAGTCATGAATCACCGGACTGAGCCCGGATGTCCTGATCAGTTTTCCGGCGTCGAAGCCGAGGTTCAAAAGGCGAATCGCATGCGTGCTGACTAAGAACCCTTTCGCCCAGGGCCTCCATAATATCCTTGTTATTAATGAATGGCACCACATTTCCCTGTTTCATCAGACGTTGATGGGGTCATTTGCGGCACTAATATGAGACTCGAGAAACTCATCAGAATGCCGCGGGTTTGATCTAAACTGGTTGTCTTTGAAGTCCGTGTCACATTCATGCCTGGCAGTGCAATCCCGAGCCATGCCGGTCAACGAGTTGCCGCCGGAGATACTGGGTCAGATCCTGGGCCTGGTTACCGCTCCAGGGGGGACCGAGCGACTTGATAGGCACCACGCTGAGCATATCTCGCGCGCGCGCCTTGTGTGCCGTCAGTGGAACTCTTTGGCTGCTGGACATCTCTTTCATACCATCACCCTTCGTCATGGGGAGGGCGTAGGTGACTTCCGGATGTGGCATCAAATGCTTGATAGCCTGCTAGTCCGAGACGTCGCAAGAGCTGCCATCATCGAAACATACCCGGAGACTTTATTTGAAGTTGATTTCGAGGCGTTCAGTGCCTGGGAAGCAGAAGGTGTCTACCCTGCTTTCACCCACGCCATCAACAGAGTGTTGGAACTGGGTAAGCTTAAGACAGTGCAGGTCAGCTTCTCAGAGCACTGTGCTGGACTTGAATACGAGAATGAAGCCAGCGGGATGTACTTTGAAACACCATCATCTCGAAATCACACCCTCAGAGCTGTTTTCTCGGTTATTCGCCAGCGAGCCAAGGATCCAGCAGTCAGCAAAATTACGCACTTGGCGTTGATAAATCTGCAGAATCTCCCCAATCCAGATTTTGTGACGACGGATCTATTCCGAGATGTCATGAAAGATATAAGCCACCTCAAACTTCAGATTGCGAACGAGGATACTGGAGTGGGAACAACCAATGGCCAATTGTGGCAAATCGAGCGCCGCTCATTTGAGCCGTTTCTACACCAATACTGGCTTGCCCCCATTGCCGACCAGCTCACGACGCTGGACATTGGGTTCAATGAGCTCTGGGGCAGCATACCAGCGTATTTCGATGGTGACGGCCTTCTGTTCTCACGCCTGAGGAAGCTAAGGCTTTATAACTTCACGATATCACATCATAAGCACTTTGACTGGGTACTGGCTCAAAAGTCACTCAAGTGTCTGATACTGAAAGATTGTTATATTGCTACCTATCTGGTACTCGCGAAAGCTGATCTAGAGGAATGGGATCTGCCGACGCACGACTGGGACCGATTTCCTGACGGAGCATTCGGGTTTAGCCGCGAGGCGGAAGCTGTCTATAGTTTCAACGGGACTTGGAAAACGATCTTCAACCGGATTGAAGAGGAGCTTCCCCATCTCTCAACATTTCGGGCGCACTATGGAGCCGCCGAGAAATCTGCCAGTAGCCAACCCAGCCTCTTGAGCCCATCTCGTTATATTGTTTTTGAATACGGGACTACACCAAGCACTTGGGTTGAGGCCGATATACAGACCGGGGAGATGATATTTGGGGATAACAATCCAAGTTCGCTGCCACGAAGGTGGATGGATGGCCTCATGCATCCGCTGAAGCGGCGTAAGTTGAACGTTGCCAAGTTTAGGCAAGAGGCAGATGGAATTGCATTGGACGGTTTGGTCAAGACCTTGAGACAGCGCACATGGTATCAATAAGTTTAGAATACACATGCAGGATTATGACTTTGTTTTTGTTGCCATATCTCACTTTCCTACTCGGCCCCAATCTTCGTACAGGAACTGCACATCTGTTAATATTAATCGGCGGTTGTTGCCGTCGCTTCATCGGATTGGGATGAGGAGAAAGAGAACTATGGAAATGCGTCAGATCGTATATCATCATATGGTGAGGACCCAAGAAGATGTGCGTTCAGTATCCAGAGCTAATTTGCATTGACAATAAACCCCAAGAATAAGTGCCTTCATCGCAAGAAATACATCTCTTACAGTCCTTGTCGCAGACAATAGCCAAAGGCGTTGCTACCGCTATCTCTCGTCCCCTCCGCCTTTGAACAGCTACGCTGTTCGACCCTCTTCATGAAAGTATTATCAAACAAAACTACCAAATAGCACTTAGTTCGGAACAAAATGCCAGTATCACCTTATCTTACACTATCAAAGGTTGAGATGAAATCCTCCTTAACCGCTTTATGTATAAGGAGACTGTTTTGCACGCGTCCTTCGCCCGCACGGCAAAAATAGGCCGACCCATCGACTGAGGTGCCAAGACATCCAGGACGAATCAGTCCTCCTTACATTCTGCTCCAGCATCAAACATACTAATGATCCGAGCACGTAAAGCTCAATGCTGATCTGGCGTTCTCTCCGGCGTAGGAGCCTCATGCGCGGTGTATTGGGAGCCATAGCCAGCAAACTTGTTTGGCGGGTACTCGACGGGAAGCTCGCTCACAGGACTCTGATGCCCAAACTGAGGCGACAGGCTCGCAAACGGGGGCGGTGAGCTTGTGGAGGCATGGCTACCAGGCGAATATGCCCAGTTGCTGTTCGGGTAGCTCTGCGAATTGTAGTAAGAGTTCCCTGCAGACATCTGCGACACTTCAGGTCGCTGCTCTCGAGGCTGCTGCTGCTGCTGCTGCTCTCTCTCTCTCTTACGAGCCAAGAATCGCCGGAAAAGGAAGAACCAAATGAGGCCGATGATGATGGCCGCTCCAACAACAGATCCTACTGCGATTCCGGCAATAGCCCCCGCGGACAACCCAGACTTGTGATCATCGTCAGAGCTATTTCCCGTAGATGTAGGGATTGCCCTCGTCGGCGTCCTGGTTGCATACGATGCTGTTCTGGTCATCAAGACTTGTAGATCCTGATTCTCCCACCCGGACTTGGGCGCTGTGACGGTTGCTTTGCCCGTGGCCTGAGCACCAATGACGGTCGCGAGGGGCGATGGTATCACATAGTTGGTCTTCTTCGGATCAAACAATGCCCATATGGCGCTTTCGTTATTCTGCCTCCCCAAATCCATGTTGTGAAGCCCCCAGACTGCGGGAGAGTCGCATTTGTCGTCGAGTGGGAAGAAACCTCCCTGGACAATCATCTGGCCTCTGCCGACGACGTTGCACGTCAGGCCCCAGTGGGGGACAGTGCCGTTCGAGCCATCTGGAGGATAGAATCTGGTCCAGGTGAAGCTGGGGACTGAGAGGACGTAAATATCATCGAAGCCGGGGCCATCTTGAGGCTGGCCAGGTAGACCACCGTACAGATAGCTGTTTCTGTTAGTCAATAGGCTACTTTCCAAAAGCGTGAATAGAGTCTTCCAGTCACTTACATGTTGTAGGCCGACCTGTCATCGGCCCAGGTGGCGCCAGCGCAAAACCGGCGTCGGTTAGGAGGGATGTCACCTGTCGCATTCTCCATGTAGCTCTTGCTACTGACGGGATCATACACAATGATTTGCTCCATGGGTTGGGACCGCGGCACGCCGAAATTGTTGGTTGCGATGCCGCCAAAATAGAGGAGCAGTCCTCCATCCCCTGCCGGGATGGAAAGCATCACCCCTTCTGCCCGCCCGATGTTGTCAGGTCCTGTGCTATTCGTCCACGTGTCGTCGTCCATACTGTACTCCAGGAGGTACGAAGTCATGGCGCCAGGGCCAGACCAGTTGGGATCCGTGTAGTTGTTCATCCAGCCTCCATAGTAATACGCCTTTCCGCGCTCGGGGACAGAAACGCCAGCTCCATATGCAAGTCTCGCGATGCCGTTGGTTCGTGGAGAGGATGTTGATTGCCAGTTGTTGTATATGACATCGTATGAGTAGAGGTTATTGGTAGACCATGGCTTTTCGTTGTAGAATTGGCCGCCGTAGAGGTAGATGCGCTTGTTCACCGTGTCTGGCCAGAAGATGCCGCCATTGACGTTGGGAATCGTACTGTTCTTGCTTAGGTTCGCGTACGGCGGCGGCATGCCAGAGGGATCGACGGCTGACAGGTCATGGTAAAGCAGAAACGGATCTGTTGTTGCGTATATCAGTGGTCAGTCCTGCTTTAGATATTATTGAAACGGCTACCCCTCTTCTTGGACAAGAGGGTGACTTGGATGATGCTGGATGATTCAGGTCACTGACTGGTAAGGTTCTCGTGGCTGTTATCACCATTATAGGTGACAAGGCCTCCATCATAGTAGAGCTTATTGTCAACGATTGCTGCTTGGTGGCCCCATCTTCGGCAAAAGTTGACGATGGGATCGCGTTGCTGGGTTGAGAGGCCAGTAAAGGAAAGGAAGAGGAATAGACGAGCCCAAGAGTGGGGTTTTAGTAGCCAACCCATGTTGACAGAGAAAGACGAGACCACCTGTTTCACCAGTTTACACCTTTTCACGGTGCTATGCGACAAGAGTCGACTTTCTTGAAGCAAATCGGCGTCAGTCCAGGTTGTGCAAAGCCAGGCCCATGAGTGGGAAATCGCACCTCGATTGAAGACCTGAGGAAATCAAAAGGGCAGGGCCATCAAGAAATCGGGCAGCAACATGAATACGAGACAACTGGCCACCGGCACCTGAGGCTGAGAGCCGAATTAGTACTAGCAAATCCATGCCCGTTGGATATGCCTATGAGAGGACTCGGTGGCTTGAGTGGCTTCATTAATCTAGACCAATGTCTTAGACAGAGCTCTGGTGATTGGACGGATGGGCTTTTCAGCTTACGCCCAGTCATGCAGATCAACGCATTAACCGACCTATTGCTGATGCATCACAATATAGGTCGAGGCCCTAGCGTCCGTGTTGTTCAGAGCTAACGCTGGATGAAATCTAGATGCGTCGAAATATTGGCATTTTGAGTTGCTCTAGCACACAAACTATTTGCTCTCTTCCGCCTTGTGGGTGTGAAGCGGGGATTGCCGTTATTTTTTGTTCTTATCATTGCTCTCGCCATAAGGTCGCCTTGACCCCGATCCGAGTAGTTATTCATCTAAAGTGCTGTCTAATTACCCGAATGATTCTAGACAGGCCCGGAGACAATGTTTCCGAATGTAGCTTGGTGAATGGTCATCCTCCACCATGGCTTACGGGTGCAGCCGGGATATTCCAACGCTCAATAGGAATGAGATGTGGCGTTTTGCTCATTGCTTTTCCAAGTCCGAGCAAAATCACCGCCAGTTAAATGTGATTCAAGCATGATATGTCACATGGTCTGCCCCTCAAGGGCGCTTAAGTATTGGCGACCAGACTTTGAACTCAAGCCATGAGATAACACCACGCGGTCGTTTTTTGCCGTGGGTGACTGCTGTGTATCTACACCGTACCGTGATTAGATATGAATTATGATAAATTTTATGTATGGTGCCATGTTTTATTTTGAGAAAAAGAATAGGCTACCCATTAAATATCTCATCTACGAAAAATGTGCCGAAATGATGGATCTTGAGCTTAGTGTTTGTAGATACCTACCTACCCTGTAGCCCCCCATATCTTATGCGTCTGGGTCTTAGAGCTGTGGCTATCCAAGGAAATTCATTTAAAAAAGAAACGTCCCGCATCGTACAATAACTCGTATCCGCACTGCGAGTGAATGGCTAAATGCAAGATTGTGACGGTTGCGGAATGTATCTGGAATCTTAGCGAGCCTGGACATTCGTAGCAAGCAGCCACATTTCTTAACTTCTCAAGCCACCATATCCATCTTTCTTTCTCGGACCTTATTCGCAAACATGGAAGCGTCCACCGCTTTGGCTTTATCACTTCAGTCTCCATCTATGCTGTTGAATTCGAGATGCAAGACTAAGCATGTTTTCTGTAGGCTTGGCTGATCCATTGTGCTACATCGTCAGATCGGCAAGTCGGGGCTTACCGAGCCCGACGGATGGATGGCTTGGTCGCTTAATGTAGGGCTGACGCCTTTATTTGGGGTGAAGGGGTGAAACCACGCGAGCTGTAAGTTGCGCTAAGGATCAAGATGTGGATTTGCATCGCTTACATTGGCTGAGCCATTCCAAGTCGATGCTCGTTCGAGACGGGGAGCACTTGGCTGGTCTGATAAATCCAGTAAAAGATCTGCAATTTCGGCTCATCCATCGCCACTTTCCTGCTCTCGCTAATTAGTTCCCTGCAAAGCTTCATGGTACGTCATGGGGGCTGAGCACTAAGAACGTCAAATTCCTGACAGGGTCTTCCGGCACCTTTTTGCCGCCTATAAGACGGAAGCCAATCCATGATTTAACAAAAAGAGAGGTCGCAGCAGCTCACTGACCTTGCTCTTCATCCTCTTGCGAGACATCTTGGACATCATTTACCGCCCCATAATCAATTCCATCGAAAGAACACATTCAATCATCTTCACTTTTCTCGGAAGCTCCAGTGGCCGTTTGGAAAATGCCTAGAATAGCAAAGTTCTTGAGCTCGGGTCTTGGCCTCACCTCAGAGGCCATTCACAAAGCTCGAGATGGTTCCTCGTCAAATCGCCCCACGCCCTCACATTCTTCCTCAAGCTCCTCCGGGCCACCTCCGCCCCAGCACACACAGGGAGCGGATCAAGGTGCACATGGTCAATTTCCAGCTCATGGACCCGGCCAGCAATCAGAAAAGGATACAAAAGATTTGGTAGATTACCAGGATGGCCAAGGACAGGACGAGGCTGTGTGGGAGCTTGACGATATGGCGGAGCGTCTGAACCCCCCCGCAGAAGAACATATGGCAGAAACGACCGGAAATGAATCCGAGGAAGAAAAGGTCAGGAAGCGGGAGGCCATGGTCCGCAGCTTAGCCTCAATGGCTGGCCCCCCGCCTCGGCCAGCTCAGCGGCTTCCTTGTCCGGTAATTCTTCCTCAACGACGGCCCAGGAAGAAGGATCGCGGCTTCGTGCGTGCATATGCCCCGGTCCTCTCCGACTGTGGTATTAGCCAGGACGTGTTTATTCGCTTTATAGAAGACCTGGACGCCGCCAACAAGGTTAGTTTTGAAGTGGTGCACCTCCGTTCTTCTCATGAACCGGTATTGACTGCATTCCCTAGGCATCAAAATGGTTGGACGCTGTTTTTGTCGCCGCGACCGTCGTTGGATTTGTGCCGACGGTGTCAACTCAAGTTACCGGTCATGTCGTCCAAATCATCGCCGGAACAGCTCGCGAGTTCCAGGGGCGATCACGCGGAAACACATACCTCGATAGAGTCAATGAAGAGGTCTTTATACCTCGTGGCCTCGTCGCAATGGTGATGCAATTCAAGGACGAAGTTCCCGGTCAACAATCAGGTCCGCTCGGTGGTTTGTCCAACTCGATCCAGAAGACCTTCTTCACGCAGGAGAGGCTTGACATGAACCAAACAGCGGCGAAATACGGTAGCCCCGATCCTAATTCTTCTAGAATCAGTCAGGGAATGAGTAATATGAGGCTCACGAGCGGCAAGACCTATGGTGTGGCTGAGTTGCCAGAGTCGGCACCATTAGTGTACCCTGACTTGGACCAGGCGATACACACCCTTGCCGAGGAGCATACGGGAGGGGATCCTCAAACGCAGGGCTCCAAGTCTTCAAGCATAACGGCCAAGTTCAAGAGTGCCGGAGAGTGGACGAATGACTACCTCGACCGAAGGTCACATGCCTTTTACGTAAGTTCCTTACCTCCCTTTGGAGCGGTGGACGTACTAACATCATTCCAGGAGGCAGAGAACCCGGGAACTTCGCTCTCTACATCAGCTGACAACCGAGCGCCGATGAAGTCGCGCTTTAATGACCCCAAACATGCGGCTAATAGCGGCTCCATCATCTCTGTGCTCACAGGCGGTCACATCGCGACTCAAGGTCTGCCTCAGAGGTTGGCTGCCAGGAGAGAACAGAGGGGCCGAGTCCGAGGTAGATCATCACAGGGTTCAAAACACGGAGGCTTGTTAAGACAGAAGCCCGTGAGGAAGCTTCTCCAGAAGGATGTGTTCTATCTTTTAGTAGTCAATATTCCCAGTCAGGAAGAGGTTGCGCACTCGGTTGCTCAGCTGGAACAGATTATGGGATCGGCCGCCTCTACTTCTTTTTCACGTTAAAAGGTTTCAGAACCTATATCCACAATTAATATATGCATACTAGCCAAGTCATCTCTTCTGCACTTTCTATTGATTGATTCGCCGTCTGATGAATTGAGGGCGACTTTGTGGAGTTCTCTGAGCAAAGTACATTCCAAAAAATTGCCGATCAATGAGAAAGAATGCCCTTTGAGCCAAACTTAGCCCAGTGGAATATGTGAAAAGTACTTTGAAGGAGAATGTGAGACAAAAATCGGGTAAGCGTCGACGTGTCTAGCACCTTTGGTGCTGATCTTAATGCAAATGGGAACCTGGGAGGCTTTGGTGTCCTATGAGGAAGCCTTCAGCTACATGTGGTTTCACATATTATTTTCATACTCAAGCGCAAAAGCACCAACATGAATCTACCAAGCTAAGACTGTCTCACTGATACAGAAAGTATAAGTATCCAGTGGTGTCTCTTCTAAAAGAGCATTGGCATCCCAGCTCATTCAAATAACAATCACTTGCAACACAAGAACCCACAACTACCACGTCGCTTGCTCAAGATTTTCATCAAAATGAAGCCTACTTTCCTCATTGTTTCTTTCATGGCTGCTCTGTCCATGGCCACCCCTACTCCCGCCGAGGGTGACCAAGTTGCCTCTCCCAACGACCAGGTCCGCGCTTCCGATGATCTCGTTGACTTTGACACCCGTGCCTGCAAGGGCAAGGGCGGAAAATGCACTGGCATCAAGGGACAGTGCTGCCGTGGCCTCATTTGCACCGTATGGTTCTCCCTCTGACTTCGTGGAACAGTACAGCTAATCATAAAGACCCTTTCAGTTCGACACAAGCTTCAAGAATGGAAAGTGCAAATAAGAGCAATGACAAGTATCACGAAAGATTCAATATCTGAATCGATACTGGAATGGCTGGAGCCTGATCACCTCAATAGCCCTTGGAGAGATATATAACAATACGATAAGGTACCCTCTACATGTATCGTGCTATGGTAAACTGTGATTGTGAAACTATGATATGCGCGTGCAGCTGATTCTATTCAGTTATGCTCGTGAGCCCATCGAAGTTGCCATGCTAACCCTCAGCTGATCGCTTCTTGATACCACACTTCCATCCTTGCGTCATCTTACCCTCTCAAGAATTCTTCATCTATTCTTTCCTACTCCCATTTAGACTTATTCGCTTCGGCAAATGCCTTCCATGTAGTTGGCTTGCGATCAAGAAGGGCGAGACTTGGTGAGAGGTCCGCGCCTGCGTAGTAGCCGGGGTCCTGGAGCAGAAGGACATTCTCGAGGAGCTCCTGCGCGACGGACGGTGGGAAGAATGTCTTGAAGACCTCGCGTGGGACCTCCACAAATGAAGCCTTCTTGCCGGTGGCGGCGGTGAAGTCGGCAACAATTTGTCTCGGGGACATATACTCAGTGGCACCTAGTATTCTTTTGCCGGAGGGCGTGGATTCCTTCAATGCAGCTTTGACAAAGAGTCCTGCGCGGTAAAGCGTTAGTCTCGTCCATGGAACACGCGGTTGGGTGATTGAACTAAGCCGACGTCCTTACCAGTATCGCCAGCAGCGTCGATGAGCGGAAACTGGGCCTTATCACCATCAACTGGCAGAGCATGTGTGTAGCTTCCATCGTCGTTCTTGCGGAATGAATCGAAATAGTTCGACATATAGCACCCAGGCTGGAAAAACGTAGCAGGGACACCGATGTCACGAATATACTGCTCGATGGCAGCCTTGGAGTCAAAGTGGACAACATTGGGAAGAACACCCTTGCTGGCCTCAGTGACATTGATCAGTGAAGAGAAGATGAGGTGTTTGACCCCAGCGGCCTTGGCGGCATCTGCAACCGCCTTCCCTTGAGATACCTCGAGCTCGTGATCACACTTCTCCCAGTAGTTGGTTACGAGGAAGACAGAATGGGCGCCTTCAACGGCTGGTCGAGCCGTCTCAACCGAGTTCATGTCGGCCTAGAGGGCGAGTCATTGTTAGCACCGGCCATTGAAGATGGACTATAGAGTCGCCTACAGAAACCAATTGGACGCCTTGATCAGCAAGATCCTTGGCAGAAGGTTTGGTCACGTCTCGGGTAATACCACGAATAGTATATTCCTTGGACAACACAGGGTCAGCAAGAATGGCTTTGATAACGGAGCCACCTTGGATGCCAGTGGCTCCAAAAACAGCCAGAATCTTTGACATGATGTTTTGATGGTGTTGGTATGGGTTGAGAATAGAGGTGTATTCTGTTGGGTGTGAGGACGGTAGCGGATTGAGAGTTGAATCGTGTGATGGAAGACATTGAGGGACCCTTTATATGTACAGGCGAGTAGAGTATAATATCTAGTATCGTGGGATTAGCAAACTAACTCTCTCAAGGCCAATAAGCCGTCCTTAGTGAAGAGGATGTCGCATCGGATAGATTTTGGTGCCAGTGTCGCACTTAGTCGTTGTCCCTTGCCGAGCTGACCAGCCTTCTACGGCAGTCGGCTATTGTTAGCGCTCGATCTCGGACAACAAGCGACTCCGCTCAGCCTTGGCGCCTAGATTGTTTCTGACGATGCCGTTCTACCCCTGGCTTGTCGGTCACGTAAGAACACCGGCCTCCGGCAATGTGGATATTAACTCTCGGATGGATTACGCCCACACGAAAACATATATATCAAGGCAGAAGCGTACTGGGCGTGGTGTTAGGCAAGCAACTTCGGCATTGAGGAACATTTTTAGCCGTCGTGCTGATGATACACCTTTAGGCCATAATGAACGCTCAAGATTTACGGAAGAGTTGATCTTCTCTCTCAAACAAGTAGTTTAATCTTTGAAAGTCTCCGCAAAAAAAAGGGCTTCTGACTATTCTAGTTTCTCTACCATATTTGTGTTTCGATAAAATATGACGATATTCAGGAGAATTATTTTCTTTCCTTTGACCGGATTTCTAGTGGTCTCATTTTCAATGATTCAGTTGACGAGGCTCATCTGACATCGATGACCCAAATGTGTGAATATTCACAATGGGGAAGCCAGAGATCGACGTACCTAATGTAAGGGCTATCTCGATGACATGTGTTCCAAGAGAGAGGGAATCAACTGAACCAAATATAGGCGGGGGGTATTCAGGGCTCTACCGTGTCTCATAACCCACGTGTTCGGCCAAATTAAAACCTCATGTGAGTACTGGTCGATTGGGCTGGCATATGAATGAGACAGGACGTGCCATTGAGCGAGCCGGTCTCACCTCATAACGTAAATTACGCCCTCGTTCTAAGAGACTCCTCTAAAAAGCCTCCATCAAGGCTCTCCAAGTTAGTTCTAGAGGGCTACTTCAATGTGGCGTACCTACCCCTCAAATTCACCATCGTACCCATGGGCAGAATGGTCAACGGGAGCGCGGTGGTTCTCCTATTAGCTCGCGAGATCTTTTTGTGATTTTTGTTATTGATTTGTAATTGTTGAGGTGATGTTGATACAAGATTATCTAAGGACATATATTGAGACAACGCCATTGAAACCTATCACAGCCTCAAATTGATATCCAATCTCAAAACCAACCTCTTTCTAACTTGTTAGCGAAGGCCCTCATTAGAAACCGACATTAGACTACTTATAAGTCGAGGATCAGCCCTTCAATCTCGACTGTGGTATTCAGATGGAATTAAATGTCTTTATTTTTCATTCATTTAGTTATCTAACGCCAAAATGCACTGATTACCTTTGATTATTTTTTTAAAACTCACAAAAACTGCTCTGAGCCGCAAGACCACAAACGGTCCGTCATAAGTTCGCGACCGAGCCGAGCAAAAACACACGATTCCGAATTCATTTCGTCATATCGCATAATCCAAAATTAATAGCTCTTCATCTTGAGAGGCTGACCCTGCCAGCCCTGCGGGTGAGGCGCCCTCTTCTCCTCGTAGTACGAGTCGTCCATCTCCGGCCTGTAGTGGCGCACGCTGCCCCGGGGCTCCTTTGCCGACATGCAGCCAAAGGCGCGCTTGAGCCAGCCGCCGAAGCCGCCCCTGGAGTCGTCGATGGTCTGGTAGTCTGTGTGCCTGGACCTGGACCTGGCGCGGTACTGAGTAGGGGCGTGGGTGGTGAAGTCTGCGTGGGTGCTGAAATCCTGCCTGGGCGCCGCCAAGGGGTCGTTTGCCGCCGGGAAGTGGAAGAAGGTGCTCGAGTTCCGGGCAGCAGAGGTGGATGGCCGGGCGAGATGGAGGCCAGAGTCGTTGTTGGAGGCCTGGTAGGCCTTGGGGACGCGACGGCGGGTGGATTGTCCCGTGCGGCCTTGCTGGTTGAGGGCGTTGGTTGAGGGCCGCTTGGCGTGGGCCGTGGCTGGGCGATACTGGGAGACTGACGGCCTTGGGCTTACGACGTTGGTGGTGTATCCGTATCCTCCATTGGAGCTGTGTCCGTTGGAGCCATATCCAGAATCATGACGCTTGATAGCCTGTGCTGTTGCCGGACGGTCAAGACTGGCTCGGCTTCCGCGTCGCCTGTGGCTGTTGCGAGAGCTGGACACGCGCTTCTGGGGCGGCGGCGAGGGTGCCTCCTCGTCTAGCGTCTCGACGTCATAGAATTGATTGCGAGCGGTGTAGAATGTCAAATCCGACGCGGCCATTGATGGCGCGGCGGACGGTGCCCTGGTCGGGGGCACGAAGTTGTTGTTGTATCTTGGGTCCATGGTGGATAGACTATGTATCTAATTGATGTCTGACTGTGCTCGTGCTTGCTTAACGAAGATGCCTCCAAGCTATTAAGAGTGGAAGAAGCCTGTCTTGCGTCTGGTTCATGGAATGCACGTATGTATGAGCGTGGCGAGATGATCCCCCGGCTGTATCAGGCGATTTGGCTGTGGGTAGGAATCAAGAATAGGAGAATGTCAGGGGTGCGGCCACAACAAGCTAGATTGGAAACACAGACCGGCAGACCGGTAGAGAGACGATTGGCCTTGTGTCCCTCGCGTCTTGAACGGTAGCAGGATGAATTGTGCGTCTGAAGATGCGAACGAAACGGAGACACGCGACAGCAGCAGAGAAGTCGGTCAGGACAGAAATCGATATGGGGTGGGGAACGGGCTAATGCAATGCAACGCAAGAGGAATAAAATAGGGGTCCCGGTCGGCCAGACCGTCTTTCGTCCTGCTCCTATAGGCGTCTGGGGCCTGTCGGTTGGCGGGCCATTGAGTAATTAATCAATCGGCTGGACAGGGGCTGGGAATTGTCGACGCGATCAGAATGGCGTGAAGATGCGTTGTCTGCGCATCTAAAAGCATCAGAGCCAAGCAGGATGCCATGATCTGAGCCCGGCGCCCATCATTCCATCAAATTGGCCGTCAGTTTCCAAGTGTCTGCATGGGTGAATGCTGCTCATCTGTGGCTGGGAGCACGCATGTCGGACCGCCACTGGCAAATGAATGGATGAGATTACCGCGGACAGGCCCTAGAACCCCTCCAGGCTGCACAATTAATTGCCTTGCCGAGTGGCTGGGGATCTTTTGCTCGCGACACGAGTGGCTGCAGATGGCAGAGACCTCGGTGTTTCCTCTGATTACAGTATTTGCCTATGATTGTATCAATTGATATCTCTCACTCCCTATACGACCGTATCTGGCATGAATTCTTCTAATTCTTCTACATAGTAATTCTCTGCTCGGAATTAAGTCGATCGCGTGGGGTCAGGAGATGGAGATGCAATGCCAATCCTTTTTCTTTTTCGGCTACAGCTGAAGAAAGATGTTCTGATTCGCCACGCGATTGTCAAAGAGCAGATTATCCCTATTGATGACTACTGCTGCTAGTAATTGGCACACTTTAGCAATAGGCCTGATCGCGCTATGGATGAAATTGATGAATATTGAAGTGGTGGGTCCGATCATTTCTTTGCTGCTTCAACTGCTGCGAATGGAGACCTCATTTCCTTGGAGGAAATTGATTCTCTTCACCAATTGCCCGACTTGTAAATCTAAGCTGCTCCGTCTAATTAGAACGCTCAATTCTAATTCGCTTGCTCTATTTGACCTCCACTCTCGGTTTCTATTCGAAAGCCGTTGGCCCGTTGTACGCCACCTCTATAGTAATGTATCCAAATGAACGACCGGATCAGTGTACCAATAACACATCCAATCGCTTGTTGCCTTCGTCAGTGGCGGTTTCCCGATACGCCTGCTGTTCATCAGCTGACATGGCGTTCCATTTTCTCGTCTTGTCCTCGTTTCGCCACATGTAGTAGCCTTTGACCAGAAAATAGAGAACAATGTTTCCGCACGCTATTATGATGAGATTTCGATTTCCTCTTTCGTACCGTGGTTTGTCGTCCTCGCGATAGATGTTGGATCCGATCATGCCCGAAGCCTGAACGCACATATTATACGCAGCGGCAGAGACGGCTCTTAGTTGCACCGAGTTTGAATTTCTCGACGTCCAACTGACCTGTAGCGCATGTGCTAAACAACAATAACCAATTGTATCAGCATGAAATTCATCAATGTGGGGGTGGAGAGAACGTACGGGAAGGGTAGGAAAGTAGAGCTGTGAGAACCAGCCAGACAACCCATGGATTCATCTGTGTGATATCTCCGATTTTGAGAACCGTCAATCCCACGAGCACCCACGCCTGCGGAATGATTGCAACAAGAGATCGTTCCTGAAGTCTCTCTGATAACTGACTGATGGCTATAATGGAGCACATAGAAAATGCCATGGCGGGGACGGTGAGTAAGTTGGTTACTGCTGTGCTGAAGCCGACTTCGCGAAGAAGCAGGGTGAGATATTGTCTTGGTGGTGTCATGGGAAGGCCGAATAGCAAGCCGATAATGTATAACGGCCAGAGGTCGTAGTCTAGAAGACAACTGACCAGTTTCCTGACCGTAATGGGCTCTCTGTTGTGCACCTGCCCTTTGCTGGGATCATCACGAATAATCCGGTTGACTGAGATTACTTCCTCCCTGATCCGCTGTGTCAGTCATGTCCATTCTAATCCCACGACGAAATCAAAGGACCTACCTTTTGTTCATCCAGGGCTTCCCGCCGCTAAACCAGCTAGAGGTTTGAGTTAGAGATGGTGGAATGAGGTGGAAGGCGAGAAGTCCAATGGCCAACGTCAAAATGCCCTATCGAAGAGAAGACGGGTTAATTTCCATTTGTGTAACCTTATATGAGAGGTTATGTACTTGCCTCAATAAGAAACAACCATCGCCAGCCCTCAAGGCCATTATGTCCGCGAAGCTGTAAGATAGGGACAGCAAAAACACCGGAAAGAATATCTGCAAATGACATGGTTGCCCAAAAGTATGAGACTCGTAGTGACAGTTCATGAGATTTGTAAAAGTAGCTCAGATATAAAATGACCTGCCATGAATGAATGAGAAAACAGCATTGTTGTGGCCGTGTCTTATACACGACCCGACACGGAAACTTACTTGGGGAATGAAGCCCCCTTCGCAAATGCCGAGCAAGACTCTTGTGAAGAGGAAACTTGACCTATCATAGAGCCAAAACTGGCTGATGGAAACAATGCTCCAAAGACACATCTGTGCCGGGATCCAACGGTCTGGTCCGATCCATTTACTGATAAGTTGGGATGGAAGTTCGGCGAAGAGGAAGGCTAATCGGAACAGCGTATTGCCAAGATTATAATCTATCAAGAAAAAGCATCCACGTAAGAATCTCAACGGATCAAATGATAATAAAGAGAATAGGCGTTGCTTTGCCTACCATCGGTGGTCAATTCAAGATCTTGCAAGAAGTTGTCAGACAGTGCCTGGCCAAGATTCGCTCTGTCCAGCTCAAGGGCTAGAAACGCGACGCAAATGAATCCGAGGATGCGGAAGTCGAGTTTCCGGACTACTGCCCGTTCTTCGCCCCAGGTCCAGCGGGCTGAAGGGTCAAACCGGTGGATGTTTTCCCATTCTAGGCTCGGCTGAAATGTTTTCGCGTGGTTGGGGTCATCAAACACGGACTTCTGCGTAGCTATGGCGTCGCTATCATTATCATCATAATCATCGTTACTGGATTTCCATGAGAACCAGGATGATCCCGATTTTTCTCGCGGTGATGAGAACACCTCGGGTTCTTTGGGTTCAAATTCTGTTGATGAGACAGACGACGACGGGCTTGTTCCGAGAAGTGGGAGTGACTCCTCGTCGGCCTCCTCACTTCTGATCTGGTCTGAAAGCATGGGCTCCGTGTCACGCCATCTGCGCCCGGCCGTCATGGGTATTGAAGGCGTGGGAGCCATATTGAGGAGAACTAGAAACGCTTGACGAAGCAGGGGTGAGGCAGGAGAGTGAGGGATGCTCGAGACCAAGATGAAGTAAATGCCCAGACGAACACATGAGGGGAATGGCGATCTCGCCTGTGGCGCTAATCTGAGCTACGGACAAAACAGTAATCAATCAGTGGCCGTTGTGTGTTTCGCGTCATGCGCCGCCCCCAAACAGATGTCGTGATCGATCGTGACCGTTGGACGCAATTGCGTGACCGCGCTTATATCCTTCCAGCACATCTGTCTCACTCCGCATCAGCAGCAGCCTATCTTGCCTGTGTATAGTGGCTGAGGCTTGTATCATCTGAGAGAAAATTATACCATATGATCGCTCACATCATTGTTCCTAGTCTTGATTGGTGGGCAGAACTGGATAACCTATCCTTTCGGCTCTACCACCAACAACCTTGACACTTATCGCAATATTAATAAGCCGCCGTAATACTATATCGCATCATCAATTCTTCCCCCCCTAGACTTAGCCCACAGACAGGTAAGATCCATATTAGAACAATTTCTTCGCAATCTTTGGAGACGAGGGCATTGGGAAGAAAACAAACGTCTGCTTGATACTGGCTTTTATTGAATTCAATAGTCAATTCAACATCTATGCCCATCACTCGGCTGTCTTAAATCGGGAAAATGCGAACAAATAAACATCGCGAGGTTGACTGTGGTATGAGAGGTTCTAATACAGTTGATCAGCCGATCCATCGTCGGAGCACTGTCAACCGACGATCCACGATCAGCAACCCCAGTGAATCTTCGCGAAATTTGGGTCCAGGCTTCGGCTTGAAGACCGAATAAATAGCTTTCTCTTCAAGGGCCGCTCCTTCGTAGGTTTGGGTCAACTATTATTGCCCTGGCATGAATCGTTTGAGGATTGACGAATGGATTCTCTAGCCAAGTTTAAAACAAATGATGCAACCGGTGAGTTAGTGAACAGTCGTCGACTAAGCAGCAATGCTTGCATCGTATCTCCTATAAGTATAGGTGGTGATGTAATATGCCAGGACACTATCGAATCAGGATGATGAGTGAGGCTCAACGGACTACGTACTACCTTTGCAGGGATACCGGCTATGGCCAGAGTATATGATCTTTGTCGGTCGCCCCTCGCCAAAAGCAGGCTGGATAAAACCCAATACACACTTGGGGCATTGTTGCTGCCAATTTCAACCCCAAATGGTTGGTAGCATTGTAGTTCAGCTCCAGCACAAGGGTTGGGATAACAGAACGCTACTCAATCATCAAAGGGCGATGAGTCACAAGCACCTGTTCAAGTTCAGCTCCTGCTGAACACTTGGGCCACGTGCCGGCTCGAAACGAGCATGGTCTCACCGCACCTTGGAAGGCTGGTTTTTGGGTTGACAAGATGTTCAATATTAATACATTGGGATAGAAGGCCTTGGTATAAGGGTTTCAATATTACGGGTGAGAGAGTTCGAGTACACAGTAAAAAGAAAATAGCAGTGGAAGATGCCAGACCCGACATCTCAACCCAAAGAGTACGAAGGGTTTCAACCTGAAATACCAATAGTTAGTAATTCACAATAGTTATTAATAATGTATAGAAACAAAAATAATTTACAAGAGTTTTATGCAGGGCCCTGTAACTGCTGCGTCCGGCTCTTATTTAATTTGCCTTAGGGTGACCAAACACACTCTAAGGTCATGTTCACTAGGAGGTACTTAAAGCTAAGAAATAGGTTCTATACAGCCTTTCTGAACGTAACATTATCAACCCAAAGGGAAACTGCATCGCGGCACATAGCCATGACAGCGATACCGGGCCCCAAGCTAAGCACCGACTCGGGGTACCGGACCACTGTAGTAACTTGGATCCAGCCGACGGAGGCAGCGGCCACATCTACCGTAACCTGCCCGATAGTGAGGCGGGCGTTGTCGCCTGCCGTGCCGCCGACGAAGACGTTGGAGCAGGTGCCAGGAGCCACGCGAATGCGGAGGGTGATCTGGTAGGGATCGTCGGCGACGACGCGGGAGCCGTCGACGGACTGGTAGATGCCCCAGATGGCGCTGCCGCTGTTGAGTGCGGCGGCGTACTGGAAGTTGCCCGACTGCGAGCCCTCGTAGACCGGGTCCCTCGCGATGCTGATCTGGCCCCGATTGATGTTGGGCCGGAAGAGCGCCTAGGGTGCCAGGGTGCTGTCCTCGAAACCTGGGTTGGTGAGCAGGTTGGGCTGCTCAGGAGCGGCGATGGTGGTTGTGGCCTGGACGGTCGAGGAGGTGGTGGACGCAGATGTGAAGAGAGTGGTGCTCTCGGTGGAAGGTGTTGGCTCAGCAGAAGGTGTCGACGTAGTGGAAGGTGTCGGCTCAATGGAAGGTGTTGAGACAGTAGAAGGTATTGACAGGCTGACCGAGGGAGTGGTCGATTCGCTACTACTCTCAGTTGAGGATATCGACGGAGTAGCAGTGGATGTGGTAGGCGTCAGCACCGGCGTGCTCTCGGTAGAAACCGTGGACAAAGTAGGCGTCGTGCTGACGGTCAGAGAAGACGACGAGCGCGGCACACATCGTGAAGCCAGTACTCCGCCGCCAAGAGCGAGAAGCGGAAGGGCGAAGATCTTGGTCCTCATGGCGAAGAGAACAAGAGGGCGCAAAACGGGATTTTGCAAGGGAGAGTAGACAGTGTCAACGAAGAGCTTCACGAACAAGTAAGAATAAGACTTAAAAAGGAATCAAGCTCGAAATGTACTAAAACCAGGGGTAATGGCGGCGAGACAGAGCAATAGTTTGTCGATAGTGCGCCACTACGAGCTCGTAACGGCGCTAATCACAATCTCTGGGGAGATCAGCTCCGGCCGCGCTTGTAATTAGTTTAAAAGAGGTCTCTATATTTACTTTTTGGAACAATACTTTAAGTGGCACCGAATCAACCACACGTCTTACAAGCAGAGTCTTGCAAAGAATTGTCTTGTCGAGAACATCGCCAAAGAGCATCACATTCTCTGCCTCATACCTCATGAAAGGCTCGCGAGGGGCTTGGTGAAACGTGCTTGAAATGCCATATATATGTGAAATGGTACAGTTCAATGATTATGTCTAAATATATAGTGAAATTTGAACATCGCTTTGTTGTCGAGGCGATGATCGAGGTATTTCAGCTAGATTGTTGCTTGTGATAGATGGCTGTTAGAGGGGAGGGAAAAGGATGTACGGATACTATTGTTAGTGAATGCATTGTATTGTTCTGACCCTGATCCTGTATATAACAACAGGAACAAAAATTCCGTGCAACATCAAAACGCATCTGTATCGTCACCTTATCATAGCACGTTACTACGGGGGTTACGCGAATGGGGGTAGCTCTGTTCAAAGCCTTTCTTACAATTATTAATTAGAAGCATGGCAGCAATTGTACGATCAATTTCCGACCAAAAACGAGAACCAAGAGAGAGTTGTACGTAAAAACCTATCTAGAACTAGCAAAGTATAAATTGATTCAGTACCAAAATTGCTGAATTCATATCATGCTTTCTTAAACTGCCTCTCCATGAGATTATTGTTGCAAGGTCCGAATTAGACGACTTTTGCGGTGACCGAGGCAATTATATTGAGTTCTCCGGTATAGCAAACGACAGCTATACCGCTCTCTCGTCTGTTGTTGCGGGCGGTGAAGGCTTTGTTGAGCTAGCATGGACGCTGTTCACTCCATCCTGTAGCTCGATATAATTCGCCTCGCCATTCACGGTGAAATTCGTGTTCATAAGACTCTTCGGGATATAGGAATGTTGGCCTTTCGGGCTACGTTTCGGGTCCCAGCCATTAACTGCCGAGGCGATTTCGGACGCCGTCGGTCGGCGAGGCGCTGATCCCCTCGTGCGGAGGTGCTTGCGGAAGAGGACAGCCAGCTCTGGGAAACAGACACAAAGATTGCCAGATGTCAGCTCGGCGGCCCCCCAGAGGAGGATTTCTGGTTGCTTCCAGGTCTTGTCTGTGTTTCCACTGTTTCTAAGCCGAACCACGAAGCCAATCGTGGCAAATATGGGTGCACTTCAACAAGTTAGCTAGCTTACTCCTATCTGGAATCATCTCCGATGTATCAGGATAAGGGGCTTACCATAGACCAAAAGTGAAAGCAAGAACGACAAGCGCCTTTCGCGTCCGATTCATTTGTAGCTTCCAAACCGCATGAACAGGCAGAAACATTATAATGTAATCGGTGACCGTGTTGAAGCCACCGCTGATATTGAGGATCCATTTCATCTCGACACACTTCCCAGGAATTGTTTTGTTCCAGATCCTATCGCGTGGAGTGCATTCGAATATTTTGACAAAGGTGGTGACTCCGTAGAAGCCGGTCGTGAGGACGATGAGGATCAGAATGCCGATTTCCAGTACACTGCGTCTAGCTGGGGCGAAGACCCTGCGATAGAGCCAGAGAACGGCGAGCTTGGCGATTGCAATCATCACGCCGTAATGGATGGCGGCAACGTTGAACCAGTAGTATGCTTCCACGGCTTGTTCTTTGGTAATATCCCAACCATGCTCACCTCCGTGGTGAGACATGGTCGCCCGCATGATACCGCAGTATGAGACCGTGCCGGCCCAGCCAATAGTGACGAGATAATCCTCGAAGATCCACGTACGCTTAATGAAAAGACGCACGTAGAACCGCAAGAAAAAGAAGACTGTGACGAGGGGTAAACATATTGAAATCGTGATGGTTGCAAGAAAGGCAAGGGACTCGGGGTTGTCTGGGTTGGAGATGACGCCCGCCGGTGGTGGCAAAGCTGGAGTGAAGCTTGCCGTCGGGGCACTTGTTGACGATGCTTGAGATGCCATTGCACCCAGATGACTTGAGAAAAGGCAGATGGATCGGACGATAGATGCCGAACCCCACAGAAACGATCTCGGGTAATAAATGCAAACATGGACTTTCCAGGCTCTCAAACGCACGTCACCTCAAGGTAAGGTCGAGGGAAAGTGAAATATAAGTGCTCTTATCGAAGTTGCTATAATTTGATTTAAGTGATGCGCGTGAGAGCATGGTGGCAAGCAGCTGACAAGCCACAGCTGAATGGGCATCTTTGTGTCTCTGGCTGCGAGACGCCCAAGATTTAGATACAAAGGAGCAATTCTTCCTGCATAGACGACAATACGCTCAAGAACGAGAACCGAGGAACAGGCCACTTCCCGGCAGTGTTGCAACAAGGAACTTTCAGCTGACATGCAGAGGCGTAGTAGTATTGGCTGGCTGAAATGGGGGTATGCAGTGACGATGCTACCACACACCACATTGCCTGTATCAGCTTCGTTCAGAGGACGGAGGCCCGTTGTTAGTAAGGTTGTAGGAATGTAACAGTACTGGTACTAGCCGAGAGAACTTGAAGTCGGCTCCATCTTCAGCGCGCTGCGGAGAGCTCTAATCTGTGCTTGACGGAATAGCAGTCATCCCGCATACCGATCCCTTACCCGGTTACGAAACGGTCGGCTGTCAATAGACGGGATATTTAAGGTCTTATCCTCTTATATTTCCTGAGCATTTTATTCGTTCATCTTGCCTTTTCCACGTGGCTCACCGCAACCTCTCGGAAGCAACATTGCAATTGCACTTTTTAGCCAAACACATTTTGCAACTCATCGCCATACTATCATAATGAGTGACAAAGGTGCCAAGACCAGTTTACAGCCCGTTCTTTACTTTTTTGAAAGCTAACTTGACTAGTAACTAACGCGGTTGAGTCAACATCGTCTCTTCCAGACGCACCAGCCATGTCTCCTGACGCAGAGGCCAAATTGATCCGTAAAATTGATCTCCGTCTACTGCCAATGCTGTTTATGGTCTACGTTGTAGCGTTTCTTGACAGGTAATTAAAAGGATTCACTGTGCGAACCATCATCTAACTTTCAATGCAGAGCCAATGTCTCGAATGCCCTTACCATGAGGATGCCAGAGGAGCTGCATCTGACCGGCCAGCAGCCTAACACCGCACTGGCCATCTTTTTCGTTCCCTACATCCTCTTTGAGATTCCTTCTAATCAGCTCATGAAAAGATTCACCCCCCATGTCTGGCTCTCGCTGTGCATCTTTGGATTTGGCGTTGTCATGCTGGCCCAGGGCTTCGTGCACAATTTCAGCGGCCTTCTTGCAACCCGCTTCTTCCTCGGTCTCTTTGAAGCAGGTATATTTCCTGGTAGCTTCTACTTGATTAGTTTCTGGTACAAGAGGGAAGAAGCCCAGCAACGTTTCACCTTCTATTTCTGCTCCGTCATCTTTGCATCCGCATTTGGGGGCCTGTTGGCCACCGGGATAGCGAATATGGATGGGGTGCGAGGCTACAGCAATTGGCGATGGATCTTCATCCTCGAAGGTATCATGACCGTTATTGTGTCCTTCATGGCTTGGTTCCTTCTGTGTGACTTTCCCGGAGAGGCCCAATGGCTTACCGACGAAGAGAAGGAGTTTGTGCTGAGAAGGACCCTTACCCAAGAGGCCGAGAACAAGGAGGGTCCTTTGTCTGTGAGCGACCTTGTCGAATTCTTCAAAGAACCTATGAACTACTTTGGCGCATTGATGTACTTTTGTAAGTCACACTGCCTTTGTCCAACTCACACCGGCTGACATCAATCCCACAGCGGTCGTTGTTCCCGTCTATTCCTTTGCATACTTCACACCCACAATTGTGAAGACTCTTGGATACTCTGTCGTACAGACACAGCTCCACTCGGTGCCTCCATTCGCTGCTGCGTTTGGTTTCTGCGTCTTGCTGGCTTACCTGTCAGCTCGAACGGACACTCGAATGCCCTCTGTGATAATCTCGGCGCTTATTCTGATCGTCGGCCTCGCCATCCTCATGACTACTCGGGGCCATTTCTCGGCGCAATACGGCGGTATTTGCCTCGTCTGCATGGGAGCATTCGGCGCGGGTTCCATTGTTGTGTGCTGGTACCTAATGAACCTGCAAGGGCACAAGCAACGCAGCATTGGATCCGGTTGGATGATCAGCTTTGGGAACACGGGCGGCCTCGTCGCCCCATTTGCCTTCCTGCCCAAGACTGCACCCCAGTACGTCACTGGATACTCTGTCTGCATGTCAGTCGCCGTGCTGGGCATCCTCGTTACAATCTGCTACGCTCTGCTGGTCTTGCGTTCCAGGCGCAGGGTTGCCGACGATCCCGGAGCTAATGACTCGCATGTCATGTCGCTTTGAGGAAACTTCTGATTTGCATATTCGGTGGCTGATACGAGAAGCTATTGAATGGTTGGGACTTGGAAAGGAAAGTGGTATTGATATTGACGTGCAATGTAGTGCAGTGCTGTTGGTGATATCAGATGCAAAAGAACGAACATTGGAATGCCTGTAAGATTATATCAACGTTAAGAAATAGACATATTTCAGCCAGTATAAAAGCCCATCAATCATAAGATCAAATAACTGAATGCTTCTATCCCTAAGAGTCAAGCGTGTTTTTGTATATTCTTTACCGTCATGACTACTGAAACAAAGTTGCCGGGCAATCCAGAAGGTACATCACTCCTATCAATAATTAAAACCTATTCCATCCCCTTAACTTGATTTAGGTGTCTTCGTCGTGTCCGTGGATGACACAGCCTCAAACAATCCGCCTGCACAGGCGGCATGGAGGCTGTCTTCGGTAGGCGGCTTCTCCAAACCACAACATGTACTCTCGGGCCTTATTGATGTAACTTGTAGGCAAGAAAGGTGTTCATCTGCGCGACTGTCATATTTTTGAATTTCAACGTCACCCTGGGATCATCCCTGCCCAGCGGCTCCGGGCCAACGCTTAACGCCCATTTCGGTGTCACCTCAGAGCTGCAGAAGCCGCTCCCTGTCGCTATCTTTCTGGTTGGTTACAGTGAGTGACTGCGCATAGAGTCTCCTCTCCTGCATACTGACGGGTCCTGACTCTCTGGGCAGTCTTTGGCCCCATTATATTTGCGCCGCTGTCAGAATCGATCGGCCGCCGGATCGTATTCCTGGTCTCCTTTACAATATACACGGTATTCACCATCGCCTGTGCCTTTGCCCCGAGTTGGCCAGCGTTCCTCTTCTTCCGCTTCATGCTGGGATGCGGTGCCGCTGCTCCCCAAACGGTGTCAGGCGGCCTCTTCTGTGACCTCTACCCAGAACTGCGCCCGAGGGGCATGGCCGTGACGATGCTGGGGCTGACCAGCAATGTTGGCCCTCTGGTTGGGCCGATCATTTCTGGATTCACGTCAACGAGGGGCTGGCAGTGGCAGTTTTGGTGTGCCCTGATCCTTGCCGGCATAAACTGGCCTATGCTGCTCATGTTGCCCGAGACGTTTGCCCCTGTTCTCAGAGGCAGGCCTCTTATTGACCAGGCCGCAGCTGGACAGGCTAGCGGGAGCTGCATCTCGAAAGTATCGGATGTCATCCGGGTGCAGGCCAAGATCCTTGCTCGGCCCATTCGTATCTTGTCTGAACCGCTGGTATTTTTCACTGACCTGTTCATCTTGTACCAGTACATCATCTTCTTCCTGTACTTTGGAGCCTACCCGGTCATCTTCCGAGGCACGTATGGCATGTCACCTGGCGTATCTGCACTGATGTTTATCCCCACCGGGGTCGGGGCTCTTCTCGCAGTTGGCATCTTCATGGCATGGGACAAGTTTCACAAGAAAGCTGTAGAAGATGGGAAAGCATGGGCTCGCCGTGAAGAATTCAGGAGGCTGCCGCTGGCATGTCTCGGCGGCCTGCTCTTCGCGCTCTCCGAGTTCTGGCTGGGATGGACCGCCCGTCCCAGCATCCACTGGGCCGTTCCCGCAATGTCCGGCGTCCCTCTGGGCATAGGCATTGACCTGACCTTCCTCGCGCTGAATAATTACCTAACGGACGCATACGACATCTACAGTGCATCGGCGTTGGCGTCCAGCGTCTTCACACGCAACGTAGTGGCCGCCTTCCTCATCCCGCTTACGACACACCCCTTGTACGCGAACTTGGGCACGCAATGGGCGTGTACTCTTCTGGGGTGTCTATGTCTCCTACTGACACCGATCCCGTTTGCCTTCATCCGTTGGGGCCCGGCAATGAGAAAGCGCAGTCCATTCTGCCAGGAACTGGCACGGCTCAAGGCGGGGAACAGCGGGGAGGATCTGGAGTCTTCAATCTAGGCCAAGAGCGAAGCCCATGGGGAAGGAAGTCAGCTCGAGAGATGGACGTAGGGGGCCTGGCCAGGCATAAAATGGATTAAATGCGACACATGGTGGAGTAGGAGGTGGGGAGTAGGTATCTCAGCATAGGCCCCGATCAACAAGACCACCGAATTTACGGAACAATAATTTCTTGTTTGATTACCGCTGCTGCATAAAATGCTCCGAACAGTCTGCTCCGTCCCCTATCGCCGATCGCTGTAGATACTGCACCAATAGGACCTTTTCGCATCTTGTGTCCTCCCCCACCAAACGAAAAGGGGGGGCTGGAGACTGCGAAATGAGTGTTTGGGTTGCAAAAGCCACTCTCAGACGAAGCTGTAACCACACGGACAGAGTCGTCGTCGGCGGCATCGCGTATTTCGTTTCACATATACGATGAAATGTCAGGGTTACAATACGACCCCCTATGGCACGCATTACCACGTCGTTTGCCATCGCCAAGGTACGCGGAACAGCCGCAAAGCTACTGTACACCATAATCCGGGCCGTGCCGTTGGTTGTCCCTGTTACATGGTATTTCTTTCGCATGAATGACCAGCTCAAAGCAAGGAGATGATTGGTCAGGGGAAGGTGAGGGGTGGCCCAGCTGTTGTACGGGGAATCCAGGTAGGAGTAGTATTGCATGTGCGTCTGGTAGGTCGCAGTTTGCAGAGACCATCGCTAGCAAATAGTAACATCGATCACTATGCATGCTGAGAGTCTAGAACGAACAGGGTAGCATTCAGGAAGGATCATGCCCCTCGGCATAGTTCCGGTAGTGCGATGAGGAGTCAGCTCCTCGGCAACTCGTATCAAGGGAAGCCCCCAACCACTGGCCACTGAAGGTCTAATTATCTGCATGTGCTGCTCAAAACGGAAGAACTTTCACTAAAAATCTGCCGAGGGTTATCAAATCATACCTAGGGCATTATATCACGGTTTTCTTCTTCGCCAGCCATTCTTTGAGTCGCGTGATCTTCAACCATTCTAGGAAGGTAGAATGACGCTTTAGAATCCCACCCATTGCTCGGATAATAACACACCCATTATTAATTAGGCAATTCTGCATTGTGCAAAGGGTATGGGATGCGAGATGACACTATCGGGTTGAAACTTATGCATCTGTTCGCAGTCTACTTAGTTGTGAATTATGATAATACTGCTACCGTCTCATTCATTGTCATGTGCCAGAGACCCATTGAAGACCTACCCAAATTACTAGATGCCGAATACATGGTACTCGGGACGTTTCTATTGACAAAGTAACCGGAATCTTGCCTCATCTCATAGCCCAACTACGTTGTTACGCTAGCAGATGATTCCAATGACTTGCTAGAAAGAATATGTCACTCGGGATAGCAAATCAGTTGCGATTGGAACAAGGTTATGGTGGCCTATTCTAAGCATCTCGCTTTGTGTTCATGCCATGTACAATGACTCATTGAAGCTGAGATATATTAATATCAAGAATTAAAGAGCCAATAAAAGTCTTCCCATCCTAGGCATCATAGGATGACTGTTCCTTGTTGGCATTGATATCAAGGGTCTCATCACCTCCGAAGACATTGCTACGCTTCGTATCGTAGGATGACTTCTCCGCATCTGCGTTGATGTCCAAGGTCTCGTCGCCGCCAAACACGTTACCGCGCTTAGCATCGTAGGAAGACTTCTCTGCATCCGCATTGATGTCCAAGCTCTCGTCACCTCCGAAGATATTGCGTCGCTTCGCATCGTAAGAAGATTTCGCTGCGTCTGCGTTTATGTCCAAAGTCTCATCACCCCCAAAAATCTTGCTCCGCTTAGCATCATAGGAAGACTTGGATGCATCGGGGTTGATTCCGAGGATCGGATCTCCTTCGAATACTCCTGATGTGAATTTTAGCCCCGGTTTCTATAGTTAATATATACATTCCGAGGAACTTACCGCGTTGAGTCACTGGCGCAGCTATAACTAAGGCTCCAGCCAGGGCAAAGATGGCTGACGAGGGACGCATTTTCTTAGATTTTATCTCTCTCAATCGATGGAATTCTTTGGAAGGCTAGTGCCGGGCGGGTGTGATTCTGACTTTCAGTGCCTGTGCTCACTGAGTTGGTCTCGGCCGTTGTATTTAAGTTTTGCAATAAAATCAGCACATGCATCTCATGCTCTCACCTCCTACCACTTATATGGCTGACCATATGATGCAAAAGAACCTAGCGCATGTAACACGGATAGTATCGGCCCTTCTTTATGCTCATTGCATGCCTTGTGTTGCGTATATAGGTGTGTCCACAGATACGATCACTCCTCGTTGCATTGGGATGCTTTTGGGGGGTATCACTACGACGGACACGGGTTTGATTTCTTAGGCAGGTCAACGTAGCATCATTGACGTGTCAGGTTCCATGCGTTATGCATCTGAAAGTATCATTGATAGGAAGGAGAGAATTCTGCCAATTTCTGCTTGGTAGAGGTAGCAGTCACCCCTTCCATTCTTTTACCTGTATCTTTGTGTGTTTCTTAGACTCTCGTCATAAATTTTCAACACAGGAAGTAGACATGGCCAAAAACACTGTGCCGACTACGGTGGAGTTTCCTCAACCTGGTTGGGAAACGGCCGTCACTTCCGGCGAGCCAAATGTTGAAGACGGAGAGCAATCCCAGCTACTGAACGAAGAGAGCTTCAAACCTCCCAGGAAAGAGTCGCTATGGAGGAGGTTTAGGTCTTGGTTCATCCACGGTGCCTTCATGGCACTCTATCTTATTCTTCTACCGTCCGCGATGTCTCTCTGGCCATGGCACAGACAGAACTGCGTAAGCCAGTTCAATTCCTATTGTGAGTCCTTCCAATGCTCTAGAGACTGTCGCCACTTATTAAATTTACCAGCGCCAATAAATGACGGCATCAAAGAAGAGTATGTCGATAACTGGTTCAAGGGCTCCTTGTGGTACCAGTCGCCATACAAAGGGCCGCCGACGCCTGAGGTGAACAGGGCGTGGAAAGATCTCATGAAATGTATGACACAATGCTCTCTATGATTACAAAAGCTAATGTATCGTGTCTACAGACGGCGTCATCAGCGTAACCGCCGAGGATATTCAGCGAATCGGCCATAACACGACCGCCGTTCAATTCCCCGATGAAGTCGGAGGCGGGTACCTGGCTGTGGCCATGGGGACTCATCATATTCACTGTCTCTACTTCATATGGAAGGATCATCACATGGATTCCTTCCCACAGTCAAAAATAAACAAAGAGGAAGTTCCGGAGATGTACGAGCGGCACTATGAACACTGCGTCGATTATCTTCGCCAGGCGATCATGTGCAATTTCGATCCCGGCATTATACCTTATTACTGGGTAAGGAAGCATAATCAGCCAACTCCAGACGGCAATACCTTTCACAAATGCGTCAACTGGGATCATCTTCAAGGATGGTTAAAGGACCGAGCAGTCGAGATTCCTGATGACTTTGAGTGGCATCAACCACCTGATGCAGTACCACTACCAGACAACCCTTAGAAAAAATTTCATAGAATTGAAGATCATGATAATTCAATGCAGTCCTATCTACATGACGTGATTTACATCTATTTTGGAACATGCCCATCATGGATGTTGGAGGAGAATCATACACTTCAAACAAGTTGTGGTTATAATATCATCGTGAATCAACTCAATTAATGAATTTAGTCCTTGGAGTACGAACTACCTAATTATCCAACCAATTCATTTAGATTGGCCACTGTATTGATTCTCGATCAATCATCTGCTCGCTGGCATCAAGCTCTCCGAATCCGGACTACCCTACACCCATAAAACGCCATACTGGAATCTTGATGAACGAAGATACTGAGTATTTCTACTGCAAAAACATCTTCGATTGATTTATTACATATTATCTGAACCTGAACTTCATCTAGTTACTTGGTAGTTGTTCTCATACCAGTCAAACTAATTTGGGCTCTCTCAAACCTTTGTGCCCTACTGCTTTTTGTCGATCTATGACCAGACGCGTCCGCAGCCCGCTAAATACAGGCCGATCGTCATATCTGACCAAGTCATGTGCCCTAGCACCATGAAGCAGCAAAAAATTAACTCCTAGTCATTAATTAAGAGTGTGGTGTGTTGCTTTGTTGTGCATCGTCATTGGCTACTTTTATTTGCCTACAAGTAGAGGTGGGAAGCATCAAGCCAACGAGGCAAGGATGGATTTAGGGCTGGGCACCCCCTCCTGCCTGAGGACCAATGATGTGTGGAATTTGAACACAGTTGATCAATGCGTAGTCTGGGCCAGGGTGCATGGATCAGCCAACCCATGAAGAAGATCGCATCAGCTAGTGCCGGTGTTTGAAAGCACTTGACAACGGCTGTACCATCTCTAGATCCAGTGCCGAGCATTCGGCCGTGTGCCAGATCCATGAATGCCAGGTGAAGGAATTGCCCCCGTAGTTTTCATACGAAGCTTGGCGTAATCAACGTGAGGTGGCTGGTGTCAACAAGTGAGCGTTGGCCCACCCTTGGCATGATTGATAATGCCTCTTTCGTCCCCTCACACAATAGACTTCGGGATGAGGGCAGTTCCGGGCAAATCAGAAGAGGAATAAGCTATGGCCTAGCTGGCCATGGATGGGGACAATCCCAACGAAAGAGTCCAGGTCTCGTTGATGACGGGATGTGGGTGGCATCATGGCTTGTCCGTTGGTCGGTCAGCTTAGCATTGTATGCACAGGGCTGATTGAGGGGCTGAATCCTGGACGCCATGGATGTTCTGGGACGTCAGCCACACTGGTCCTGTCCAATGGTATTGATCCTTCAGGGGCGTAAGATTGCGGCGTGACTTGGGATTGGCGCCTGTGAGTTGATGGTGCGTAGCTGCATGGACCAGCTACCATGGAAAAGGTAAGCCGAGGAAAAATCAATGACAAAAGAGCATCCAACCAACAACAGGCGGAATTAGGGTGAAACAAAAGGACATGTATAAATATACAGAGCGTAGCATTGTGGCGCGGCCATGTAACACAAGCAACCAACAACCGGTTGAAGACCAAGTCAATAAAAGCTTCGCCCCTTTACCAGCATTTCAAGCCGTCAATCCATCGGTCGTGTTCTTAATCACAGTTACCGAGACACCGCTAATTACTGAGGTAAAGTCAGCGCCGTAAGCATGCGATTCAACATTCTCACCGCTGGAATTGCCGCTCTTCTGGCCGCAGCGCTTCCCGCAGAGGCTCTTGTGCAGAGCAGCACGTTTGCGACGAGGAGGAGCACCACGACGCTCTTCATTCCGCCTGCCAACACGGGCAATGTCGCCATCTGGGCCTCCCCCATGACTTCATCTTCGTCCACCACGCGATATCTGCTCGGCTGCCAGAACAACTGGGTCACCCCTCAACGGTGCAATGGCGACTTCAACGGCGTCATCCTCACCCAGGCTCCCAACGAGGTCCATGTCGCCATCGCCGGCACCACCTACGACTGCACTCTCAACTCCAACAATGCCGTCTGCGCCACCAAGACGGCGGCCAGCGCCCAGGCTTCGAACACCACAGTGACGGAGACGGCCAAGTGGATGACTGGCGTGACGATTGTGGATACGCGTGTCAAGGTGTGCAGCACAACCAAGAGGAAGAACAAACCATCCGCCACATCGTGTTCGGAGCGTGCCGCCTACGTCAACGTCGCGGGGTACGGCGACAGTGCTGCTTCGCCCTCGCAGTTTGTCGGCACTGCCGCCGTTGGCATTGTCCTGGCCGCCTATCTTGGAGTTGCCCTTCTTCTCTAAAGCAATCTTCTCGATTCAATTGTATGTGTGTGCGCGGCGCGACCCTTTCTTGTCCGACCACGGCCCCTAATTTAAGCGAGCAGTAATTCACCGGATATATGTTATAATGGGCTATATCAGGCAGATTGCGGCATACACGGTATATACTGATTATCTCAGGCTTGAGAGTTGTATCGCACGAACTTATGATTTTAATGAATGGTTATGGCATATGTATATTGCTTGTCTGGCTATCCATCATTCCGAATTGAATGAAAAGCCCGACAATGAGATTTACGAGAGGCCTGGATATATTTTAAATGAAGGAAAATTCATTCAAGCTTGCACATCCTAATCAGTCTGCGTGAAAATGGCTGTTCTTGCTATTTAAAGCCAGTGGGTGGACGAAGAGTCAAGAATAACGACACCATAATGATCCCCAACTCCCAATACCCAGCCAATGCGGGAGATGCAACAAGAGAAAGCCACAGAAGTATAGAGAACTCCAACATGAAAGTCAATAGTCTATTTCGGCCAGAATGTGGTTAGCTATGTCCGTGCTCGTATACGTTGGGCCAAAGGTGCAAAGGATAGTGCTTCAGCATGTCGAAGTCCTCGAGCACGTCGAAGCAGTAACGAGACCCCCCGAGTCGGGCTTATTTATATACAACTTCGATATCATCATGCCAGGTGATCTACTTTCGGTGTTAGCCACTATGGCGCACCGTAGAGGTCTGGGTGTTAATTGGCGGCTGTGCTTATTTATGGGCCGACGGTAATCAGCAAGGCAGACACGGTGATACCCCGCCTTCGTATATAAATAAAGTCAGCTGCCACGTAGCTATCTGCCTTTTGTTCTCTGTCGCAAGAGTTTGAAAGTTGAACAGTTCTGTTGCGCGACCAATTATGGCTGACCCGCTGTCTGTTGCTGGAACAGCGGTGGGCATTGTCTCGCTTGGGATCGTCGTTACAAAAGGGCTGATCGACTATTATAAAGCTTTTCGTGACTTGAATGATGATGTCACTCAAACTTCGAGAAAGCTGTCGCACCTTTTAACCCTGCTCGAGAAGCTCCACACTCAGCTCGAAGAGCACCCATCTCGCCTTGAAAATCCTCGAGCCCTCAATACGCTTCGGGATTCCGCTGGAGACTGCAAGCAGCTCATTGTAGAATTTCAGTCAGAGCTCGACAAACTTCAGAAGCACCCGCAGTCTAAAACGAACAGTGCCCTTCGATCCATAGGCCGACGTCTTGCTTACCCTCTGCGGAAAAGCACGCTTCAGAAGCTTGATGAGGGTGTTGATGAGTTCGTGCTTTGCGCGTCCTTTGCGCTGCAGTTAATGGTCCAAAGTGACACAGCAAAGGCTCGGAGCGATATTGACGACGTCAGGGACCTGTTGCATCTTGTTCGGGCCACACAAGTGGCATCCGACATACGAGCCTGGCTCAAGGCTCCAGACCCGAGTTCCGATTTCAACGAGATTGCAAAGAAACGACACACCGAAACGGGTGTCTGGTTCGTTGAAGGATTGGAGTTCAAGCAGTGGTTAGAGAAACCATGCTCCTTCCTCTGGCTTGTCGGCTTCGCCGGCTGTGGCAAATCTGTCTTGTGTTCTACTGTCATTCAATACACATTTCGTCATCGGTGTTCCAGGCACGATGTTGGTCTCGCTTTCTTTTTCTTCGCCTTCGATGATCAGAGAAAATGTACAGCTTCTTCAATGCTACGTTCTCTGATCTTACAGCTATCAAGCCAGCTTGGTTATGAATGCAGTCCTCTCTTACGCCTCCGCAACATCTACCAAGAGACATGCCCACCGGACCAAGAGCTCATACAGTGCCTTCATGAGCTTGTACTTCAATTTACTCATGTGTATATTGCCCTGGATGGTTTAGATGAAAGCCCCAGAGAGACACATCGAGATGCTGTATTAGAAACCTTGGCCCAATTCCGCAAGTGGGCGGTGCCAGGGTTTCATCTTATCGTAACAAGTCGTGATGCAGTTGATATTCGTGAAGGTCTATCGGTTCTACCCGAGGAGATTGTCAGAATGAGAAATACTTGCATCGATTCTGATATAACGCTGTTCATCTCACAAACCCTGCGTGATAGTCCAGGGCTCCAGAAATGGAAAGAGCATCATCATCAGATAGAGCAAGTCCTCACTCAAAAGGCCCAGGGAGTGTAAGGACAAGGCAAGATCATTTCTAAATTTTGATTTAATCACTAATTTTTTGGTCCAGGTTCCGATGGGTCGAATGTCAATTCAGAGCATTATCTGTCTGTCCACAAAGCCAAGATCTTCTTGAGAAGCTCCTTCAGTCATTACCCCGAAACCTTGAAGACACGTACGAAGCAATGCTCCGAAGCATCCCACCGCACTGTGCTGACTACGCGCACCAAATGCTGACTCTACTTTGCTGTGCAATGAGGCCCTTGTCAGTAGAAGAACTAGTGGATGGAATGGCGATCGAACTCGGTGACTCCCCGAGTTTCAATTTGAAGCGAAGACTGAGCGGCGGTAGCGATGCTATTCAACTGATTTGTCCTGGGTTTACACAGTTCGCTGTGGATCTCGAATCCCATCTCACAACGGTGCGGATCGCCCATTTCTCCGTCCAGGAATATTTGCAGTCCGACCAACTTTCTCAATCCAAAGACTTGTCCCACTTTGGTGTACGAAAACGGCATGCCGAAGACCAAGTGACCTGCATTTGCCTCACGATGCTGCTTGAACCAACCCTATCTATATCCCAGCAGGCCCTTGACTCTTTTTTCAGTCCTCGAAAAGCCAATTATCCATTGGCCAGTTATGCTGCACGCTATTGGCCCCATCATTATTCGGCCAGCCATCAAGGTACATCCACGAGCCGTCAAGTCTTGAGCCTTTTCATGGGTAATGAGTTTAAGAGATGGGTTAAAATCTGGGACATTGATAATCTCAATAGCGGCAACAGCGCTTATCTAGATGCCGGTCGACTCTATTACGCTTCACGCCTTGGCCTGATTGACGTGTGTCGTGAACTTATGCGCCAAGAGGACATGGCTCACAGCTACGAAGATAGCAACGTCAATTCCACGGCTGGCTATTATGGAACCGCATTACAAGCGGCGTCAGTCCAGGGGCATACCGAAATCGTCCAGCTTCTTCTAGAAAACGGTGCAGATGTCAACATCAAGGCCGGGTATTTTGGAACCGCTCTTCAAGCAGCATCGACTCAAGGTAATGTGGAGATTGCACGGCTACTACTGTCTGTTGACAAATATATCAACAACACAACACCCTACCATGGGCATGCCCTTCAAGCAGCTGCAGTAGAAGGCCATTCTGAGATTATTTCATTATTCTTTCTGTACGGCATTGATGTTGACTTCGTATGTGGGCAGTACGGAACCGCCTTACAAGCTGCCTCAGCCGAAGGAGACACGTGTGCTGTTCGAATGCTTCTGGAACATGGAGCGGATATAAACAAGCAATCCGGTTACTTCGGAACAGCGCTCCAAGCAGCGTCAGCAAAATGGAATACCGAAACAGTCAAGTTATTGCTTGCAAAAGGTGCTAATGTCAATTGCGAGGCCGGACATTACGGCAGTGCACTGCAGGCAGCCTCAGTCCTATCCTCGTTGGAGATTGTTGGGCTCCTGCTTGACGCAAGAGCTCATGTTGACCATATATGTGGATTCTACGGAACACCTCTTCAGGCAGCTTCTGGAGGAGGAAGATTCAACATCGTCAAACTGCTCATTGAAAAGGGCGCCAATGTCAACACCCAAGGTGGCTTGTTTGGGACTGCTCTTCAGGCAGCATCGGCCAATGGGCATGCTGATGTTGTCCAATTACTTCTTGATCAAAATGCGCGAATTGATATTGAGGGTGGTCATTACGGAAGTGCCCTTCGAGGAGCCTTAGAAAAGGGAAATAGTGATATTGCCACGCTTTTATCCGACAAACAAGCCCATGAGTTGGGACATGAAACATCAAAGGTTGACCCGGGAGAAAAGTTTTCCGAATTAGGTAGCTGCCACATCGACACAAGCGAGGCCGAAACGTATGCTTACACCCGCGCTTACACATATTACGATTACACACCACCCGATGAAACACAGGTCGATAGGCTCGATCCGTACGGTTCTTGGGAAACGAGCCCATCCGAACATGAAATTAGGCTTTCAGCAGGAGAAACGGGTAAGTCTCTCTCAGGTAGCGGATATTTCATGCAAAACCCGTGCTGATAATTATAAGACCCTTTCACTCATGATGGCGATCCCAGTCAGAATGGCAATACCAATTCCTACCATGACTTTGCCGATTCTAGTAGGTCCCAGGGTATTACTAAGATAAATAATCAGTAGTTAACTGTGACCAGGGTATTCAGTGCATTCCTCCAAGGCGTTTCGTCCTGGAAGCGTCAGTAAAATTTATTCTGCTAGGGGAAATAAAACCATTACTAACATCGGTTCACTAAGATCTTCAAAGTTTTCTGGAGTGAGCCACGGGGCAAGTGCATCCCATCGATATCAGGTTGCGAGAAGACTATTTCGGACCTTGAGCACTTTTTTCTTACGGGATTCAAACGCTTCATTGTATTTTCTAATGGCGAAAGACAGTGTACAGCTATGTATGTGTCCCCACAGCGCTCTAATTTATCAATATATATTGCGAGGACTGAACTGAATCCAGACCTATTCTTACTTATGAAAGCATGGCCTGCACTAAAAAAGGCGTCCAGGCCAGAAGCCATGGTGTTATCCATGATGATCGAAAGAGGCCTCGACTGCTTAAGTCTGAACCAACTCTTGGATATAGGCCAGTTAGAGCAGTGATGTCGGAAACGAGTGAGACTCTATCAACAGAGTCACGCCTTAACTACTCTAAGCATACAATCATTGAGTATAACGCTCTCACTTATTTTATTGGGTTTATTCACCCAGATGATTGGAAGATCTTTAAAAGAGCTGTCTCCCATTGTGTAAAACAACAAAGTAGGTACTATAAATAGTCATAATAAAGGTTTAATATTTTTATTTATATAAAATTATTTCTATAGTATAATAGTATAAATTATAAAAGACTATATTAAACTTAATATAGTTACTTAATTTTTTAGAAAAAAAAAAAGATTTCTTTTTATAAAATAATAATTATTAATTTAAATATAGTTAAAGATATCTCTTTATTTAGCTTAATTAATTTATATAAATATATTTTTAAAAGACCTATATTATTAAATAAAATTAAAGCTATATTAGATATAAATATTATTATTATATTTAATTTTTTTTTTAAAAATTTTTTTTTTTAAAATTTTTAAGTTTTAGCTACTTAATTTAAGAAATATAATAATAGTATACTATAACTATCTCTAAAGAGAGAAATTTCCTACCACCATTTTATATAATATAAATAAAACAAAAGCTTAATTAAAGAGATAGCTAAATTATATTATCATAATATATAGGTATTTTAATTAATAAAGATATATATAATAAGTTTAGATATTATAGTCTATATATAATAAAGGCTTTTATTTAATATAATAGTTTTTCCCTTTTAGAAATATATTTATATAAAAGCTTAATTTATATAAATAGCTTAAGCTAGGTAAAAAGGTATTTTTAGTTAAATTCAAACTAATAGCTACTTAGTTAAAAAGAGGTTATGAGCAGTGCTGGCGAGGGGCAAAGGTCACGCGCTCACGTGATTTCGCTACATCTTTATCCACCGCCTCTTCAGACTTAGGCGGCAGTTGTATTGACAACATTTGTAAAGTACTTGCAGCGACAGTTGCGCTCCTCTACACGACCAGCCAATCTTGGGAGATACGATGCAGAATGGCATCACTCCCTTCAAATCCAGACCTTTTCCACAACTCAGGTTCCACCCCCAGCACCTTTCTGCCGAACCCACGATCTCCTGAAACCCAGTCCAACGGTCCAAGGGGAAGCCTGCGATCCTGCATCACATGCCGGCGAAGAAAGGTCAGATGCAACAAGGAAACGCCGTGCTCTAACTGCAACAGGAATGGAGCTGTGTGTATTTTTCCGCCGCCTGGACGGGCTCGACCGACACCACGCGGTCAGCGTCCCAGAACTGACCAGTCTGGGCGGACAGATTCTGGAGCGCCTCTCAACATAGGGGACCTTGGTTTCGCCAGACAAGGTGCGCAGCATTTGCCACAGGTTCTGCCTTCCCAGAACGACAAATTGGAGATGCTTGGATGGCAAACAAGACCCAATCGAGTGCCAGGTACTTGGACCAGCGATACGTCAATCGCAATACACCATCAGTTCGGAAGCTCCAACGAGAGCATATCGGGTAGAGAGAAATGGATAGAACGATGCTTGTATCTTGGAGAAGGGCCGCCAAGATCTCTTTGTCAGATTGAGGGACTCTCAGCTCCTTCTACGGCTGATCATGGCGATCATGTTTATGCTTCAGTCTTGACCAGGCTGACAGAACTGGTATGTGGTAGATCTCACCTCCAATGACTGTCCTTGCGTTTGCGCATCTCTTACACTCTCTTGCGTTTGTTCTGATGACTGCTTGTAGCTCGTAGAACCACAGGGCCCCATTCCAGTTGAGAGTGTGGATGAAGAGATGGAAAGCACTTCAGACTACAACAGCACCAACTTGGTGGACTTACAAGGGACCACGACGACCAACCCCGATCATTACGCCTTCATAATTGGTTACAACCTACCTGATATCAACCCGAGAAGCCTGCATCCTTCTCCATCACAAATTCCCTTCTACTGGCAGACGTTTGTAGAGAATGTCGAACCTCTAATCAAGATCTTCCACATTCCATCCATGAACAAATTGATCAGGGAGATGCAGCGCAGCATTCGATTCTTAAGCCCATCCAAAGAGGCGTTCATGTTCGCAATGTACTTTGCCGCCGTGACATCCATGACACCAAATGAAGTAGGTACGCTTGGCATTCGTCCACTGGCACAGCTTAACATATAATAGGTACAAGAGCTTCTGGACCAGGACAAAGAGACCCTGGCTGCACAATATCGCCTGGCTACAGAGAAAGCCCTCGCCAAGGCTGAGTTCATGTCGTCTTCAGACCTGATGACACTACAGGCATTCGTCTTGTTCCTCTTCTGTCTGAGAGAGCGTGAACAGTCACGATTCACGTGGACTATGACGGCGCTCGCCGTGCGAATAGCGCAAGGGATTGGGATCCATCGAGTCCGTCGAGATACCGAACTGCCTCCATACGATACGGAGATGAGCCTCAGACTTTGGCTCAGCATCTGGCTGCTGGATTTAAGGACCGGCCTGGATCAAGGCATGGATTGGTTAATACTAGAAGATGTCTCTGATGTAGCGCTCCCGCTAAACATCAATGACTCCGACCTCGACCCTGCGAGCGCCGAATATCCGTTGTCGAGAACCGGCATGACTGATATGGCACCAACGTTGGTCAAGTACGAGATTGGATCGTTGCTGAAGAAACTGCCACGACTCGAATCTGAAAGTAAGGGCAAACAGCCTTCGTCAGGGCTCGATTGGGATGATATGGAGCGTATTGCAGCCACCTACAAGAAGAACGTAGAGGAGAAGTACCTGCACAACTGTGTCGATGACGACTACTTTCAGTGGTTGACGGCTCTAAATACACGACTCTTCTTTGCCAAGGTACCGCTGCTTTTTCACCATCCCGCTTTGTCTTCCGATGCAAGGTCGACTTTATCGCCTGCCGTCAGAGACCGCTTATTGACAGCATCGATCGAGACGTTGGAGTGCTCGTATGCGGTCGTCACAATATCGACATCTCTACGCTGGAGCAGGCTATTCCGCACATACATCCATTGGCACGCAATCTCGATCATTTTGGAAGAGTTGTGCCTTCGGTCTAACGCGACAGAAATTGCTCAGAGGGCGTGGAAAGCTATTGAGCTTGCGTTAGGCTGTTGGGGTTCATTCCCTTCTTCCCAGCAGGCGGATGAATTGTGGAAGCCTCTGATAAAGCTGATGAGGACGGCAAAGAAGAGGCGTGAAGCGAACCAGTCTCTTTACGCGCAAGAGAGGACTGAGACAGAGCCTAGCCCGAGCGACCCGTCAATGACCGAAATTTGGGCGTTGGCAAACTCTGAAACGCAGCTGTCGTGGCCCACAGACTATTCGGCGAGATATCTCTACGAGGATTTGAATGAAGTTTTGGTAGATGATACGGGGGCTGGTCTAAGTGAGGCTATCGACTAAACGGCGTAAAAATAGCATAATTTAAATTCAGGATCACGGCACAGTCGGCCACGTCTTCCAAAGGGCGATATGTAGGAATTTGCATTCCGCTCGCTATTAGCATTAGACTTAACCCACCACACTGGGCAATTGAAGCTTAAAATAAAGAGACTTTGAACCTGAGACATCCGGGGAGCTGTTACATGAAGTAATCATAAATCGATTTTGCGCGTTATTCCTCTCCCAGGGCTTCTAGGAATGCCATCCATAGGTTTTGGCCACATTGACTAAGTAGAAAGAAGGATGTTGCGGTTACACAGCTGAAACGACTGAACATAACTGAAGGCTGGGACATTTAATTACGAGAACAGGTAAATAGTCGTATATGAAGCCCGCCTCAGTAACGCGCCGGCATGACCTGTAGCCTGTAGGTAGGCAGTCCGGTCGGGACACGTGCCCCCTGCATAAGCCCCGAAGGCCGAAGGCCGACGACAAGTGCAACGAAGGCCGAAGTATAGGCCGAGTCATCGGACACGCAACAGTCGATTCTCATGTCTATGCATCGCTTTCACTTTTTCATTTAGCTCTTCCATTTCATTCAGGTCACTGAATCTTGTTTAATTAAGCAATAATTAGGCCATCCAATCTCTCTGGTAAGGAAGCCGTTTTGTTTTCTGCCTGATATCACTCCACGCCCACGCCTTTTTTCATCAACAGGCTTCGATTTAAAGGCCCGCCCGATCAGGCTGGCTGCAGAAGTATTCTAGAAGATATTTTCTGGCCGATGCTTATCCCTATCTAACTAACCCCGAGCACTAGTCTGTTCACATCCCCTCCGATTGTCGAGGAAACGAAGACTCAACTCACCACGGCCAGCATGGCAGCCATGGTACGCATGCTCTTCATTTCCTATCGTAACCCAGATCCTTAGTTCTACTTTCTAACTTCTCAGTTGCAGGATATCCGAGTCGGCAATAAATATAGAGTCGGTCGGAAGATTGGCTCGGGGTCATTCGGCGAGGTGTATATCGGTACAAACATTATTTCCGGCGAGGAAATCGCCATCAAGCTGGAGAGCGTGAAGGCCAAACATCCCCAACTCGAATACGAAGCCCGAGTGTATAAGTCCCTTGCTGGCGGGGTCGGGATCCCATTTGTTCGCTGGTATGGCACTGAATGCGATTATAATGCTATGGTCTACGATCTTCTAGGGCCTAGTTTGGAAGACTTATTTAACTTCTGCAACCGGAAGTTCTCTCTGAAGACTGCCCTTCTTCTGATGGACCAGCTCCTCTCTCGGGTGGAATATGTCCACGCCAAGTCCTTCATCCACCGCGACATTAAACCGGATAACTTCCTAATGGGGATTGGAAAACGAGGAAATCAGGTTAATGTTATTGACTTTGGACTGGCCAAAAAATATCGCGACCCGAAAACTCATTTTCATATCCCCTACCGCGAGAATAAGAACCTGACTGGGACTGCTCGCTATGCCTCTATTAACACGCACCTTGGCGTGGAACAGTCTCGACGCGACGATATGGAATCTCTGGGTTACGTGGTGCTATACCTGCTCCGTGGCTCGTTACCTTGGCAGGGCCTGAAGGCCGCTAGTAAGAAGCAGAAATACGATCGCATTATGGAGAAAAAGATGACGACGCCGACTGAAGTCCTCTGCCGAGGCCTCCCTAATGAGTTCGCCATCTATCTCAACTACACCCGGTCTCTTCGATTCGATGATAAGCCTGACTACAGTTATCTACGGAAGATCTTTCGGGATCTGTTCGTCCGCGAGGGCTTCCAGTACGACTATGTGTTTGACTGGACCGTTTACAAGTATCAGAAGAATGCCGAAGCTATAGCGAAGGCAGGTGGTGGTACGGCTAATGACGGTGCGGTCGGTGGTTCTCAGGCCGTCATTACGGATGCTCGTGCCATCCGCGGCAGCCGTACTCGCAATGCGATCGCCCGCGCTGAGATGGACACTCGGGAGACAGGCCGCGACAGAATTTAAGTACCATACCGATCCAGATCACAGTCTTACTTGGATGAAATCACGTCGAAAGTTGTTCTATGTTCCTCCTCACATCGTCCAAAAGCCCGCGTCAGCTCGACATTCTTCCAGGCCACAGAAACCAGGAGACAACGACCAACGGGGATCTTCCCTGGCCCAGGCTTTGCGGCGAAGAAAAGAGAAGCGCTCGAGACTGCAGCTGTTGGTCGCATTCATGAGGGCTGCGGTGGATAGGACCAGACTCATCTGCTCAAAGCCGCTCAAGGCCGCGGATGTTGTGGGCATTCATCTGGATCGCGGCAAATAGGATCTGACTCGTCTGCTGGGGCAGCCTGTGGCTGCAGCTGTTGATCGCATTCATGAGGGTCAGGGCAAATAAGACCAAGGGAAAAGAAGCAGATTCTTGCTGCCTTGGGCAGGGTCTTCAAGGCCCGGCGTTGGAATGAAGGCACGTCAAGGAAGGAAGGCACGGTAATTATTTCAAAGCAGCCCTGGCGGTGGCTCTAATAGCGGCGCTCACTTCTAACAGAAGCCTTCCCTTCTGATATTATTTCCTTCTAGATAGAATAATAGAGCAGTGACAGCATCTTCTTTAGATATTATCTCTAGCCCTCTCTACAATATATCGGTTTACTTAATATTTATTGTGTTGAGATGTAGGGTCTGGCATCCGAAATTAGCATGGCCACCGAAGCTGGAATATACCGCTTTTTATAGAGTTCGTGGAGATTAGGAGGTGATCTGAAGAGTGATCTTTTCTGTGCAGGCACGTTCTTGGGGTAATATTCGGGGAGGCTTCCGGGCAAATGCTTTTTCGTGCCGGGGAATTCCCCGAAGGATGTAGCACCCCCGCCCTCATAACTAGCGAGTTAGTCTCTCCTCGGGGAGCTTCCCCCTTATTTATGGCCTCATGTCCTCCGGGAGGGTCCCCGCTGGAAAGCTAGCATCTGCTCGCTAGTCAAAGTGACATATCCCAGACAAGTACACAACAACTCTTCAAGTCAACGGTTAAACATTTCATTATTTAGGCTAATTACAAAGCTAACTACAGAGATCTAGACCCATAAGTCTTCAATAGAAGATCTCCTCTTGGTGACCAGTAAAAGCCTTGGTGTTGGGTTGACGCAATGGCCTGGACCCTGAAGAGAGAATGCTGTAGCCCACGAATAACTATATCCTCTACTCTAGACATAATATCCGCCGAGACTCCAAGGGGGTAAGTTGTGCAAAGTTGGAGGAGTGGTAGGCAGAGGAGCTCTCTGATCACCAGAACGGCCGCGGAGAAGATGTTTCAACTCATCTGCCAGTGGATATGCGTCTACTGTAGGGAAGTCAAAAGATACGCGAGCCGGGAGCGAGGAGTACCATTCCGCAGCCTGGGATTCTAAGACCTCGGCATGATGAAGTATGCTCGTAATTCCTTCGTATGTGGGTTTGAGTTGTAGTTTCTTCTGAGATTGTAGTATCCGATTGATTAGGTGTCGGGAAGCAATCTCGGCCAAGTAGTACTGCCGGGATTTCTGCTTTGACACCAGAGACTCACGGTCCCTGCCACCTTGATCCAGGTCAGGGGGAGAAGGAAACGTATGCGGATACTCGATGCTCTCTAGGACAGACGCCGATGGAGACAACTCGAATATGAGCTCGTTACGACAAATAAACATATTTACCCGGGACAAGCTTCTCAATTTAACTTTCGGCGTAATGCGAGATAGACAATTACCATCCAGACTTGTAGCACGTGAAGTACAGGCTTTGTTCGGTAGTCGGGCTTTCAAGCAGTGGTGGTGGGCTGAAATTAGTGGGAATTAATATATGAGCGGCTCATCATCGAGTTGCTCGGGACACATGATTTCTGAATTGTTTCTCGTTCTCTCATTCTCTCGTATCAACCCCGTCAGAGTCTCAATGGCGTCAAGTAGTCGAGACCCAGCTCCTTGGCAGCTGTAAGCCCGGGATCAGAACGAATTGCCGTCAAAGAGAGCGATACCTGCGTACAGATCTCCGCGCGTGCTTGGGAAGATAGTGTGGGTTACAGAAACAGGGTCCGGTTCCACTAGGGGCACTCACAGCTCCAGGAGCCCTTGGCCGTCGTCAGGGTAAAAGCATTCGAGACCGGCTTTTTTGCAATACCTGTAGGGAGGCTGCTTATTGTCACATCTAGTCACGCAGGACAGGCGGCGCTTGCACGAGTCCACCGGGCGTTTGAGGCATCACGATTCGGGGGTGGTTCCGGTGGTGGTTCCGGCAGTGGGACAGAAACGTTGCCGTCGGGAGATCCCGATGGTTCGCAAACCGCGGTCGCTTCGCCAGTGGAGGCATAATATCAGTAGCCAAGGGACCAGGTGAGTCTCGATCTCCCGGCCCTTTGAGTTCAAGGACAAAGAGGCACCAGGACAAATCCAGACATAGGCCACTGAATACAGACTTGTGTTGCAATGTCGCCAACCTGCTCAAGAGGTGGAGTTCTTCGCTCTGTTCTACTGTTTCGCTAGTTTCTGGCTAGTGTCACCTGAGTAATGCCAACCCTGTTTTCCTTTTTGCCTGATTGCCTGCGGGGACTGATGCGGAGACCCCGGAATGGGGGAAGGGAGCGATATCACCTTGTTTTCTCCGGGCGTGGGAGTATATCTACAGGGCCCTGCCGGAGCTCAACCTTGTGTTCTACCCTCACCAATCCGGTGCATCGTTCTGCATTCTCCAACTCCTTTCCCATTGTAGATTCCTCATCGACCTACTCCAACGATGGGCGCCAAGACCGAAACCGAGTTGGCTGTTGGAGCTGAGTTGGCAGCTGTGAGTCGCGCAGATCCTTGATCCGTCCTAACAATGGGATTGTACTCACTATTCATGTCGTTATACAGATGCTGCCGGCAGATGCAAAGCCGTGGTATCGAACTAAGCATCTCGTCCTCCTGAACCTCACCTTGTTGGTGCCTCTGTTGTCCGCCGCCAGTATTGGCTTCGATGGCAAGTCGACTCCTTGCGATGTACCCAAACCGGATCGACGTCTAACTGATAAATCCACAGGCGCCATGATGAACGGCCTTCAGACACTTGGGCAATGGCGTGGGTATTTTGATAACCCATCAGCAGGTCTTCTCGGGGCTATGAACGCAATCTTCCCCGTCGGCAAAGTACTCGGCCTGTTCCCGGCGACATGGATATGCGATCGATACGGGAGAAAACTGTCCATGTGGATTGGACTCTTCTTTCTGATAGGCGCTGCTGGACTGCAAGCGGGAAGTGTCAATCTCGCCATGTTCCTGGTCTCCCGACTCATCCTCGGCGCCGCTACAGCTTTCGTCGCACAACCTGCCCCGATTCTTGTCGCCGAGCTGGCTTACCCGACTCACCGAGCTAAGGCCACGGGCATGTATCAGACCTTCTTTGTAGGTTGCGCGGACTCTATTTTGGTCCTTTCCTGTCTCATCTTCAGTTGACTAACTCACAATGCTCTCTGCTCTCCAGTATGTGGGCGCTATCTTCGCCGCGTGGTCGACTTATGGAACCTTTCGTCTGGACAATTCCTGGAGTTGGAGAATCCCCTCTCTCCTGCAGAGCTTTCTTCCGCTTCTACAGCTTCTGTTCTTTATTTTCGTCCCTGAATCCCCAAGGTAATGTGACCTGGCCCTACCGAGTATTCATCTCTAACCCTACTTTACCTTTTAGATGGCTGGTTGCAAATGGCAAACAGAGCCAAGCGCGTGAGATCTTGGTCCGTTGGCATGCAGGTGGCGACCAGGATTCCCCTCTTGTCGATTACGAGATCCAGCAGATCGAGCAGAGCGTCCAGCAGCAGGCTACCATGCAGTCAGAGACGACTTATCTAGACCTCATCTCTACACCCGCAAACCGAAAACGAACGCTCATCGCGGCCACTGTCGGCTTCTTTGCCCAGTGGAACGGCGCCGCCGTCGTGTCATACTATCCCACGCTCGTGCTCAACACCATCGGCATCACCAAAACCTCAGATCAGACCCTCATCAATGGCCTGCTGCAGGTCTTCAACTGGCTTGCCGCCGTGTTTGCTGGCGCTCTCATGATTGACAGACTCGGTCGCCGCACGCTGTTTCTCACATCGGTGGCTGGCATGCTCGTTTGCTACATCATCTGGACGGCCCTCACGGCATACTTCACATCCACACTCAATGCCACTGCAGGAAACGCCGTCGTGGCCTTTATTTTCATCTACTATTTCTTCTACGACATTGCTTGGGCGCCCCTGCTTCTGGCATACCCGGTCGAGATCTTTGACTATCGACTGCGCGCTCGTGGCGTCACGGTAACGTACGCATCGACTTTCATCGGGCTGATCATCAGCCAGCTCGTCAATCCAGTGGCGATGAAAGCCATCGGCTGGAAGTTCTACATTGTCTTTTGCTGCATTCTTTCAGTGCTGTTCGTGGTCATCTACTTCTTATTCCCGGAAACTAAGGGCCGTACCTTGGAGCAAGTCGCGGAAATCTTCGATGGGAAGGATAAGAGTCTGGAGGAGCCGATCAAGGATGGCAAGACCGATGTGGTTGAGATAGAGAAGAGACTGGGCTAGGCGCCTTGTGTTGGATCCAGGGTTCTGGTCCTTAGAGGAGGGGAACTTTCAACTACCTGCCGGTCAAATAGGTAGCTGTATACTATCAATTCATGAGGCGTCGTTTTAGCCCTTCTATATTGATACCTCAGGCAGACGTTATCCTCTCTATATTCCCAACGCATAAGGTAGAACTCCCTCTATTCTTCCAGTAGCTCTTAGCCTGGCTATATTGATGTAGGTGCGGTTAAAATAGAACAGACGTAAAGGTACAGTCTCAATGTATATATACCCCCTGAAGACTTGTAGTCAGCAAGGCCGAGCCAATCAGAGCATAGCGTTTATCATCATTAAAAAAAAACACCGTAACTGACAACATAAAATGTAATCTGACTCACGCGTCAGCAGTAATCGAATATCTTGGGGCTACATCAACGGCAGATATGGTCAATTAGCGTAGACGCCAAGGGTTCCAAAAATGGCAGGACTTTCTACAATCTTCCTCACACTGGGAGTTTCAGCACTCCTCGTTTTCTTCGTAAAACTGTCAGCGGCTCGGCAGTTGATATGGAAGCTGCAGCGGGCAGGCTTGGTCAGTCTCTCTATTTCGCAGATGAGCGATTTCCTCCGCTGACTGATTCTTCGGTGTCGCTAATCTCCATCAACAGCCTATGCCCGATGTTAAACTGCTGACGGGCCATCTTCTGACCATAAAAACTGTCTCAAAGTTGTTCCCGTCGAACACCGTCATGCACAACGTCTTCTGGGAGATCTCAAAACAGTTTCCTAGTGGTTTCTTCTATATTGACCTCTGGCCATTCGCTAGAACCACCTTGGTCATCACGACCCCATCTGGAGCCGCCCAAGTTGAAGCTTTTGACCTGGCGGTGCCTGATTCAATCGTTCATCCAATCGAGACCATTACCGGCGGGCCGAGCTTATTGACGATGCGAATCGGCCCAAAATGGAAGAGACAGCGTCGAGCTCTCAGCTCCGGGTTCAGCGCAAGTAGCATGATGGCTCTCGCACCAGCAGTGGCAGAAGAGGTTGCAGTTTTCCGGCGCCTCCTCCTCGATCGATGCTCAGCAGGGGCCTCTGACGTATTCCAACTGGAAGACTTGACTTTGAGATTGACTTTCGATGTTATCGGAGTTGTGACCTTGTATGTGTAACACGCGTCTGTCCGCCCTCTTCTGGTTCTTTTACTAAGTATTCTCTAGCGGCACCAAGTTGCACTGCCAAACCACAAATAATGAGCTGGCGAGAGCTATGCGGAGGCAGATTGAATGGACCACCTTCACCGTCATGAACCCGCTGCAGCGATATATCTCCCTCCGCCCTCTCGTTCACTGGATAAATGGGCGGCGCACGGATAAATACATCGCCGTAGAGATCGAGAAGAGGTTTCAAGAATGTCTTAGTACACAGAGCCTTGGTACACAGGTCGACGAAGATCTGGACACGCAACGCTATCCGTCGACAATATCACTACTTCTGGACGATATACTGCAGCAGGAGGAAGGAGTCAAGAATTTGCACACACATAAAGAGTCGCTGAAAAAGACAATGACGGCTCAGCTGCGTGCCTACTTATTCGGGGGCCACGATACAACCAGCAGCACTCTTTTATATTGCTACTACCTCCTCTCGACGCATCCCGACGTGTTGGAGAAAGTCATGGCTGAGCACGACAACGTCTTTGGTGTCGGGACGGCCTCTCGAGAGCATGACTTGATTTGCGAAAATCCGAACCGGCTCAATCAGCTTCCATATACGCTAGCAGTTATCAAAGAGGTACTGCGCATCTTTCCTCCTGCCGCGTCAATGCGGGAAGGGCGACCAGGTGCCGAAGTCGTTGACGAGCATGGTCGTGTCTACCCTACCGAAGGGTGTAACGTGTGGTCGCTGACATTGGCCATTCACCATAATCCCAAGTACTGGGCCGATCCCGAGGATTTCAACCCTGATAGATGGCTCGTCGGCCCTGAGGATCCCTTATACCCCTCTAAAGGGGCATGGATACCATTCCAGCACGGCCCTAAAAATTGCTTGGGGCAGCCGCTCGCGGTACTTGAATTGAAGATCTGTCTCGTTATGACACTTCGAGAGTTTTGCATCACTCCCGCCTATGAGGAATGGGATGTGAGGCATCCGAGACGGGGCATCAAGATGATCAACGGGAACAGAGCCTACCAAGCCGAGAAGGGTGGAGGCGGTGCACACCCTGCGGATGGGTTGCCCGTGAGGGTAAAGCTACGAGAAAGATGAATAGATAACTGAGGGTAGTGAGATAGTAGCTAGGAAGAATAGCAGATGTCCACGAGAAGGAACGGAGCACCAGGCCTCAGTGGAGTTAGGAGCGCGATGTCTTGTTGAGGGAGGGCAGATAGCCAATCTCTCAACACTCACTATTTGCTTACAAGAAAGAAATGGTGATGATAAGAGGTGAAGTTAACCAAATTACGTTATGGAGAATAGGAAAATGACTAATTTCTTTGATTCTGGCCAGATGGGGTGAAATGTTCATCGCCATCTTTGCACTGTGCTAGCCGACCTCGTGTTCATATGCGCGTTCAGTATTTTTACTCGAAACGTGAAGAAGGACCGAAGAAAACAACATCTACGACGGATTATGTAGGTAATAGCAGCGCTATATTAAAGACATCTAGTGCTTCCCAAAAGCTACGGACTCTGCTCTTATGACTTCAATTGTGTTGACAACCGTTGGCGGTTGAGCAAACGGTCCTCGACTGCCGACCAGACCGGTTCCCATACAAGGCACTGAGGGTGATACCTTATATACAAGTTCCCCGGGGATTCTTAATGTCATTGAACAACAGCCCCTGTGGCGCAGTGGTCAGCGCGCTCCCGTCTTTCCCTGTGATGTACTCACACTGAAGAAAGGACTGTGTGTCCGCGGTAAGCTCCCCCTCCCCCGAGTAAGAGAAGAGAACGAGTACATCACAAGGCCACGGGAGAGGTCCTCGGTTCGACTCCGAGCAGAAGCATTCTTTTTTTCCTTTTACCTTTTTTTTTTTCAATTGACATGATTCCACCGAGAGCTCAGTCAGAACTCACCACCACCACCTCTGCCTTCTCCCCTCGACGTCGACCACTCATGCTGGCATGTGGTAATTATGCCGTGATACTGGAGGCTGGCCGCACGTTCTGGCGAGAGCACATCGAACCAACTCAGTCCCCTTGGGAGCCCGATCATATTATCTCTCAGTTCCCCAAGTATAGCAGCAAATACACGGTCGATAATTCTTGGCAGAGCTTCGCTAGTTACCAGCGTGATGTGAAATGCCAAATACCGAGAAGTGGCATATTTCTTCGGCGCCGAGACATGCTTCGGCTTACATGATGGGCTAGCCTTTGCTGCTTTAGCATTAAGGTATTAACGAGGGAGCAGAACCCTGAACATGGAGAGTCAGGGTTAGGGAAAATAGGCCTTGATTATATCAGTCGGATATCCCCCAGTCGAGGAGGGGTGGCTGGTCTATTTAAGCGAATCGCCCCTTTATGTTAGATTTTAGCCGATATTGGGCGTTGTCGATTTGAATAATTGACGTAATTTTGTTGGATTTTAGATCATTAGACATCCGGAATCTTGTGATTGTTAATTATAAAGCTTTGATTTATGCAGACCCTTGATACCAATGCCAGTCGCACATGTCGCTCCCGCATCAACTGGGAGAATCACGCCCGTCATCCATCGTGATTCATCACCAGCGAGAAACCTGATGGCCGCACCGACATCCCAACCATTCCCCTCGGTACCAAGTAGGCTGCGAGCTTTTCGAACCTCCCTTTCTTCTTCCTCCATTCCAGTGTCCCCGAAAACCATAGGAGTATACACCATGCCTATGTGGCAATCCGAGTCAGCCATCTACCTCTCGAACTGGCTCGGGGAGGAAGTCTTACCGGGACAGACACAGTTGACTCGAATCCTGTCTGCAGCGTGATTGGCAGCCATGGCTCTGGTCAGGTTGACAACCGCACCCTTGCTCGTGGGATACAGAACGTTTGGCGTTCCACCGCGCAGCCCGGCGACGCTTCCCATGTTAACGATGCTGCCGGCCCACTGCCCGTCATTCTTCACCATCTGGGGGATGCAGTACTTGGCCATCTGGACCATGGATCCTACATTGACCTCCATTGCCTTCATAAAGGCAGCGATGTCGACCTGCGTCGAGTCCCCCTTCGGACCCATAACCCCGACGTTGTTCACCAGAATGTCGAGACGGCCGAAGGACGCAATGGTCTTGTCAACGATACGTTTGCAATCCTCGCCGCTGGTGACATCACCTGCGACCGCAAGAGCCTTGCCGTGGCCCTCCTTGGAGATCATCTCGGCCGTCTCCTCTGCACGCTCGAGCTGGAGATCGACGCAAGTTACTGAACACCCTGCTTCTGCCAATAAGATTGCTGCTGCGCGGCCGTTGCCAATCCCGCCTGCCAGGGCTCCTGCGCCAGTGACGATGGCAGTTCGCCCGGCCAGGGTTCTCGAAGGGCGCAATAAGTCTGCCATGGTGTATATCTTTGAAGGATGGGCGAATTAGGGAGGTAAACTAGGTGGCAACGACTGCAAATTGTTCACGGCTAGGGGCAGTTGTGTGACGGGCATTACCGAGTTATATTAGGCCATCTGCGCTGGTAGAAGGGATAAACATGGCTAATGGCATTCGGCATTTCTGACGACAGCTGGATGCCGAGGACGCCAGTACCTACATGGAGTGTGCCAATGTGGGAGGATGCCAACCCGAAGTAGGTTCGAGGGCCCCTTCTCCATATCTATCACAATGTCCAGTGGCATCGAATGAAACCACCCCAGCTAGTGAGTTCTCTGAGCCTAGTTCAATCTGGTCGTCTGGACTTCACCTCGGCGTTGATCGTCGGTCTTGTCGTTGATCCCTGGTGACAAATCTGGTTAGCACCGTCGGTGCCGAGCCAGCTCAAATGCCGAAACTTGCCAACGCCGAAGGAACTCGAAGCCGAAGCAACACAAGTACCCTGTAGCTTGGAGTGCAGGCCTAGTTTAAAAAGAACTACCCGGAGCCAGGTACTTTTATATGGAAGTGACACTAGATTATTATTCCATTAGTGCTGGTTAGAATGTTCATCCCAAACAGCCGTCTAGTCCACAACCTGACACAAACGTCGAAAGCATACAAAACAGCGTGGCAACCCAAATACTATCCATACGATGGAGATTGACGCAGACGAATCGAGAGCTTTTCAGAGAGAGACTTGGCTCTTCTGCTAATCTGTCTAACATGCTCATCGCTTGCATCCATCAGTGTTAGCGGACTGGTACCCGAGTAAGACTTCGGCCTGGGGATGCCGAGGTTTGCCTTTAGCGCTAACGAGTCAATGATCTTTCAGCTTGGGAGATGCTCATACCCCACACTCTGTACAGAATACAAGGATATCCAGAGACACCTACACCATCCAGCACATGTGTCTAAGCGGAGAACTGCGGGGGATAATAACCACGAGGAGAGGCTAGAATCCAAAATGGATCTATGAATTAGTCACCCTTCGAAGCCGGCTGCGCTGAAATATTCGGCGCCCAGCTCGCCCGATCGGTCGGCTTTCCGCATCTCCTTTCGCCTCGCCCATGCTGTGCTTCGGCGTCACCTTGCGCATCGAGGCTTAGCCGTGATTACAATGGAGCGGCCGGGCAAAAAGCCGAGGGCATGCGTTCCGTGCCACGAGCGCAAGGTTCGATGCGATCTGGCCCTGTCCGGCATCCCGTGCACTCGATGCCTCAACAAGGATCGCGTCGCTGAGTGCATGCCCTTATCACGTTCTGCTCCCGGGTAGGTCAATTCAGACTGCCAGATGGTTCGACTGAACTCTCCCCCCAGCTAATATTTATCTGTGCGTACTCGCAGTGATACGCAAAGGCGCAAGCGAGCTGCCGCTATTCGGAACACCGGTGATGAGCCGCCGAGAAAAGCTGCTTTTAATTCAACTCGCGATGGTAGCCTTGGTTCTGCAGCTACCATCGATCCCACTGAGGTCTGATCTTCTGACAGTCGATATGTTGCGCTCACCAGTTACCGGCCAGATGCTAATTCGGCCAATAAATAGACCGTACAATGTGCCTTGTTTGATGCTGAGCGAGTAAACAATCATAATCGCTCACGCTCGGTGCGTTTGACTTACTCAGGCATCTCGCCTGCCTCGAGCCAGCAGCACTCGTCGCTCAGCCAAGATGGCTCCATCATCAAACCACTCGGCCCAACTCCTTACACCATGTCCGAGGACGACGCACACCTCCAAACACTTTATCGCATGTCCCAGCGTGAAACCGCGGTTCTAACGCCAGAAACGAATCGGACGGCGCATCAACCGCCTCGGTGCATCTTCCAGTATTATAGCGATTTCAATGCCCTCAGCCTCCTGGGTGAAGGCCTTAGATCCTCCAACCGCCGGCGGCTCGTACAGGTAGAGCTTGATGGCCCCCAGTCTACCTCGGCTAAGCAGCGCGAGCTCAGCAGGCTCGACGAGATAGATCAGTCGTACCTCGCTGCGCGAAAGGTCCACGATTTCCCTGATGACCACGCCTGGTAACTCCACTGCCTTTCACCTCGTTAGACGTTCCGACTGCTAAATGCCCTTGCTCCACAGCGACATGTTGCTGAGCCTTTTCTTCAAACATGTGTATCCATACACCCCGGTGGTGGATCGCTGCCAACTGGTCGCCGACCTCCAAGCCGGCAATTGCTCTTCTTTTCTTCTACATGCCATTTTCTCCATCACGGTCCCGTACTCAGACGATACGTCCCTCAGGCACATGGGATACGACAGCGTGACTGACGCCCAGCGGGCGTTCTTCTCCCGTGCCCGGCTGCTCTTCGATTTTGGTTGTGAGGCGAACCAGTTGACCCTGCTTCAAGGCTCGTTCCTCCTTAGCTCGTTCCAGAACTCCTTTGCGCCTGACAAAGATTGCCGGTTCTGGTTGAATCAGGCAGTGCACATTGCCACACTCATGGGTCTGCACCGTCGGTGAGCTACTTTCCCCCCTACTTGCGGCTATATGATTTCCCGGCTCAGCTAACATGCCGTCTGTCTGTTCCCTGATGCTAGAAACGTAGAGAACGAGCTTCAGCCGTCGTTGCAGAGGGTTTGCCGTCGTATTTGGTGGCTACTTTATGTAAGATTCTTCTCCGTTCGGTATCTATGGTGGGCCGGGTTTCTAATCCAACCTGATCATTTACAGCAACGCGATATCATGTTTATGTTGGCAGGGTTCGAGAACACCAGGCACATCAATGATGAGGAAGTTGACTCACGCCCAGTCTGCCCTGAAGACTGGTTAGAAACAGCTCCCACCGCAGTATCACCCCCACTCTTGCCAGCCATCCCCGAGGTGCAGATACAGTTCTTCATCGAAAACTGCAAACTTGCCAAACTAGGTACGTCGTCTGCAACCGCCATCCTGCTTCAACTACTTACCCGTCTTCCCAGGCGCGGAATGTCTAAGACTATCTCTCACCACCGACGTGGCTCCATCCATGTCCCGCGTGCGCGAAATCGGGCAAGCAATCGTCGACTGGCGCGTCAGCCTACCCGCCGGGCTGCGCGCAGAAGGGTCGCTCTACGGCAATCAGACCGATATCTGGCAGTCGGTTATCCTTATATTTGGTTTCCGCCTGGAATGCCTATTTTACCGGACCGTCCGCCGATTCTCGTCCTCATTCAGCTCCTCGGATCGTGAGTGGGTGAGCCAGCGCCTTCTCGGTGCCATGTTTGATCTCAGCACCGTCTTGCGCCGCGCCATGGCCCTTGACATTCTCTCCGCTGGACCGCCAGCTTTGTATGTGAATGGATATCTGATGTATTCATGACAGTCTCTAACACTTACGCCCTTTTCTCCTTTTGTAGGATCGTATGCACCACGCAGCTCCTCGCTTTGCAGATCGAAACCGTGCTCAGTCCCCAATGCAGCAGGGGGACGCGGCACGCACTCAAAGCAGATATCAACGCCATGCTGGCGCACCTGGAGGACGTCAAGGACTGCTGGCTCAACGCCAAGTGGGCTTCCCGGGTTTTCGGCTGGGTGGTAGGTCGAACGGGGTTGTCACTGCGCGAGCCAGAATTGCCCAGGGGATCAATGGCAAGCGGCCCGGATGGGGGGCATCTGTCCTCAAATGTGCCAGGGGCCGGCGAGCAGCCGTCGCAAAACCACCCGCAGCCGGAATACCTCAATGATGGCTATGAAGTAGGTCAAGGGGGCGCCTTTTTCGATCCTTCTGAGGGGCTCCCCGAGACCTGGCTCGAAGACATGATGAATTCCGGTATTCTAGAAGAACAGGACAGGGCTATATTCGACGTAATGGACATGCGGATGGCTTTTTGATCATGGCAATGAAGTTCCCTGGGCCTAGGCGAGGTCTCCTGTCTTTAGGATCTACGTTCTACCCTCGACATAACACTCGGCAATACCATGAGCTTCAACCGAGCTATCGGCCCCGAAGAAATCAGCTGCTTGCGATCACGGGAGGTCATATGCTCAGTCCAAGATTGGCTTTTATCGAAACTTGATTTGTACTCGGGATAAACTGAGCTCGTACCTTTCAGTGGAGTAAGTATCTTCTTTTTGAGTCTGTAGTTTCACTTCGGCTTGTTTTTGAGCCTATGACTACGGGGGTTGTTAATTGCCCCTCACGGTAATATAAACTGCGGCTTCATAGAGATTCTGCAAAAGGCTGAAATTCCCATTACGATAGCTTTGTTCTCCTAATATTGATGGGAAATCATCTTAACATGAACAGTTCAGTAGCAGACAATTGACCTGGTTGTTTGAAGACAGGGAGTAAACTTGACATGAAGGCCAAAACAGAAGTGATGTAAGGACAGTAAAAAGGTCTCAATCGTGAAGTGGACTATGTGCCTGCGCCAGCATTGGAACCATACCACGCCTCACCTCAACAGCTCGCCCCAGGAGCTGGCCATCGAACCTCCGTGCCAGAAGCTCGTCTATTTACCGAGACCGAGCAAGACGAGATTGGCAACGTTGAGCACTGCCATGGTGATCCAAAGCAAGATGCCGAATGTGGTGGTGTACCAAGAGTTCTCCATGGAGGTGCTTCCCGCCTCCCGAGCAACACCAGCCACACTCGTGGTGGCGACGCCGCCCGATCGATCGGAGCCGGGGGCGATGGTCATGTACCTAACACGTGAGGTGAAGTAGATCAGCGGCGCGGTGACAAACGGGAGCACGATGCTGAGCACAACCTGCGACGCGTTGAGCGCATCGTTGAGTCCCGACCGGCCCACCGCGGCAGCGATGACGACGCTGGGGATGATGCTGATGCTGCGGGTGATGAGTCGGCGCAGCCACGGGCGGACCTTCCAGCGCAGCGCGCCTTCGGAGACCATCTGCCCGGAGATTGTGCACACGATGCCAGCGGAGACACCTGACAGCAGGAGAGACAAGGCAAAGATGGTGCCGGCAGCTGGGGAGATGGATCTCGATAGGAGGTCGTGGATGCCAAAGATGTCGGCTTCCGGGGCGGCGGGATTGTCAAAGAGGGAAGCTCCGGATACGATGACAATGGCCGAGTTGACAAAGAGGGCAAATGTAAAGAGCGAGATCGCCAGCTCGATGGCGGAGAACTTGTAGCAGTGCTTGATGGCCTGGAGCGAGGGGATGTAATAGTCCTTGCCGTCGTCACTTGAGTCGTCGATGTTGTCGCGAGTCTCGGGAGCAAGACCGTGGCTCTCGTCGTACTCTCTCAGGCGTGGCTGGACGATACCGGAGCCGAGATATAAGCTGTGTGGCATGACGGTTGCACCGAGAATGCCACAAGCCTGGTACAATCTATTCTCCGCCAAGTTAGAAATCGCCACATGGCCTCTTCCGTGATCGCTATGGTCACACTTACCCTTCTGACTGGCGAATGGCATCGGACGGCAAAAACCCGCGGAAGACGGTCCCGATGCTGGTGTGTTTGATAAGGGAGAGCTGGATGCAAAAGCAGACTACGACGCCTAGTACAAGGAACGTAATGAAGAGCTCAAACAACCTCAGACCTCTCATCGTCCCATGTGGGTTGTAGAATAGAAGCAGAAGCATGACATCGACAATGGAGATGGCGCACCCGGCAACGAGGGGTATCGCCGGGATCAGGAGGTTCAGACCAATGGCAAATCCGATGACCTGCATTTGTTGAGCATCAATACCATTCATTCAAGTAGTATCTCCAGAGTTCACATACCTCGGCGATATCGGTTGCGATAATGGCAGCCTCAGCAAAGAAGTACAAGATGTAGTTCATCCATGGAGGAAGGAAAAGGCGGCAGCACTGGGCAAGATTGAGCCCTGAGACTGTGCCCAGCTTGATGCACAGTGTCTGAAGAAAGATGGCAAAGAGGTTGGCCATGAGAACGACAAACAGCAGTCTGTACTCGAATGTGGCCCCGGCCGCCACACCGGTAGAGTAGTTTCCCGGATCAACTAGAGAGGTCAAGCATTAGCATCAACAAAAGCGATGAGACAGATAGTGATTCGTGTCTCATACTGTAAGCAACGGAAATCATAAACCCTGGACCGACAAAGGAGCCGAATTTGACGACGCCTTTCTTGAGCTGGCGTCTCCAATCGCGAGAACCGCGCTCTCCGTCGCCTCCCTCCCTGGCGTGAGGAGGAGGAGGCGGTATCGGGATGGACATGTAGCTGGCGGGCTGGGCCGTGTCCCTCCCATCCAGCAGGCTGACTGCACCGACCTTGCCAGCCTGCTTGGGTCCCGCCGAGGTCTTGGAAGGCCTCCTGAGAATTGGCTCACGCTGTATGCCTGGCTGTATTGGCGGTTCGGACGGCGAGGGACTGCGCTTGTCCGATGCTTGCTCCCTCTCATTGACAATGCCATTGAGGTCTTGATTGGTGGTCAGGTCGGCAGAGAGCGACGCGGGGTTCTGGTTGAAGCCGCGCGTGTCCTGCTCGTACGGCTCCTCGGTGCGTGAAGTCTTGTTCATTGTTGCTGGTGGTGGTTGGATATGATGCTGGATGCTGTCTTGGCGCCAAGCGGTCTGATGGTGATGAAGGTCGGCAGTTCAAGGATGATGCCGTCGAAAACTCATTGTTCCGGCTATCCCAGAGCGTTACGTAACGTTCCGCAAGCGCTGTTCCTTGTAGCCGTAATGGACGGGAACCAGTTGTCCCGGAACTAACGTGTCCGGCAGCGGAGTGACGCACCCGGTCTGTCCCGCACGTTTGATACGCGTAAAGAAACGGAACATACGCTAACAATAGTTCTAACGCTCGTTACGCGTATCGTTCAGCACAAACCGGCAAATAGGCCACCGTATTTGAATGATTGGTCTCACCCGACCGTTCTAGACTCAATAGCAAAGTAACGGCTGAAATAAATGAATTAGCCCAAGTTGGCTCGACTATCCATAATTGGACGCTTATCCTTTCAATTCCGCATTCCTCAAGTTATTCTCGTCATCGTGCTAACAGCCTAACCGCAAAGAACCTGAGTCGCCGTTTGAGTCAAGCCATTTTCTAGCGCAGGTCAATAATCACTGCGCCTCACATCCAGTGATATAACATCATGATTCTACGACGTCATTTGCTTATGTTCTGAATTGGTCTTCGCTGTCTGTTACCTTCTCACGCAAAATAGCTGCGGAGCGTCTATACAGCTGTTGCCTGCTTACAGTCAATCGAGAAAGCCGCAATTCATCACTTCGAACTCGACCATGGTCCCGACAACGGCGACTGCGTCCAGACCGGTTTTCAGGTTGCCTGATCTACCAAGAGAGATAAGAGACAACATTTGGGATTTAGCTGTCGAAAATTTCAACAACACGCCGCGAGCTCATTTCTTTTCTTTATCAGCGGAGCGGGTGCGCTGCTTACAGTCAACCAAGCCGAGCATTGAGCCAGATGGCTGGAAAGAGGCCCAAACTGTCCTAAAACCTCCTCTGGTTCACAAAAAAGACGTTGATGTGATAAGCGGGAAGACTGCACGCAACATATCCAGGTACATGCTCTATCATAATCTGTGGAATACGAGTATTGAGTCAAGAAAAGCAATCGTTCGCCAATGGAACGAATGGCGTGACAGCAGCCCGGATGAGTCCGCCTATACCTTCATGCACATCGGTGACTCGCCTACCTTGTTTGTCGCGATTCAACCGGCTATTGATTTGATCTGCCTCGAGATACCAAAAACGGTGGATGCATGTCGCAATATCAACTGTGCCCCTATTAACACTGGCTCGCGAGTTCGAAACTTTGCATTCATCTACGATCCAAGTTGGTATGAGGAAATAGAGGCCCTTCTACCGCATCTCAAGTCATCTTGCGACACTGAGCTTATTCAAGGTGGCACAACGCCGGGCTGCCGCTTCCTAGATCTGGCGACCAGACTACTCTGTGATCCGAATGCTGGGGCATACAAGAGATACTACGATGATGGTTACGACAGTAAATATGGCCCCAGGGTGAACGAACTATGGCTCATCGATCCGACATTAAAACCTTCAGCCAAGTTTGAGATTGAGAAAGCGGGTAGAGATCGGGTTGTCTTCGATGCTTGCGGGAGCAAGTTCATCGAAGTCAGACTGGACAGTGACATTGGCAAAAAGGGGTGGTGGGAGATTTCCAAGGGATGCTCACCCGATCATACTGCCAGGTGTTTCAACTCCCTGATATGTCGCGGCCTCAATACTTTCTGGATGTACCACGAAGATCCTTTTGGGTGTGATGTGTGCATCCTTAATACTCACCCCCCTGGGGAGTATAGCTGCCCTCATTGGATCTATTTTAGAATTCTAGCTTGTGTGGACGTAGCCTGAAACGTGTATTGCATTGAATTTATACATAATTCACAAGCCCATGAAAGCATGTCCAGCCTGAATATTTGCTTTGAGGTCCTTCAGAGCCACCCCCAACAGCTTCTCCTCGCCGTCTGACAGTGAGCCAATATCAAAGACCTTGGTAGCTCCATTAGGACCTAGCTCTACCTTCACGGCAAAGTAATCCACTCCTAGCCTGGCGGCAATCTCCTTGCCATCCTGGATGCCGGGAAGGTAGACATAGGCTTCCTCCACAACGGGGGTGCCGCTCTTCGCTTGTATCAACGCCTTTATAAAGCGAAATCCGGCGTAAGCCATACAGGTCGTTGCACTGCCAGCACCTTTCTTACTCTCGACAATCTCATCCCCACCAAACTGTACCCCTGCGTAAAGTGAAGAGGTCATTAGTTTTAGATCAAAGTAAATAGGCAACAGTAGCTCACTGTGGATAACCTGTGCCAATTTTGCCGAGTCAATGCAGAGTTTAGGCACTGCGTGGCTGTAGAGGGGCAGGATGGTCGCGCCACTATGTCCCCCAATGACAGGCACCTTGAATGACTTGGGGTCGGCACCTCCACCCAGAGCATGCGCGATGAAGGTCGACGCCCGTACAACATCAAGGGTTGTCACGCCGAACAGCCGGGTAGGGTCATATGTACCTCCCTGGCGTAAGGTTTCGGCCGCCACGGGGACTGTTGAGTTGACTGGGTTCGTCACTACACAGCAAATGGCTTGTGGGCAAGTCTTGGCAACTTCCGTGAAGAGGTCGCGGATGATGCTTGCATTGGTCTGACGCAAGGTGAGAAATTAAGTAGTGTGAGAATACCTAATAAAAGCGAGATTGTTTACCAACCTTGAAAAGATCTAGGAAGCCGGCAACGTTATCTCATGTTATCTTGTGTAATGCAGGCAGTAGCTACGCCAAGCTGCGGGAGGATACATCATACCGTCTCGAGTCATCCCTGGCTTGCGGGCAATGCCGGCCGTTACCACTACAATATCAGCCCTCGCTAGTGCTTTCTGTAGTCCTCCATCCTCAGCGAGGTGGCCGGAGACCTTGGCCCTGGTATCTATGTGGTTCAAGTCTGTCGCGATACCTGGGGCATGGACAATATCATACAGTGAAATTTCATCAAATAAGTCACTCTGTAAGAGACTTTGTTAGCATTCAGAAAAGACTGTCAGTTCGAAGATTACTGGAGACTTACAGCCTTGCACAAAAGGCTCAGTGGTGTGCCAATCTGGCCTGCAGCACCAAGGAGAGCGATCTTGGTCATTTTAATGGAGGTGTGCTGTTAAAGGGATTATGGGCCAGCTGGGTATATTCTTCTCGGTATCAATTATTACCGACCTGGCTTTGTCTGGCCTTTTATATGGCTGGAAAGAGGAGATATCAAGCACCTACCCAGCATTCGTAATCTGGGGCAAGTGACGTCTCCGGCACAGCGCGATCTTCGTGCCGGTTGGTAAAAGATTGCGGCTAAAGTTTTAGCCACCTCGTCATCCAAACTCACGCAGCGATTTCCCCACGCCTTATCATGTTGGTGATTATTTTTGACTTGGAATTTGCGGAATGGAAAAGGGAATGTGGCCAGAAGAGATTGATAACGGTCATTTTACTACAGGCCCTACTTTTGATCCCGGTTTCAGGGTTTGTGGGCTGCTTTTGACCTCTACTGTTGGATTGGGGAATCTGATATTTCTTTCTATAAATTTGTCGTGAATCTACTGGGACTGCGCATTTGCGTGCTCAGGTACAGGGGATAGCAGCTCGATGCCTAGAACTGCCCGTCTAGCGTTCTCCATGGCCCATATTTCCATCTTTGCCAGTGTTTCGGTTGTATGTGTTCCCAAGTGTGGCACCAAGAGAGCTCTACTCTGTTTGAGTAACTTCTCGTTGATCTCAGGCTCGTGCTCGTAAACATCGATGCCAACAGCACCAATCTTTCCGCTCTCAAGCCCATCAGCCATAGCAACTTCATCAATAATGGCACCCCGGGCTGTATTAACAATGACCACTCCATCTTTCATCTTTGAAATCTCCTTTGCTGCAATTAGATGCTTCGTGTTGGCATTGAGGGGCACGTTAATGCTGATGATATCGCTCTCAGTCAGAAGTTTTTCGAACGATACATACTCAGCACCGGCAGCCTCCTCCCCGGACAGAGGGCGGCGGTTATGGTACCGCGTGACTAGACCAAACGGCTCGCTGCGCTTCTTGATAGCTCGACCAATCCGGCCCATACCCAGAATACCCAGGATTTTCCCCTGCGGATCGTGGCCAAAGTCAATGCCCTTCTTGAAGTTGCCCGCCCTAAGCGATGACAGAGACGGGTTAAGTTGCCGGAGAGCACCCAGTAGGAGCCAGATAGCCAAGTCGGCCGTGGCCTCGGTGACAGGATCAGGTGCATAGGTAAGGACAATACCCCGCTTGGTACAAGCAGCCGGGTCAATCTGATCATACCCGGCGCCGTTGTGGCAGATGTGCTTGCAGCTCGCAGGGAGGCGCTGGATGAATTCCTCGTCGAACTTTCCAGCTACAGCGCCGCTGGCAGAGGTTCTGTAAATGACGGAGATATCCCTATATTTTCCCTCGAGGTCTTTGAAGAACTCATCCCTGGTCTTGCTCGCGACTACTTCAGTATGTGCAATCTCTTGAAGGCTTTCATAAAAGGAATTGGCATGTCTAACAGGGTTGAAGAAGAGGATAAAAGGCTTGGTGGAAGACATGGTGCTGTATGTGCGGAGAGATCCGAGAGGTTTGGTGATCCTGGTGAGGAGGCGCATTGAATTACTCCTGTGCTGCGGCTTCCGTTTGCTTTATCTTTGTCAGAATCGTCCAATGGAGAGTCGTTTTCTCGGAGACGGAGTTTGAGATGTAACAAGGTATAATCGCCGTTGCAGAAACAGGTACTTTGATTTTGGGTTGGACACGATGGTAGTCTAGAATCCTCCCAACTGAATCATGGCGAGCCAGCCGGCATATATTTTGGCCGCTGTGGGGGAGAGTATTGGGAAATCCCCTGCAGCCGCTGAATGAGCCGTGGTAAAACTATCTACCGCTGCTAGAATAAACGGCAAATGATCGGCATCATTAGCATACCTTTAGGTCTTAAAGTAAAGAACCTTGTATGAAAGTCACTGCCTGTCTCTCATTGTCAAGAAAGACTGCTCAGCCCGATCAATTCGCTGTATTCAATCCCGCCGTCTTTGTGCCACTATCTTCTCCAACACATTCAGGCCAAACTTCCGATAGAGCACCGTGTCTAATACCCATTCGCCGATCCATGTTGCCCATCTCGCCAGCGATGCACTACCCCCAAGCCAGACCCAGTCGTTTTTCTGCCCAAAAAGGGGCCAAAACCAGCTCTTGTCTTCAAGAATTCTCTCCACCAACTGAGCGGAAAAGTCTTGTGCACTCATCTTCGAAGTATTTTCAGAGTAACGAAGCTTCATGAGATACGCGTCTTCAACCACCTTGTAGATTGAGGTTTCTGGCAGTTCCCGGTAGACTTTAGTACCACTTGTCGTCTTTACGAACCCAGTCATCACGACCATGACGCGGACACCAAAAGGCCGCACTTCTTGTCTCAGTGTTCGAGAATAGGAGTTGATAGCCCCCTTTGTGGCGCAAAATACCGAACCATATACATATGGGGTGATGGATGCGAGACTGCTCATATTGACGACAATACCTTTTGCAGAAATAAGGAGATCAAGAAACGACTGCGTCATCGCCATGACGCCAAAGACATTTGTCTCGAAGGTCTTGCGGACATCATCAATATCGATGTCAGCAGCGGGAATAGTGTGTGAGACACCGCTATCGTAAAAACCAGATTAATTGGACCTGCAATATCAAGAGAAGCGCCAGAAATCATCGCGGAACTCACGCATTATTCACCAAGATATCGAGGCGGCCTCCAGTAATTTCGTCTACCTGCTTCTTGCAAGCGGCAATGCTCTTGGAATTCGTAACATCGAGTGGTAAGACAATCATGCCCGACCCTGCGAGCTCCTGAAGAACTTCTGGTCGACGAGCTGTGGCAATGACGGTGCATCCTTTGCATTGAATGAGAAAAAGGTCCATTAACCAAGATGAGAAGATGGATCGGAGACTATACCTCGAAGTTGAAAACTTTTGCATAACTCATACCCGATGCCCCCGGGCGTGCACCCAGTTACCAGGACTGTCTTAGCACTCCGAGACACATTCATCACACTATGCGCAATAGGATAAAAATATAATGGCACTGCTCTTTAACTTGCTGAACTTGTTTGACTGCGGCAGGCAGTAGGTAATGCTCAGCAAGTCGAACGTAACGGTAGAGAGTGACAATGGAAGCCTGCAAACGATGGAGAGGATTCTGGTTGCGGCCAGTATGGTGGAGTTAGAGATATCAGAATCTCCACTGGGGTTCTCTTCAAAGCAGATGTTACCCAGAGTACGTCAGCTCGTTCGGGTCGGATTCTCGGACAACTGCGCATACTGTCACTAGCGGCCTGATTCTAATGTTACCCCTACCCAGGTTAAGAGCAGACGTTATGGCAGCAACCTGTGTGAATAAAGGATGTTGCGTAGAACGATAGAGTATTTAACTTATATATAATACCACTTTTATGTGCCAAGATAAGGGTAGCTGAATCAATACGTAGTTGAGAGACAGCGGTTTGTCGAACATGGATGAGCGAGTCAAAGGCGGTGCTTCCATCGGCCCAAGTCGAATGAGAAATGTTTCAATTTTCCAATTTCTATCAATTGAAGGAACTATTGTTTAGAATATAGTAACCCAGAAAAAGCATCGTGGAAACGCAGAAATGATCAGGTGTGATGCTGCGCCGATTGCGAAACGAACCTGAGCGATCCTCCTACCAGTGCAACACCATATCAAACAACCGTAAGAAACAGGCAATATGAATTTAAAAAAGAATCCTATGGGGTTGATTAATCGTGGGATTTGCACAACCGGCCTTTAGCCTTTGTCCAGTTGCCTATTTCAGACGCTCCTCCTCGACAAAAGATCTCTTGTCCAAGGCCCAGCAACCAAAAGATCCTCCCAATTTCCTCATCAATTGTATTTAAAGAGTAAAGACCCCGCACCTGGGCTCACTAGAATCACCAACTGCTTGGCTGTAGCATTGTACTTCTCCACCACACTCAATAAATGCCTATCCCAGAGGTCAAGAGACATGACGCGTCTCATGTTCCCGCGATTTCGGGACCATGTACTCTTGTTCCGTGAGATGCCGTTCCTTCATTACATTGTGGTATTGCTTCCCATTATTCTATACGGTCTCCTATTTCGCCTTCCTCTCTATTTATTGATTGCCCCCATCTTTTACACAGAACGATGTTGGAAGCGTCTGCATCCTAGGTCTAGTGAAAACAGATATAGGCGATTCACAAAGCGGCGCGAAGGAACATTACTTTTAAAGCACCCTGTTCGGTCCTCTTCTCTTGATCTGGCTCAACTTCGAAGGAATGCATCACAGCTCAAGCCAAAGGACAAGTTCTTTGGTTGGCTGCCCCCGGAGATTCGACGTCGAATTCTGGTCTGCGCCTTTGGCGAACGCACTGTCCATATTGATTTATCCTACACACTGATAACTAGGCCTTACCAAGCAGGCTATGTTGGTGTATCAGCTGCGAGGACGCATGCCGGACTGCTGCCACGGTCTGATTACCATCAGATGTACGATGGCGAATGGCAATGGCAGTGGTATGGCTGTGTCTGTCATCGTTCTGGTCCAGAAGAAATGACACTGTCTTTAGGGAGATTTCGCAGCTCTCCTGGCATAGATAGGCGAAGATTTACCTGGACAGCCTGTCTGGAGGGGGGAGGAGTTTGCCAAGCTTGGCCTGGGAATCAACCTGATAAATGTCGACTGGAATGCTTAGGTTGGCTATTAACATCCAAACAAGCGTGAGTGATTATTAAACTCTTCCTAACCTCTTAATAGGGAGAACTGACTCGAAGATGAGAATGTATCTAGATACATCGAAGGCATGGAAGTGATCTATGGAACAAACACCATAAACTTTTCGTCATCCGAAATCATGCTTTCGTCTCCGAGCATACTACCTCCCAACATCCTCAGGTCGATTAGATCACTAGAGCTGGCGATCGACACGCAGAGGTCGCCTCTCAAATACGCATTTAGGGATCCGGAATTCTTTTCACCCAGCCTGCACACAGTACCCATATTCCCAAGCCTTCTATATCTCCGTATATCCCTTTTTAGTTGGGACCTAGATATTTGGTTTAGGAGGAAGGACTTGCTTCACCATTATGGCCCTAATCGTGAACTGTGGCTTCAATTAATCCCAGCAAACGTGTCTATCATGCTACACAGGATCGATAGTTTTTTGGAAAGAATAGCGCCACCCACGGCAGAAGTTACGGTGGATTGGAACCTTACCGGCTACGACACCTTGAGCAATGTACTCCTCAGCGAACGCCTGGACCAAGCATCACTGCACATACAAGAATACGAATCTGGAGGGAGAAAATATTGGCGACAAACTTCCACTTCTATAGCCAATATCCCTACTGGGGATACAAATTGCCTTGGCATTACAGGTGGCCCAGGCAAACGCCAGGGCTATTGGATTTACTGTGATGAAGCAGAAGATGACGATTGATGAGTCAGACTATAGCCATATGGAGGCCATTGTCAGAATGAATCCTCTTCGATTGCAGTGAGGGAATCTGTTTTCATTCGGCTATGCCTTAAAATTATATCACATTTGTTATGCTAGAAACGCAGTGACATGAGATGGAAATCCCTTTTAGACAGAATGGAGTGCACACTTGGAGGACAATAAGACTATAAATCATCGAGCCGCCTTCGTCATAAGGTCGGTTGAAAGATACTACTTAAAAATCTAGCCATTTGGTGAACCGTTTATTTTCGCAATGTGGGCTGTTAGCTTTCCGGTCATTTGCTTCATAATCTACTACACCCGCTCTTAGATGATGACGAACTTAACAGATTTGTTTAAACAAGAATGCAAGGGTACTTAATTTTGTATTTGTCGGAATATCTGTCTTACGGTCCAACCGATCAGAAGAAAGACCCGGTCTCCAGCAGGACAATTCCCACTTATTATTCCAGTTGGGGTTGATTTGCATCATGGATGGTCTAGTGCCGGCGGCAATAACTATAATAGTTCATATGCGTCGGCCAAAATTTCCCTAAACAGCGATCAGGAGTATCCAACCCCCGATAAACAAGTCCCCGCCCACGCCGTGCTCGTCACAGGGCTATCTTCTATGTTTAAGAGACCCGATGCCCCCTCTCTATATAGGAGGAATACAAAGCGATCGTAACATCAAACACTGTCTGTTATCAATACTCATTGTCCATCTTGCACCGTCTTGGATCTTTGATCCCAATTCTCGATATGCCATCTCCCCTAGGACTTGCCGTAATCGGCACAAACTGGATAAGCAACTCGTTTGTGCAATCCAGCCACGAAAGCAAAAGGTTCCAGTTGAAGGCTGTTTACTCACGCAGCATTGATTCAGCTACCAAGTTCATCTCACAGACACCCTCTGTCAAGGATGTTTCATCCATCAAGGCATTTGATAGCTTGGACAAGATGCTGACTGCCTCCGAGGTTGACGTTGTGTACATTGCATCACCGAACTCGTTCCACTATGAGCACGGTATCAAGAGTCTAACAGCCGGCAAGCACATCATTGTCGAGAAGCCCTTTGTTTCCAACGCCGATGAAGTCAGGGGTCTTTTCAAGCTTGCCGACACGAAGGGATTGTGCGTTATTGAGGCCTGGCGTCACATCCAAGAGCCCAACTTTCTGAAGCTGCAAAGACTTCTTGACGACGAAAAATCAAGGGAGGAAAAATTCGGGCAGATCTATGGCGCCAACATCTCGTTGGCCGTCTACAACCCAGAGTACGCCAAAACGCCCGAGGATGGCAAAGAGGCCAATGTGGTTCTGCCCAAGTTCAGCGGCGGATGCTTGTGGGATGTGGGATGCTATTCGGTCGCTTTCATCTTTGCTCTCTTCGGCACTCCGGCAAGTCAAACTTATTTCCCCATCATCATTCGCACGGGGGTCGATGGCGGTGGCAACATAATCTTCCAGTATACCGCAGAACGCTCCAAGCACAAACAGGAGTTTGTCGTGCACGCACAATCTAGTAAACTGTACGTGTCACATGCACCTACAGAGATCTACTGCGAGAAGGGCACCATTCGGATCAATGGCGTGTCTAGTATCACTGAGATTAACACAATTGAATTCATCCCGCATGGTCAGACCACAGGTGAAGAGTTTGCAAACACCAAGCCGGAGTACAGCGATTTACTCAACTTGACCTGGGAGGCGACAGAGTTTGGACGAATTATTCAAGAAGGGGACAAAAAGGCCGAAGCCCGCCTAAGAGACTTGAGCCTCGACATTTTAATTGCTATGGAAGACATGCGCAAGAACAATGGTATCTTCTTCGACTCTGACAAGTATGGGAAATGATATGAGGTGGATGATTTATATTCAATTCAATCTAGTTCACGAAGAAGATAAATCAAAGCGGAGAGTGTTGGATCGATTTTGGGAAGCAAGCTGTTGCATCTCAAGCCTATGCTCATTTTGTTCATCAAAGGCGAAATCCTCTATAGTAGTGTTTTTTCCATTACCATGTCCGACGCTACGATCGAGTTATAACGGCGACTATTTTCCTCTTGCTCGGTATTTCTGTCATGTCATCTATAAAAATGGGAGTCTAGTAGTATGCCATCAGGTAATAAAGCCTAAAGTTAGAAGAATTATTCGATTGTCAAAGGTCTTCTACCAGTCCAATTTTCAAGCAAAACAGGAACTCGATGTTGTATGATCAGCCGTGCTATAGTGCTGTCAACATGTGAAAAGAATTTTAAAGAAATCTGGATGGTGAGAATTCCAAACTTCATGCCTTGACTATAATTTCACAGCCTTCATCTAAATCTTCTTCTCGAATAGTGCGAGAACCTCTTGATTATCACAAGCAGCAGCGATGTCAAGTGCCGTTTGCTGGGCTTCATCCTCCATCATTGCATCCGCCCCAGCTTCCATGACCTCTTTGAAGCGATCAACCAGACCACTCGCGGCAGCATGCAGCAGCCCCTGTCCCTTATTGTTCGCAACAGTCAAATCAGCACCGAGTTCGAGTAGCAACGGCAAGGCAGCTTTTTCCGAATACATGTCTCCATAAAATCGAAGTTCGAAATACCGCTCGGAAGACACTTCCATCGGACGTCGAGAGAATACGAACAAGGGTGTCTCTCCGCTTGAGTTGACACCATTGATATCAACACCCCGTTTGACAAGGTCTTTGAAAAGATCACGAAGACGCTGAATATCCAGATTGTCTGCGAGCTTATGCAGACAGCTTTCTCCATTCTTGTCGACAGCGAGGCAATCGGCGCCAGCCTCAAGCAGAGTGTTGAACGGTCCCGTCTCCCTCGTGCTAGCAGCATGTATTGCGGCCTCAAGCAGAGGCGTTCTTCCGTCGTCGTCTACCTGGTGGATAAGCTCGGGGCATGCCTCGAGAGCATGTGAGAATCCCTTTTCGAAAGCATTAGGCTCACATTGGCGCAACATATGGTGCAGGATATTTCGCCCTTGGTGGTCTCGAGCCTTCAAATCCGCTCCAAAGCACACCAATCTTTCAAATAGACTTGCATCACCGACCAAGCCTTTCTCTCCCTGTTGACTCTTGACAATATGGTCTGGTCCCCCGGCAGCCATACAGGCAGCATGAAGTACGGTCCGGCCTTGGCAATCTCGGTGATTCACGTCCAAAGTAGGAAGCCGGACGAAGTTTTCAAACCTCCCACGACGATGAAAGAATATCTCATGCAGTAGTGTGCACTCTCGGTAGCCCTCTGGCACCTCTAATGAAGGGGTATCTTGGAGACGACTGCTGTACCGTTTCGATCTCCGTTGACTCAGTCTGGCCAGGAATTTCGAGAACGGGTCTGCGTTAAAGTCCAGCAGAACCTTGACTATTTCGTCGGCGTCTTCGCTCCGAGTTAGCAGAACACCGGCGTGGAATAAAGGGAACAGTTGATGATCCTCGACGATGTCTTTTTCTTCAACATGATCATCTTCATGGTATCTCCTACGTGCCCTCTTCCGCTTTATGGGACCAGCGTCTTCGTCTGACGGTCGTCCCCTCCGGGCATTCGCATTGATTCCTGGTTCGTTTCTAGACAGAATGCTCTTGAGCGCTTCAACATTCGACTGATCGATGGCAGCAAATATTTCATCGACCCTCGTGATCGCGCCGTGGGTCCGAAGTAGCTGCGAGATCTCAGCATCTGTTTGTGCGTAGGAAAGACAGTTCTTATTTTCATTGTCCGCGGCGTTGACGTCTGCACCCGCCTCAATGAGCGAGATGGCAGCCTCCCGATTCGCATGTTGCAACGCAACATGAAGGGGGGTCTGGCCTTTATAGTTCCGGATATTCAAGTCTGCGCCTGCTCTGATGAGATACGGCAATGCTTGCTGGGTGTGCCACCACGCGGTTTTCTGAGCCAGACAATGCAACGCACTGTCAGTCACAACGAATTTGTCCTTCCCATTGATGTCTTCCTTGCTGTAATGCCCCTCATTAATGTTAACGCTGAATTTCTCGACCAGCAATTGAAGAATAACCATGTTAGGTAGTTCTCGCCTCACGGCTGCGATAATAAGGGGTTCAGGATTGCTGCCTCGAGCCCTGGATTCCGAAAAGTCCTTGGCCGCGAACCATAGCCCAGGCTTCGTATTATCCCCGTAGGCGTGCCATAGCCCTGACTGGAGAACCGATGCTGCCACCGACTCGCCGACCTTCTCAAACAGTGACGAATACCCGTTGGTCACTAAGACCGAGAGACAATTCTCATCAGTTTTGCCAGGCACTGGTAGGAAAAGGCATCCTAGAGTAACCATTTCCTCAACCATATGATACTCCCTGCGCGAGAGGAAATAATCCATCTGTCCCCTCCCAGCTTCCCCTGCGGTCAATCTGTGATGATAAATCACTGATTTTGCTAGACCCTGTTTGTGGAAACTATTATTGCCCTCAACCATTTCTGTCGGTTTCTCGTCCAACGTTTCGCTCTGCCATTTGCGCCGCACACCCGACAATATTGAGGCAGTATAGTCCTTGCTTGCCAAGGAAGCTTTTATACTGCAATGAAGGACGGCATTTCTCATGACGTCGGAAACATCGGTTAGGTGGCTCGCAATCATAACCCAGATTTCGTCCAACCTGGGCACCTGTTCCACGATTAAGTGGTAAAAAAACGACCCGTGGTAGTTTGTGCCCTTGCTTCGAAGTCGGGACTCCAATTTAACGGGGACCTCCTCACATGTTGAGGGTTCGCAGGGCGTTCGCCATAATGCACACTCGTCTTCAAACTGGAAAGTAGCGTCGAGCATCTGCCTCAGATCAACAGTTGCTCCCGCATCTAGCAGCAATGCCACGGTTTCTGGAGTCCCTGATCGGCACGCGTAGAACAGGGGAGTCACTTTTTCTTCCTTGCCGAATGTTTTCTCGTTTACACCCATCACCGGCTTTGGTTGCTCGCTGTCACTATCGGGGCCGCTAGAGTACGCAGGGAGTTGCGCCCGATCCTTTTGTCTCAGGGCGTCCAGAAGACGGCCAACAATGTTACTTGCTCTGCAACGGGCTGCAATATGAAGAGGGGTGAGCCCTTCATTCGTGTGTCTTGAGGGATCAGCGCCCGCGGCGATCAGCTTCGTGCTATATCGCTCCCCACCAGTCGCAGCCATGTGCAAAGGTGTTACTCCGTCATTGTCGGCCACGTCTACGTTCTTCACTCGGGAAAGAACGAAGTCGAAGGCCGTGACATCTTTGTGCTTAACGTAGCCCTCTTTGCGGTGGCCAGCACACAAAATATGGAGCGGTGTGCGGCCGGCAAAGTTCTTCAGGTCCGAGTCCACCCCCATCTCGACAAGCTGTTCCCAGAAATGAATCGCTTCTTTAGCCCAATAAGCGGACTGGAACTCGTCGCGGAGAGCAAGCTCGTGAAGGACATTGTTTCCATCGTTGTCGACGGCATGTATGTCCAGCCCTAGGCCTAAAAGATAGGCGAAGGAATCCGTACTCTTACGCCATTGCTGGCATTTCACATACTCATGAAACAAGGAACGACCTTTGAAGTCTCGGGTTTTGGACGAAGCCCCTTGCCTTTGGAGCATCTCCAGGTGCTTCTTCTCACTGGAAATTCTGCGAAACAAAAGAGTAGCCCCATTGTGGTCGACCGCGTTGATATCTGCCCCCGACCTCACCAGGTGGCTGATCACCTTCTCCGAGGGGTCCCGTGCATACATGAGTGGAGTTAGTCCTTTGTAGTTCCTCAAGTTGACGTCGGCGCCTCTCCTTATTAATTCTTCGATGGTGTCCAAAGAGGGAGATGAATCGTTTAGGTAGACGTGAAGCGAGCCATTGCCCTCCTTATCAACCACGTTGCAGTCTGGGCCATATCCAAGCAGCTTGCCAAGTCTCTCGTGAGCACGAGACTTGTAGGATGCGAGGTACGACAGTAGAACCGACTTCCCCTCATTCCTGGTAGAATTGATATCTGCCTGTCCCTTTTCGACAAGGAGCGCCATACATCCCACTTCAATCTCATCATTTTGGAGAGGTGTCTCACCGTTCTCGTCCTTGATGTTGGCATCCACGCCAGCATCGAGAAGTGCTGCGGTCAGGACTGGGGATTGCACCGCGAGATGAAGCAACGTCCGTCCTTGCCAGTCACGCTTGTGAAAATTTGCACCTGCCTGCTTCAAAAGGGAAAATACAGCTGACAGGTCTTCTCCATTGGGTTCCTTTTGGCGCATAGCTGCAGATACGTACGCCTGGGTGGAATCCAGACCGAGATCCTCTGGCCTCGAGATCTTGTCCAAAGAACTGACATGGACGGCGAATCCTGAACGGTTTCTCGGCATACAGTGAATATTTGGATCTGCACCTGCGGCCAGAAGGCTTTTGATTGTTGATGCATCCGGGTTACTACACGCGCGAAAGAGCGGTGTGGTACCCTCAAACTTGGTATTGATATCAATCCCTGGGTGCTGCAAGATCGTGGCCACAATCTGCGATCTCCCTCTGCCGCTGGCCCAGCAGAGGGCACGGTGCCTGATTTCGGCATCTTCCACGAAGTCGAGAAAGACCTTGACCGTCTCCAGGTGCCCGTTGCGGCAGGCGTACATCAGGGGTGTCTCACCAAGCGTGCAGGGCGGCGGCGTACAGCCCGACCAGGATTCAGTTTTGGTTTTCGGAGTCAACGGATCAACGCCGGCTTCCAGAAGCACTTTGGCTACTTCATGGTGGTTCTTCTCCGCCGCGTAATGCAAGGGCTTCAGCCCAGCGGCATCGTCTGGGTCTGGATCGGTCCCGGCCGCGATGAGTTCCCGCACTATGCTCGTATGACCTGCTGCGGCTGCTCTCTGGCTAAAGACATGTTCTGTTAGCTTGCTGTTGTCTTCAACAATTTCTGTGACCAGCACTTCAAACGAGGGGGTCTTACAGGGCCGTTTTTCTGTGGTTTTGACTCGCAGGTACATCGCTAGCCAGAGCTTCCCGGAAGTAAGATATCAATCCTGTCTGTGCGGGAACATGGAGATGCAAATAAATCCCCAAGACCTTGGGTAGTTGGTACGCCTCCATCGGGAGCCAGTTTCTTATTTTGCCTTCCAGTGACAAGAAACTGCGAATCTGGACATTGATCTCGGTTTGGCTGTGGCCCGCATTTTCTGATTGCCTGGCATGGTGATACCAGTTCTGAGAGGCGTACTCAAGGAACGGGTGCTTGAGTCTTAATTGGACTCTTTTGGGGCTGGGATCAGATGGATCATCATCTTCTTCAGTATCCTCGGACTCCTCTAAGCATCCGCTCTGGAGATAATGTAGACACGCCAGGGCAAGCTGAGCGTGGGTTGAGCCGAATGATAGAATTGGATATCCTGAAGAATCTTGCGTGCGGGTTGTACCTTTCAGATACTCGGTAAACGAATGATGGATTACTGATACTGTCTCGTCGGCAAGGAGCTCAAGAAGCGGACCACATGCAGCTCGAATAAGACTTTTGGTATCCTTGACATTCCTGGCATTGTTGTCAGGATTCGCCACCATGACCAAGTCTGTGAGCTCGAGCAGCCGGAGAGGCCGAGTGGCATGCGTGACGGCCTGGAGGATTAGATGCTGGACTCTAGGTTCGACAGCGGATCTCTTCGCCTGGTCATTGAGGAGATCTGTATATAAAGCGTTCAGATCAACTGGCAGTTGCCCAATTACCGACTTGATATCAGCCCCTGGCTTGAGAAACGCATCCATAGCGAGCTTGGCGTAGAGAAATAGGCCGTTTGCCCGGCCAGGAACAGCTTCCCGAATCACCTTCCAGTCGCTTTCAGGTATGCTTGATTTGGCCAGCATCAAATCAACATAGTTCGAGATGTCAACATCGACCAAACTCTCTTGCAGTCGAACGTGTAGACCGGGGGCTTTTCGGAGCGGACCTTCGACGCTTGGAACAGGTCGGCTAGTGATCAACACCTTCACCTTGGCTGGCATAAACTGACCAAGTGACCCAAGGGCTTGCAGAAACGCGTCATTGCCCTGGTCCATTTCATCGAGGGCGTCGGCGATACAAAACACCTTCCCTGGCAAGCTGGCCAGCGCTGCTCTCAGGTCTCCCCACAAGTCCGCCATGGAGACACTCCCTGTCGTCCGCCCCCTATTGACATATTTATTAAGAAGTTTGCCCTGCAGAGGAGGACTGTATTCCAGAAGCTGATTCATCCAGTCTCGCAGCAGGGCTTGGGGCTCATGGTTCGCGTCGATGATTTGACGGAAGAAGAAGTAGAGGACAGGACAGCCGGGGTTCAACTTGGCAAGCTCATCGACCAGCCTAGCCGCCATGACGGACTTGCCGGAGCCCGGGATTCCCCTTATCCAGAAGAGCCCGTGATCTTGGCCGTGCAGCCAGTCCTGGTACGTGGCGCTCGAGGTTAGCCAGTCTCCGGTGCCGGGCGCGTGAGAGACCAAGTGCTTGCGGAATTCGCCGCCAACGACATCGTAGGGAGTGGGCCTGAGCCAAATGCGTATGTTCTTGATCGTCCTGGCAGGTTGCGGCTGACTCTGATCTGGATTATAGTCGCGAATGTCATCATGGGTGAGGATTCTCACGTCGCTGTCGGTCGCGTCATCTTCATTTGGCAGGGATTGCATAACTGTTGGTCTGCTCGCTAATAGCCACTAAGAAAATATAAGAAAATACAAATAAAAAATGGCCACGATCGCAGAGCCAAGGCAATGACAAGAGTACCTGCTGCTTTGCACTCATATGTCAATATGAGAGCGCAAGGAGGAAACCACCAGTCTTTTCCCCAGGTGATGGGCGATTGAAGTAGGACGATCCTTGACTACTCAGCCTGTATCATCTCACTAGGCAGCCAACTAAACTAATGGGGAACAGGCCGAAGAAGGTGGCCAGTTTCAGGTTACTGCGGCGCAGTCAATGCATCCACCAGCCACGTGTTTTCGAGATCGACAGTGGTCTAAGAGAGGAATCAATTTGCGATCATTGCTAACTGGTTGGATCTTGAGGAATCATACTCTGTTTCGCGGACTCGGCAAGCGTTTGTGGTAGAAAGCTGTAAGAGCATTTAAATCCTTGCCGTGGGACACCAGACAGGATCTCAGCACATCTCGCGTGTGACAACTCCCAGAAAGAAATGACTCATCGAGACATCGATTTCTAACTGTCACCGTTCTCCTGCCTTTTGCCTCCCCTCAGAGTTTGTCAGTACATTACAGTCGTGATCTCCATATTACTTCATCACAATGCCAAAGTTGAATCTCGTTGGATTAGAGTCTCTAGGGTAGGAGAATGATTCCAGGCAGCAATCAGGCAGCTCCGCCCTGAAACGAAATTGGAGACAATCCCACGCTCTCAGCTTATGCCTGTACAACTATGAAAACCACTTCACGCAAACTGCCGCGAACGGGATCGGCGGGTCGTTGCCTGGTTCAATTGAGTAGATGAATCGCTTCTCACTTTGAGCTCTCCCTACAACGCCACCTCCAGCACGCGAAATATGGCGCCGCGAGATCAAGAAGCTCAACCACCCCAGCACCGTACCTCTACTTTGATATGGGTGGCAGTATTGGTTGTTTTGATCTCAGCCGCAATGTCGGTTTTCGCTGACGACAGATACTTCCTACTGAGGTATCGGGATTACCAGCTGAACAGGCCATCGTCGTACCCCCTATCACGTCGCGAGATGGCCAGGACAAAAGAGGTGGCAGATCTACTGCTCGAAATCTACCAAACATTGGCTGAAATGAGGTACCTAGATCCGTTGTGCATCAATTCTGGGCCCCACGACCTCAGTCACGCCCAAGAGACTATCAACAGCTACAAATTAGATCCCGCAATTGTCCATCTCTACAGTATTATGCCGTATGTTGAATGCGGAGAAAGTGCCTTTTTCCGGGGTGGTCAATTCGTGGATTTTCGGCGGACGAGCGATGTGGAAGATGCCCGGGATCCGTTTTATGGTGATCCACGATACGAGGCCGGGTTTGAGGAAGAAGATGGACCATACATGCGCCCATGGGTGACCCCATTATCTCTGCTCGGAAATCACCAAAGCGTAATCATCTACGATGTACGGCGGCACAGGATCTGGATCATTGATCAGGAAGGCTGGTGCAGTTCGGATCCAGCGCTGGAAGGGGCGGAGAGTATGCCATCCCTTTCACTCAACCGCAACTCCTTTGAGCATCTACGCAGCCGGCCCGCTGCAGAGGTTCTGAAGGATATCAATAAGTGGTATCGCCAGCTCACCATTCTTCCGGGCGGCGGTGATGACACTGGCAGCGAGTGGGACCATTACGATATGGACCTGCCGTCGATCTACAGGAACAATGGATGGCCGGATCGCTTTGATGGTGAGGCGTTCGAGATTGAACAGGCTAGAAAGTCCCGTGCTGTGTGGGCAAAACATGTAGCCGAAGAGCCCCTTAGGAAGCTTGCGACTCTTCAGTCTTGGATGGAGGATTTCCCTCGGGAGATTCAACGGGCAAAAGAGGCTGTTCTCAAAGCGACCTCCCAAGAGGAGAAAGAGACTGCAAGACTTTCTCAGTGGAAATCCGAGTACGCCCAGAAGAGGCGTGTCAAGGAGCTTGCGCCTGCTCAAGAAATGGCTGACAAGTTTTGTCCTGGCGGGGTCTGTCAAAGAGCAGAAGACCTGCCTCTGTGGGAGTTTGAGATGGTCAAATCTGAATACGACAGCAAACAGAATCGCTTACGAGAGCTCGAAGAAGAAGGAGCACCACCAAATCAGGATCACGAGTTTCGCCAGGCACAAAGAGAGGCTATCATCTACAAAAAAGCATTCGATCTGTCCAAGGCAGCATGTGAGAACCTATCAAGCGATATTCTAGAGTCTCACCTGGCTCTTGTCTGGCCAAAACGGCCTGATCATAGCCGAATACACGATCAGATCAATAATATGCAACAATATGTTGATGATGCTAAAGAGTATCTCGCCACAGTCCCCGAAAGCGCTCCGAAGACCCGAAAAGCGATCGAGATGGACATTGAGCATGCTGAGAATTTGGTTGCGTCCAGGAGACTCAGTTTGTCACAGGAAACAGAGTGAAGAATATTTAACATACAATTACATAGGTGTTGATGGGATAGGTAGATAATACGAACGAGTATGTTGATGCCTAGCGATTTGCTTTAAGAGGCCAGGCCCTGTAGCGCTTCGTTCGTGAGTAATAGTTGATATTCCTCGTTATATCGCTACCAAGGAGTTCTCCCCGGCGAAACACTTATCGAAATTTCATCAAGAATGGTTGAAGTATCATTATGGGCAAAGTGATAATATATTGAGCAAGAGAAGATAAGAAGTCAATTCATCTACCCTCGAGAAGGGACTGGAAAACGTAGAACATGCTAAAGTCCGCAGCTAGCTGAATAGTAAACTTAAGTCCGGATCGCATAACTCTGCGTGCAAAGAGTCTACTGGTTTAGTCCACGATAATTGCTAACATCAAGACTGAGACACTAATCTGATACGCGTTTAGTTCATTACAAAAACCAAACATGGTAAAGGATGGAGGTGTCTACGCGTTGGGACATCTAGTGGTGAATGGGGTCCGGACATCGTTAAGTCCGAGAACTCCGAACAGGGTATTTACAAGCATCAACAACCTTAAAAATCCACATGCAACCCGCTCACATTTATCCACCTTTGTCATCCTACGTGTTTAAGCCCACGGTATAGTCATTGATACTGAGATCGGCCCACGATGAGTAGCAGCCGGGGTAAGCTATCGATAACTCTGAGCGCCATGCCGCAGCTGATGGAGGTATACCTAATCCCCCCCGAGCACCTATTGAACTACGATGACCCATACCCCATAGGCCAGATCAAGCGATGATGACTGGACTGGTATGACGGATGCAGCATCCCGGCGGAGAAGGCAGACTAGATTAAACACCCGAGCATACCGTCAGTCCCTCCCAGAAACGGTCCCAGATTGAAGTGGGCGACCAATCGCTAAATCTATCTAGGCCGTCGAAAAGCCGAACGAGCTGCTTCCAAGGCCGTGAAAATGGAGACGCCGGCCACCAGAATGGACACTATACCTTGCTGGGACGAGGACAGCCAAAAGGTTGCGCTGTTACCGGCCGCAGTGGCGAAGGCCATCAACGCTCCCGTAATTCCGAAAGGCCGCCTCAACTCAAGACTTCTCTTTCCTCTCTCTTCGGATCATTTGATCACCCTCATTCAGGTTAATGCCTTACGTGCCATCATGACCAATGGCCACATATTGGAGGAAGTAATACCCGAAACGAGATATGACTGTACCGGGGGCGCCTTGCAGGTTCTCCCCACCCTCAGAAACATACATCAGGTGCCTGAAAGCCTGTTGCCTACTCGATGTCAGTCTCTAGTTCCTCATGGGGCTTGGATCGACTGCCTTCCTCACCCGAGCTGGCGAGACAACTTCATCCGTGCTCTTGGCACGTTTGACGAGAAGGACCTCGCCTCGGATATTGCGGGGTGGTTATCGAAGGGCACCGGGGCTATAGAACCTGGGATGCGAGGACTGATAGTTTGGTCGCCTCCCTGGCATCATACAGGCTGGGAGGTGTCGGAGGGATTCATGGAGAAATGGGGTTGGTCGGTCAGGGGATGCGAGGAGGTTCTTGAGGCCACGAACAAATGGCGAGAGATTCGAGGGGAGCCGCCGCTTAAAGTTGAATAATTTGTGAGAGGATGCGGGTGCTACGTTCAATTTACGATAAGTATTGATACCAACTTTGTTACCCTATTGGTTTTTGGCCTCAGTAATGGAGGCATAACGCGTCCCGAATTGCGGACACATTTGAGTCCAGATTCTTCTCCTATTACACAGACCCAACGTCTTGTTCCTCTGGCTCCCCCAGAACAGCTCCTTATAGACTCGACTCCAGTCTACTGATGAGCGCTGTTCATCCGAGGGAGTGGGCATATCCCATAGCCAGGGCATGTCCGGCACGATCCGCGACTTCCAAAAGGACTGGGACAGTGGGACGTTTGCGATGGCAGGAGACGCCATCCTCGCTTTGAAAACGCCATCCATCGTCGGAATAGACAATACCAATAGTGAAAGGATGTCGGGGGGGAGTGTGCTGAATGGATCACCCTGCGTGTTGTAGTCGCCGCCTGGTTCACCATCTCCCTCCTTTCGCAAGGGAAATTTCTTGTAAAATCTTGCCAACCATTCAATATCAATCGGATCAGATACCAGATATTCGTGGTTTCTCAGAGGGAACCAATCCCGCGTCCTATGTCCGGCTATATCTCCGTAGTCAATCCCCAGGCACGTCGCCCATTCGTCGCGCGAACCCAAGCTTTTGAATATCTGGTTGAGTACCTCCTTGTCCAGAGATTCAACACCAAGAAAGCGTCGTAGGACCTCATGACATTTGACGTGAAATGGTGCACACCAAGGGTCTCGACCTTCCAAGCAGTATCTGTGGGGAGAGCAATCAGTTCAAATTGCATCTTGTCTAAGCGGCAAATGGCGGCAACCTACGCCTGCATATCTCCAGCTCCTGGAAGGTCCAGCAGAGCCGGATCGGAATCCTTGTCGAGGTCGAACCTCACGTTTCCATCGACGCCTACCGAAGCCGGTCCTGAGAGCCAGACACTGGCCAAGCCAAACAATCCCAGTGTTAGCACGAGCTTCGCGGTTCTCGTTATCCATGACACCTACCTCGACGATGCACCGGTCTTTGGGTTCTCTCCGAGGGCGCGAATGTCATCCAGCCATTCCAGCTCCGGATATTCAGGTCGGGTCAGGAAGACATTGGGGTCATACGCGTCCATACCAGGGCGCGGGCTCCCCTCGTCGTCGTCGATGAAGTAGCTCACGTTCCGTAGAGGCCCGCCGCAAACGGCGCAGAAACACTCCCAATCGGCACAACTCATGCTGTCCAGCTGGTCAGATGTTGCCAGGAACTGCCTCCAATGTCGGAGGGTGGAGATGCGTCAAGTCCTGAAATGACCCCTCTCGAGTGACGTGTCACGTGGCTAGGTAGAATGAGACTGATTCCACACAGTCAGCAGGTGATTATTGGCGCCCGAATGAGGCATCAATTCTCACGCACCCACTGAGCAGCAGACGGTGAAGCAATGTTTATTTTAGGATTACGCGAATCCGAGAGGGCTGGAACAAGTGGCCTACCCTAGACCTTGAACCTCCTTAGAGCTGTAAATGCGACCTGTAAGATACCCCTCATAAATATACGTTCACTATTAGTTTGTTACTAAATTAGGAGCACAATGAATAAGAGATTCTACCGCAAGTTAAGTCTGACCTGGCCGAGAGAATGCAGCCAGCACAGGTCACAGAGAGAGTTAACTACCAAACGCACAATACTCTCTTCATCCCTACGGGGAAAACAGGAACATAAGGACAATCAGACAAGGAAAACGTGGCTCGCCTCTTCATCACTTTTCTACTTCTTAACAAACGCTGCCTTTGCACCAGAAAACCCCCCTCCCACTTCTACTCACAAGCTGTAGACTCTTCGCCGCCTTTATACTCATCAAAGTGATCAACGACTACCCACATCTTCGACGTTCCGGTGCGCTTGTGGTGATTCCCAAATGCTGACCGGTAGAAATCCACGAAGCCAGGCTGTTTACAAGAGATAGTAGCCCGCTCGCCGAATGAACGCAGCAATGGCTCGACGACCAAATCGACCGGAGCGCCAACGGCTGGTTGTGCTGAAGTTCGAATCAAATTGTTTTCGGGTATCATGTAGTCTGGCTTGTAAGGAAATCCCGACACGTTGCCCGTCTCGGGATCCCGAAAATCGACCCTGACATTCTTACCCGAGGCAAGTATCCAGAGATCTAATTCCACGGCGGTCCGGGCCACTCTGGAAAGAAGTTTATCGAGCTCACTATGGAGACCCGTTTTGGGATCAATATCGGGCTCCGAGCCTGATTCGCTGTCACTCAACTCAACTTGATTCTCTGGGTGATTGCGTAGCTTCATCACAGGAAGGATTTCATCGAGAATCACTTTTTCAAGTCGCTCGGCAGACGAGTGAGGCCCAAAGCGCATGTATGCCATGCGAACACTCCAGAATTTGGCAGCATGGTACGCATGAGTGAAAGCGTTGCTCTCATCGGGCAAGCCTCCTTCTAAAACACATTGAGCATTAAGACCTGAGCCAAGCAGTGGCGGGGATTTTGAACTTACTTTGCAGAGATTGCTGGAAGGATCCAAGATGAGCCCACTCCTCGCTTGACCATTTATCAGTGCAATCCGGGGACAGGAGATTGTCGTAGAGAATACGCCAGACCCAAGCCAACATGAGATGGCTGCAGCCTTTTTTGCCGTCTTCGATAATTTTCGGTGAAATGGGGCAAAAAGATATGAGTCTTCCCTTTGTTTTATCGTCCAGAAGGTGCCACATGCATTTTATCGGTCCTGTAGCGGAGATGAAATTGCTCACGTAGGTGCTAAGCTTGCACCAAAGATCGTGTAGAGGTTGGTAGTAGTAAGACCCCTCATGAAAGGCCTTGTGGCCCCAACGTTCTATTTCTGCTTGATCCACAGATGGGTTAAGCGAATAAATCTCGTTCCATTTTGGTTGGGACGCCTCCGCCTGGCCAGTGTTGGACGGATAGCCCGGCTGAGGCACATCAGGGCACGCGGGTGGACTACCTTCTGGGGGACGATCCCGTTGGCCTGGAGCTGTAGAGCCTGGGAGGGAGGCGGATCTGGATAGGGTTGAAGCGGCTGGCTGAAGGGGCTGGCATACCTCACCCAGTCGGGTATCGCCTACTTGCGACATCTCTGTGGAGCTCGATACCTTGTCAAGCTCAAGAAGTCTTTCTCTGGTGTTGGCCCTGGAGCAATTCCCTCGCCGTGTTGGGCTTCGTGACGCCTTGGAAGACTGGTCCACCCGACTCTCGGGGCTTATGGACCTCTTTCTTGGCTTTGCCTTCATTAGAAGGAGGCGAGGAGAAATAGACTGAAAAGACTTGATTTGGGTTGGGTTGGTGGTCACGCAGCAGTCTAGATACACGTACGACCCACGATCAGGATGAATGCCGGAGGGAGAGGGAGTGTTGGGACGATGTGGGAAGGCCGGGTAGAAATATGCCTTCGTCCCTCTTTGTTTGTTGCACGGGAGCCCATCTCACAGACCATCTCCACCCCCAACCCCTTTCTCCTCCCTTGCTCAGGTCTGTGGGCACACACAGCTCCCGTGAATCACAGTCACACCTGTCACTAGCTCAGGCAGCCGCAGGAGTGAGTTATTGGCCAGGCCCTGTGGTTGTGGCGTATGTGCCAAGCCCTGGCTCATGCATGCGTCCACCCGTCCTACCCAAGAATATGGGCAAAAAAGACCAATCAAAGCTGGGTTTTTTTCCCCTATGGATAACTTGAAATATTGACAAACTTCTCTTCTCCTCTGGTAGCTTCCAGAGGGTCTGATATGCAGCTGCGTTTGCCGGATATGATCGTGGTGATTAGTAGTGACACATCATATGCGCTTGCGGGCCTCTCTGTACCAAACGAGCGCCTTCGCACAGCTAGTCAAGTTACACATGGCTCAATCTTCCTAGAAAATCCATTGTCTGGCTCGCAACAATCAACGCCACTCGTTACATGGGCATCGGAAATATGGAAAGTCTACAGGGGGATCGGGCCGGCCGGTGAGCAATGAAAATTTGGGTACAAGCGTTGCTGATCTAAGGCATCTCTTCTCAGAGGATCTAGATGTTGTATCTCTTCCCCCTTTCTCCCCTTCTAAGCTGTAATCTCAACTTTCCGTGACTTGGCCTCTGTATTTCTCTTCCGGCAAGGCTACACAGAACCCCACGGTCCTGTGCGCTTGGCTCTGCGTATCCGTCTCTTCATCCTTGTCTATTGTCTGTTGTGGCATTCTTCTCATTTACTCAGATAACACTCGTTTCGACCATGGAGAATCAATGTATCTACGGATGCGCCCATGGCATTATTGGGTTGGACTTCGGTTCAACGTAGGATTTCGCTCTGTCTTCTCTGCGCTTGCTCCCCACTGACCTTTAATCGCCTAGGTATTCGGCCGCTGCTATACTCCTGCCATCAGTCGACGGCTACCTTACCAGCGAAATGAGATTCGTGAACAATTTTCCGACAAGCTTACATGTCATCCAAGCAGACAACGGGTTTGAGCTTCAGTTCGATCCAGTCGATAGCACCATGCTCAGCAAAGACAGACTGTGTTATCTCAAGGCTCTACTAATGAATCAGACCCATCCGAGAAGCGGTGATAATCGGATGGTAAACTCTATCTTCAACTCATGGAGTGGCATGGACTTGCCTGAAGAAGATGTTGTGGTCGCAATATTTCTAAAAGGTCTCTTTGAGAAGGCCTTGGCGGTAGCCAGAGGTCTAGACGCCTGGCACGATGGACTGCGCCCTGCCATCACGATCACATACCCAATATCCTGGTCTCCCGAAGAACTCAGTATGTTCCAGTCCGCTGTCCGAATCGCAGGGATTGCCGATCATCCCTGTCATACATGTCATGTTCGTTATATCACGGAACACAGGGCAGTGGTTACCACAATGCAGCATGAGCACTACCACGCTCTAGCGGAGCTGGTAAGTCTTGCCGATACACGCAAACATTTCGTTATGGTGGAAAACTGATTGCTGGTTGAATTAGAATGGCGATTATATGATTGTCGCTGACTTTGGTGGCATGACAGATGTGAGTTCACCATCTCCCATCATCCTACTCATATTTCCATTTGCTAATATGATCCAGGATGCCGCTGTCGTACCCTATCCTGACTCTGTGCCACTCCGACCCCCCGAAGAAGACGAATTGAAGTCGCTTGACTGCCGCATGCTGCACAACTCCAGTTACACTGGCTCGATGTCAGCCGATGCGGAGTTCCGTACCCTACTTCTTCAGAAGTGGCGCGCAATAGCAGGCGATCATGAGGAGGTGCCTAGCCTTGATGATGCAAATGAGGCCTGGGAGAGAGAGACTAAGAAGACCTTCACGGGTCTCAACTCCGGCTATGAACAGGCCAGTTTCTCGGTCGGTCAGACAAGAGTGCTTATGAGAGTGTAAGTGTGCTGTCGCAAACTTTTCATCATGATCACGCTCCCTTCTTTGATCCACCCTTATTGCTCCTGTCTTCGCGCCCCAAGAGGCAGCTGCTTCCATGTGACACGATTTCTCAACTGCATGTCTCCCTATTGATCCAATGAGCTCCTGGAGAGGACATGGACTTTTCCTTTATCTAATTTCCGCTCACCTTGCGCATAGGGGTATCCTAAAACAGATCTTTGACCACTCCGCCGAAGCGAAGGCCCGCCTCATTGAGGCCCTCTTCCAACAAGCGGATATTCTGCAACACAAAGTCAAGGCTGGTAACTTCTCTTCCTTGTTAAGGCCGTCAGTAACTAACGTTATCCATAGTGTATCGTTCTGACGGGCGGGCTTTCTCTCAACTTCCGACTTGAATCACAGGTAGAAAAGAAACTGCGACAACGCTTGGAAACTACCCTGTATTTCTCGAAACCTTCAATAGGTGCGTCTCATTATCTGCGTTGCCAGCGTGTCACTCACGATCTTCATAGACGGTTGGCAGTGTGTACCGGCGCCGTCCTGTGGAGGCTGCCTCATCTTCTTCGGCGATTCATCAATTCCCAGGACGCATGATCATCCTTTCGAAACCGAGGTTGTTTGATATTCCCACAGCCGCATGTGGCATGGGCAATAGATAGCTCGGCTAATCGCTTGGACGTGGATGGGAAGAGGCAGCAATCCGGCCCCGAAGGGTAATAGTGCACGATTGTTTTTTTCCCTCTCTTTTGTTTTTCTTTTGTTTTCTTCCACTTTTCTCGTCTGGTTTTTTTCTTCTTTCTTCATTGCATGTAATCACGGCAGCATATAGAGTATTTCTTTCCTGTTTTGCTATAGAAGGGAATCTCCCAGGGACAGCATTGCCAGGGCCTGTGAGGCCTCACTTGGGTAGGAGGAGTTCTATTTCCTATGTCTGCGATAGATTTTGCATCTTTTGTTTTCCTTTGTACGGTTATCGGATTAGAGAATAATGACAATATTATAAAGAAGCTTTTAGCATAAGACCAGGTATCAACTAGCTGCACGATCGCAAACATCGTTGCCAAAGCTTCAGCCTGTCCTCTGATCTGTCGCCGGGCCTCCTTGCTGTTGCTGTTGCTGTTGTTGTTGTCTTTTCAATACACCCCAGCCAACACCTTTCTATTCAACTTGCGAAGGTATCGATGGTACAAGTCTGCAAGAGCCAACGCCTAATCCTGCCATGAGGTCATGAAATGACAAGGCTGACACCAGTCTCAATCCGAGCGGTTAGAATCTAAGGCGTCCATGTAGGTTAATGACGTGACTTGACTACTCCATGCCTATTGCCTCTAGTCTGGCAATTGAAGACCTGCGGTACTACGTACCGTGTTTCACCAAGTCTTCTAGGTGATCCATTGCCAGGAAATCTTGCCCCTCCATCCTCTCGGTATTCGCAGATGCTCATGCTTCAATGATCATGAACGTTATAAAAGGGCATACATTTCATATCAAGGTAGCTACCGGCCTAACTCTACATCGAGAGTAAAAGATTCAATCAGCTGCCCCGGAGCCAAAAGTTCAACCATACCCCTTCTACAAGTACAAATTGACGCTCGTTGGTTTTGGCAAATTTGATTTCGAAATGTTTAACATTGGTAAAGATAGAGTCGTACACTCCTGGACTAAACTGAATCTGTCGATCTCCCTTTACAAGGCCCAACGATGGGCAAGTACAATTTCACACTCAACAAACCACTAGCCTAGGCGGTATACTCCGGCCTTGATATCATCGAGCAGCGATTTCTCAACGGGAGTCCAGCCTAGCTCCTTTCTGGTCTTCTCGCTGGAAACGGCGTTGTCCGCCATGATGGCGAACGAGAGGAAGCCGAAATGCGCCGACGTCTCCTCTGGCGTTTTGCTGGCAGCTGGAACGCCCAGCTGCTGACCAAGTGCCTCGGCAATCTCCTTTAGGGCTACACCCTGCTCAGCAACGGCATGGTAGTAGGATCCAGCCTTTCCATTCTCCAACACGAGTCTGTAGAGCTTGGCCGTGTCGTTCCGATGGACAGCGGGCCAGCGGTTGTCCCCCTTGCCGCTATAGACAGAGACTCCGTGCTCTTTTGCCTTGGCAGCCATCATGTGGATAAACCCATGGTCTCCCTCGCCGTGGTTGGTAGGCGGCAGCCGGATGACTGTGGAGCGCACGCCCTTGCTGGCGAATCCGAGGGCCACGAAATCATTCTTTGCGCGACCTGAAGACACGGGGTTCGACAAGTCGGCCAGATCAGTCTCCGTGGCCAAGTCAGCATGGGCCACCGTGAGGGTGCCCGAAGTGCCGACGAATGGCTTGTTCGTGCCCTCCAGGGCCTCGCAGAGAAGCGTGACAGTCTTGCGATCCTCGTCGCAGACACGGACATAGTCGGCCATCTCCTCATGCTTGAAGGCGAGGTGAATAACCCCGTCCGAAGTAGTAGCGGCTTGCTTGAGGATCTCCGGATCGTCAAGAGTTCCTCGCACGGGTTCGGCTCCCAGCTTTTTGAGGGCTTCGGCACTCTTCTCGCTCCTGGCCAGACCAAGAACTTGATGGCCGTGGGCGAGGAGCTCACGGACAACAGCTTGGCCAATGAAGCCGGATGCACCAGTAATGAAAACCTTCATGGTGGGAGGGTGGCAAGTAGAAGTTGTAGTTTGGTTTCTTGAAGAGGTTTGAGAGACTATTGAGTCTGAATTTCTGTTGAATTGTATTGATGAGAAACGAATATGAGAGGTTACGCCTCGACTATTTATACCACTATCTCATCCTCATGATATCAAGTCTTGTTCTCAACAACCGTGAGTTACTAGAGCCGCTGAATGAGTTAAGTTCAACACGATATTTGCCAGATCCAATCAGATGCTTCATATATCCGAACAGAGGAATGAATGTACTCTACGGTTAGCGTCCTATCATCTGCCATCCGCAAGCACCCACATAGGCAATGCCCACAACAGACAGGGGATGGGATGTGCTGACTCCGAGAGCCAATGGAGCGGCATGATTATGCGAAACCGGGTTAGCTCAAGACGTTTCCATGCTACTGATTCGACTTGACATGGATCCGGAGCTATCGGCGACCTCGACGGCCTAAAACCGGGCCTTTTGTTCACAGTTTCGTATTTTCAATTGGAATCTCGGACTCTCCTTTCTTCATAAATTCTATCCCGGTGACGGTGGGCAAATGATGTTCTATCGCAAGCGAAACTTGGTTTAGCGTCTGCACAAAATACTCTCGATTACATTGACCATGTCTACCAAGACCGCCACCTTGACGGACACGGATAAGAGGGTGCCCGTGAAGAAAAGCCGTGTTTTCCGAAGATCACGAGGAGGGTGTCGAAATTGCAAATTACGAAAGATCAAGGCAAGTCCCATTCCAAGCCGTGGCTCAAATATGTCACCTAACTCGTCAAGTGTGATCAAGCCAAGCCCCAGTGTCGGTGCTGCCTATCATTTGGCGTCGTATGTAACTATGGTATCAATATCCCGGACCTGCTGCCTTCCAAGGAGGCACACTCCCAGTGGGCTGGGACAACATATGACGCAAGGCCGCGGGCAAAGGCCCCAATTCCACCCTTGAAGCAACGTATATCTAGCCAAGTTGCGTCCAGGACCTCGTCCGTCACCATCGAATTAGATGCTAGATCGATGAGGATTATAACCCAGTTTTACGAGGAAATTAAAACCAGGTTTGAATTTCCAGCCACGGATGTTTTCCAGTTCGCACAAAGTGTAAGTCCATACCAGCCTATGTTTAAACATTCACCCAGCATGTTGACCAGCCGTCCATCCGCAGTATCCTTTTCTGATGCATGCTACGTTGGCATTGTCTCTCGCTCACGAGCGTTCTCTCATCTCGACAAGCAAACCCAATCAAGGCAGAACTGTAAGCGAGATGAAACATTTTCTCCAATGCACGACGTTATTTCAACGCCACCTGCGTGAAGATATCCATCCAGTAGACCGGGATCCGATATGGGCCACAGCGTCATGGCTTAGCATACTATTGTTCATAGCTATCGACGAAAACGACCCTTCCAAAGCGTGGCCATTCAAAGGGTCCGAAACGGCGGACATGGACTGGCTACGCATGGGAGATACAAAGTGGAAGCTCTTTCAGCTCACCAACCCCAATCGGCCGGAGAGCATCTTTTATCCCATCTCAAACCTCTATGCACAGATGCGTACAAACATCGCAGCCAGCGGGATCGACAGCATCTCCCCATCTCTATATGAAGTGTGCGGCCTCGACGGATCAAGCCGACACGACACGAATCCGTACTTCCAGGCGGCTCAAACAATAACTAACTTGGGGAACTTTGAGCCTTCGAAGATCCCGTTTCCCGCGGCCATGTCATTTATCACGCATGGACACCCTGATTTCAAAGTTCTTCTGCTAAATAAGGACCCTGTGGCCTTGTTGCTACATGCCTTATGGTACAGCAGGGTGAGGAAATCTGTCTGGTGGATCAATCTTCGGGCTATCACGGAGCTCAAGGCCATATGCTTGTATCTACGAGAGCACTATAGCGAAAACGCTTTGATCATGGAACTCCTACCATCAGACTATTGATCTTTTGTATCAAATACCATCAATGTAATCTTAAAATGACTAGATTAGTCGAAATGACCGCATATGTGCCAGCTTGAACGGCGAATCCCAAAGTCATATGATGTTCATAGGTGCAAGAATGGAATTACAATACCATTTTGATGGCCTTAATTCTCTGTTTACCTGATCACTCCTGACTCCGGCTTAAGTCCTCTCTCATGAGAAGGGTAGTAGGTTTTTTGTTACATCAGGATGCCAGTTTCATTTGCTTAAAGTATCTGCGAAGAATCAATTTTGATTTCAGATAAAATTGAACGTACAGCGCTTTATCACGAATTTGATCCCTGATTCAGACTTCGCACACTTAGGTAGTTGACTTGTATAGATCTACAATCAAAGTGAATTAGGCTCAGTGCAGTGCTATATTACTCGAATACATGTCCATATTGTTGATATTTGGACTCTTGAATACATTTGGCCTGGTAAGTATTCAGCCCCAATGATAAAACCTCTGCCATCAACCTGGTTTGCCAGTGTGCGCGATGGGTGAATCTATTTTGCCAAGTATATCCAGCGCTTGCAGATCGCATGCTGCTCTCTTCCCCCACTATCATCCCCTTAACATACGATTCCTTCTTGGTAGCTTACTTGGAGTAAGTGCAGCTCAAAGGGTTTGGCGCGCCAACACGCTCCAGAGAGATCTTGATGCAGCCCTGGTTATGGCCGGGGTTGGGGTTGGGGGAATAGACCCAGATGCTCCAACTGTTTGTAGCCGGGTGAGGGCAGGCGTACCACTCGTTGCCATAGATGTTGAGACGGCTTTGGCTGTTAAAGGCCCAGCCGGTGACCTCGGCGTACCTGGGCAGGGGAGAGCCCTGATCACCATAGCCAGTAACACCCATGCCTGCAACCGGTCAGTCGTTAGTTGTGGGTAACGGAGGGAGGAGCTTCAAATGAACTTACCCATACCACTGCGGTCAGTGAACATCTGCTGGGGAGTGACACTAGGGCTAGTATTGTAGAAGAAGACGGAGCCGTCCTTCAGGTAGAAGGTGCCATCATCCTGGTTGCCACCCTCACAAACTGGGTTGGAGGGCGCGGGTCCAAAATAGTAGCGTCCAGTCTTGGCCTTGAGGAACTGGCCGTTTAGCTGGGCGTTGCTGTCGCTCACTGCGCGGAGCTTGAAGGCCTCCCAGGGAGCAGGAACCGCCAGGGCTGTGCTGGCGGTTGCAAGGGCAACGGCAAGAATATCGAACTTCATTTTATATTATCAGCTTGGGGTGTGTATAAACTAGAGAGATGATTGTTGATGATAAGGGGAAACGGATGGTCGTGTTCAGACATATATACTATTTCCTTGAGGCTGTTTCCAATGGATCAGGCGGTGATGGCAGGGTCAACTCCATCCAAAAGTGCCAATGTACCATGTTCAATGGACGGGTATCAACTCCGTACAGAAAGGCGAGTTGAAACGAGAGCCAATACGAAATGAGTCATGCTAACTCCCGTCTTGTCTCAGCCACTTTAAGTGGCATCCGCACACAGCATGAAGCTGTTTGTCATTACGTGAAATCTATCACAATACTTCGTCAGGCACTAATTGGATCGCTCTTCTGAGCAATCCAGGTGACCAGGGAGGAACTAGAAGGCTCTCGGTTCTCCAATCAAGACCTCTCGCATGCATGAGACAACAAAAACGGTCAGCGCTAGAATATGCAGGTGAACGCCACCTCGTACAATTTTCAGCTGCTCTGATTCTTCCTTGGCGGCGGCAGAGATCAGCAGCTAAGGAATCATGAGAATTAAAAATACGAGAATAAGTCTTGGCTGTACGTCCTCTAGTCTATCGCATTCTACCCGAACAAATAGGTGGATGCCTGAGACTGTGGCCACGAAATTTCCTTCCGTTCCCCAAACCAGGTTCCCCATTTCCAATATACTATAAGCACATTGGTCCCCATTGACTTGTACTTCTCCAGAGGCTGCTATTTGTCATTGTCTCACGTCTTGTCGGAGCGACCGAGTGCGACTCTCTCAGCGGTTGGGGATGAGAAGAGAGGAAGCGCCACTGCTTACTGAGGAACACATGCACATCGCGCATCGCCGTATCTGCAACAGTTTACGACTGATTTCCACCTGGTGGATTCCTTATGGCATTCCCACATTGCTTGGAAGAGTGGGTGAGTGCCGAGAGACATCCTGGGCACAGCCCTATGACGAGGCGGGATGCGACGTAATGCGAAGCTGCTGACTGCATAACTAGGTTCGGCGGGAAAATCCCACCGTCGCTCTGGAAGACAAGTCCATTGTTTTGGCTCACATTACGATGTAATGTTACATGGACCTAAGGTAAGACACTGACTTTCATGTTGATGACCTGGACAGTAGTCATCTTGTAGGTGTTGATCCCCTCTAAGGCTCATTCCGAAAGCAATATGTTCGGGTCTCACCGGCTATGTCTTGAACGTCTTCACGAGGTTGGACGCGTGGCAAGTCTAGGCACCGAAGCAGAGGACAACATGTGTTGCCATATAGGGCCTTGTCGATATACGTTACTGTAGGACAAACGAAGATTTATTATTGCTAGTCGTAGCAGAGTTAAATAATTATATTCTAGTAAGAAACATCCAACCGATCACTACTCCGTCTTCTTTTTGCCAAATTTCTTCGGTACGCGCGCAAGCCAGTAGACAAAGAGAGCACCGCCCAGGTTAAACACCGAGTACACCATGAAGATTCCGAAATTCCTCCATCTTTCACTGTAAAACACCTTGGACTGGGCGAGATAGACATTGGTGTCGCTGATGGTGCAGAACGAGCACATGTCTGTCGCATTCTCATCCCGAAGGTATCCCCCAACCTGTTGCATGTAAGGCCCCATGAACTCCGCACACGTCGTGCCAGAGGGGGGAGCGAACTGCATGAACTCGACCGATGCGCATTCCACCCTTGAGTTGGCCACGGCGGTGGCAATCATGGAGGACGTCATGTAGGTGAATGGTGATACCCGATAGAGGAAGATCCAGAACCTGGGCATGGAGTCTGGGCTGGCCAGAATACCGCAAAACATCAAACACAGCATGAACAGCACGTTGGCGATGTTTCCGCCAGCCTCTGCCGTCTCAAAGCCGGCAATGATGAAGTCGGTGAAGGTCGAGGTGAACATCATGAAACCCCAAAGTAGGAGGAACATGAGACCTCCACGTTCGGCAACCTCGTTGTTGAGCTGGGCGTTTCGATCCAGTCCGATTGGGTAGTAAAAGCAAACAAACATGAACAAGGCCATGAGCGAGTTCCAGGGGATTTCAACGATGATCTGAGACCAGATAAACACCTGCCAGGAGTAGACCTTGGAAGGCCGTTCTCGGACCTCGTACAAGTCGCGCTGGACCACGAAATAAGGCATTGTCTGTTGAACCAGCTGGCCAAAAACCGTCAATAGATTGAATACTGCAAAGGTTTGGTTTTGCAATCCTTGAATTGTATTCGGTGCGTTGTAGAAGCAAAATCCTAAGATTGGTTAGCATCATCATCCCTACCAAGTCTTGAATGGCTCACACTTACCGATAAACAGCGAGATCCCGACGCAAAGGGCAATCTTGGAATAGATGTATGACGGTGTTCGCCAGTACTGCTGGAATACACGGTGGCAGACCTCGAAGAGCTGTTGGTAAAACGGGACAGCGAACTCGTGATGATCGGCCAAATCCGAAGCTTGTCCTTGTAGGTCAACTGGCTTTTCTTTGAGGCGCTGCAACTCGGTCTGGACTGTTGCGAATTCGGGACTATCCTTCCAGGTCTGGAACCAGTTGATATCAGAATGTGATCCGGGAGCCGCGCCAATTGACTCCAGCATCCATTCTGCTGGATTGGCGTCATGAGGACAAGGAGGAGCTCCGTTTCGTTCAAAGTACGAGGTTAAAACGTGGGAGTTTTCGCCGATATCGCCAAAATAAACAGTCTTGCCACCAGAGGCTAAGAACAGCAAGCGGTCAAATCTCTGGAAGAGCATCGCAGATGGCTGATGAATAGTGCAGAGAATAGCTTGACCGCTCTTAGCCAGCTTTTCAAGCAGATCCAGGATAGCCCAGGAGGTTTGACTGTCAAGACCAGACGTCGGTTCATCGACAAACAGAAGAAGGGGAGGCTTTGCTGCCAGCTCGACACCAATCGTAAGTCGCTTCCGCTGTTCCACGTTAAGGCCTTCTCCGAGCACACCAATGACTGCTTCAGAATATTCTTGCATATCCAGTAGACGAATGACCTCATCAACATAGGCGAGCTTCTCGCGTCGCGGGATAGAGGCAGGTTGTCGAAGCAGTGCGCTGAAGTTGAGGGCCTCCCGAACCGTGGTCGTGCTCAGATGCAAGTCCTGCTGCTGGACGTACCCAATGTTTCTCTGGAACGATTTGCCGCGAACCTGGCCGTTTACAAAGATTTCGCCGTAGATCACGCCCATTGATGTTCTGTCTGCCAAACAATCCAAGAGAGTGGTCTTTCCAGCGCCAGAAACGCCCATCAAGGCCGTCAGCGTACCAGGTTTGACCCAACCGTCGATGTGATCGAGAATCCGTCTCGTCTCCGACTTAATTTTAACATCGTAACAGACATCCCTGGGACGGGCAAGTTAGCAACGGAAGCAGTCATCGGCAGGCGTGTATCAGAACTACTTACTTCCAGTGGAACACATTCGCATGCTTTGGCTTTTGTTTCTCGCTCTCGGATCCCTTCTCTGTAACCGCAGCATTCACAGGTACGGCCGGTGTAAGAGCACCTCCCGTAGCCTCCAGATCGCCTTTGGATTCCTTAAATTGAGCAGGTCTGTAGCCCCGACGGAACACAAGGATCTCTCCCTTGGACTTCTTCGCTGTAACGAGCTCTGTCAAGGCGATGTAGATTCCGTTGAAAAATCTAGTAGTTGATGGGTTAGCATTTATTCCGGGTCAGAGACTGGCAGGATCGCATACATTATAAACCCAATGAGAATACCGATGTTGCGCCACTTGTTCTTTGGAAGGTAC